TGAGGTTTAGAGAAATAAGGTATTATCGTACAGTGCAAGAGATAATAGAATGGAAAACATTGCATTTTTTTTTAACACAGAAAACAATAAAAACCCAACACTAATTTTTGTGATAACAGCATCTTTGAATTTTCTCAACCTGCTCTACCTGGGGTACATTGTCATCCCATAAGGCATCACAAACAGTACTCTTTTTTTGTGGTTATTTTTTAGTGATTCAGAAGGACACGCCTCGGCCTTTGTTCTGTCATAATATCAAGACTCACAAAAGCTAAACATTTATACACTGAAAATGAACTGAGATAGTTACGTTATAACAGTGCTTGAAACAAGAACCAATGAGCATTAGACAGGGAAATTAGAGAACCAATGAAAGGTTGAATCTTTTCATATTACCCATAGCAGGTGTTACTGGAGGTGTGGTCAGGGAAGAGGCTTTTCCAGAACATTTCGTGGATGTTTTTGAAGGCCCACTGATTACATGAAAATGTAATTAAGAAGACCAATCTGTCTTGTTAGTCCCAGAAGAAGGAAAGGTAGAATAGGTGGCTTGGGGCTCCTGCCTAAACTTGGACCAAAAGTAATGCTATTCCTACTCTTAAATCGAAAAAATAAATACATATTTCTTTTACAAAAAATTAGACTATCAGTTTGCATTAGGATTTTTTAACACAATATAGAATTGGCCTAAATTCTTCCCATGGGTAAAAATTCCTGAAAGACTTGCTCAACATCTTGCCCATAGCCGCTTTCTATGGCAAGTGTTTGAAAAGCTACCAAATATATCATAACATACAGTATACAATAGAAATTGTTACAAATAGACTAACAATTTAAATTCAACATGGGTTCTCATTTTCAAAAATGTTCAACGTGTAAAGTCAAGATTTCTTGCACAATCCCCGTTGCTTGCAAATACAGTAAGTACTGAGTGTCAACTGCCATAATGTCTTGCTACTCTGAAGCTGGCAAAGCACTTTGGGATTTGTAGTTCTGCAAGGACTGGGGTCTCTTTGGTCATTGTTGGTTTAGATGGATGCTGTTCAGTATGTATAAAAAGTTAGGGTAGAATGTAACAGACCCACATGTGAAGTTTGGAGCTTGAAGGATAAAGCAAGATGTGAGTGGGTTTATTCCATGCTAATCTGGCACTTTGGAGACCTTGATGAATGACCCTCCTGGGAGTGTGCACAAGAACAGGTGACAGCCGCTAATATAGCAGGGAGTTCGAGTCTTGCTGCTTTGTCAGTTGTCCATTTAATTATATCCAGCGGTGAAGGTAACAGATGGCTTGCTTTACGCTTTCAAAGATCCCGGCAGGATCATGCAGAATGCTTTATTCGGCAAAGATGATAGCTCATGTCAGCTGTATTTTGTATATTTGTACATTAACCTCTCAAACACCTGTTCTGGAGGATTAAACTGACAAGGCTGGTGAAAATGCAACCTGTGATCTATGAGACATTTGCCTATTTCCTCTTTCAGATATCTCCGTATTAAATTTTATTGGAATGCTAAATCCTGGGGTTTTTATTTTTTATTATTATTTTTTTTATCTCATGGGATTTTTTTTCTCTTCCAGAAAATTTGATTTCCATGAAATAAAAAAATTAAAAATTGGAACTTTATCTGAAATTTTCAGAAATGTACAGCTATTTTTTCCATCTATATTATTTTGGAGTATAGTTTGCAGTTTCCTGGTTGGTTTTCCACAGCACATAGTTCAATACTAAAAATTGCAATGTGCACATCAAGGTTCTAAAATGTAGACAAAATAGAATGGAATAGAATGGACATATTCTTCCTGATTCCATTGTGAATGTCCCATTTTTAGAAATGTAGGTCTTGATTTAATATTTTTGGATGAGCTTTTCAAAATATTTAATAGTTTGAAAAATATATTAATATTGTAATAGTTTGATATTCTTTGATATATTAAAGGACCACTATAGTGCCAGGAAAACAAACTCGTTGTCCTGGCACTATAGTGTAAATAACCCCCCCACCCTCAGGGTCCCCCTCCTGCCGGGGTCAAGAGGGGTTAAGGGGTTAAACACTTACCTTTCTCCAGCGCCGGGCTCCCTCGGACTCTCCTCCCTCTTCCAACGTCATCCGCCGAATGCGCATGCGCGGCAAGAGCCGCGCGTGCATTCAATCATTTCTCAATGCTTTCCTATGGACGGCAGCGTCTTCTCACTGTGAAAATCAAAGAGACAGCCACTAAAGGCTGGATTAACCCTAATGTAAACATAGAAGTTTCTCTGATACTATGTTTACAGCTGCAGGGTTAACTCTAGATGGACCTGGCACCCAGAACACTTCATTGAGCTGAAGTGGTCTGGGTGTCTATAGTGATCCTTTAATATTCTTTTTTTTATGCATGATATATTTTTTGGTATTTAATATTTTGAAAAAAAAATTGCAAAAATGACAGCCTTTACTGTAATGCAAAATAAGAATTGGGATTTCAGAATAAAACCCAATGTGGTGTCATTTGTGCAACTATGGGGCAAAGTTCTAAAGGTGGAGCGTGAAAACTAATGGACAATTCATTTTAACATCTTTGTCCTTGAACTGCTGTTTTAAATGACCTCTAATATAATTATTCTGTGATAGACCTTAGGTTCACATACAAACTTCTTAATACATTTTACCAATCTTCACCTATGTCAAATAACCCATGACACTGAAGGAAAATATTTTTTTACTTTTAGTAACATAGTAGGAGAAAATCATTTACTTTCCCAAATTAACCGAACCCCATTGTACAGCTTAAGTGGTTTGACTGCAGATATTACGCAACAGAAGAAAATGTGCTTGACTAGAGCACCGATGTTGCCATTTGTAAAATAGAACTTCATGCCATAAAACAAATATATTTCACATTTTCTATGATTTTATTCTAGCAAAATAGCTAGGGACTGTAATATGTCCAGATATTATCGAATGCCACCCAAACATTCAAAACAATACAAAGCACAAAATGACATGCACAAATCAAAATATCCCTTTCCTATAATGCTGTGCTCCTCAACCCTCTCCTCCAGGCACACCTCACAGTCTAGGATTTCGGGATTACCCAAGTGTGTCTAAGGTGTTTAGAAAAAGGAAAAAAAACACACCTTATAGTCCAAGGTGTTTTTATTTATTTATTTTTTACATATATAGAAATTATAGATGTTAACCAGGTCATTGTGTAATGTAATATATACCTCAATCAGTGCAGAAAAACACACGCCGGAAAAGAATACAAGAGGGAGAATACGAAAATGAAGACTTCTCACGTACTCCACGCTTAATGATACTCTCTCAATGTGTTGTGATGCACAATGCAGCCTACGGTGTTTCACTGTGCATGCGGCAGGGGATCTGTGTAGAATCCTCTAAGACCTTAAGTTTTGTAGAATGTGTAAAAGTTTCAGTTAACCAGTTTGCAACCTCTTTCATCTGCAAACCCTAAACCGAGGCAGGAAAGTGTGCACTTGTGTTAGAATTTTGATCGATGAATGATTGCTGCAGTGCCACAAATCTACGTACCTTTAGCTTGCCATCCCATCTTCCTGGTGAATAGGCAGAGTCTCAGATCCACACAATGTAGACATATTTTACAGTGGTTTGTATGTATCAAATTAGTAAAATTCCCTGCCTGTGTACAGGTAACACAACCAGTAATTATTTTAAGTTCCGACAAGTTATCAATTCCATAAAGGCCATTAATAAAACCAGGGGTGATTTTAAGCAGGGTCCCAAGAGGCTGATGTTATTTTTGCAAAGTATATTGTATGCATTTAACAGTAAACTGAGATACTGAGATAACGGATACCTTATTTTTTTTTCTTGAAAATGACTGTCCAGATTAAAACCATATAGTAACTACAAGTGATCGTTTGTTTTTCTAGTTAGTTGTTATATTATTTTTTTATGAATTTGTGATACAGTTAGCTCACTTAGAAACGTCTAAGACATATAGATTAAATGTGCTACTTCACTGTGAAAACAGTGACTCAGACAATAAGCGTTTATATGTCAACGGAAATATAAAGTGTAAACTTTGGGAACCATTTCAGGGAGACACTGGAGAGAATTCTAGCAGACCCTTGCAGTAGTATATTTTGAAAAGTACATGACCCCTTCTGATTATTTTTTGGAGTCTGTCTCCCTTTAAAAGAGAAAAGCTATTACAGTGACAATGTTCTCTCCAAACCTCAGCGTGTCCTCTGTGACCCCCATTTTCCAACAATATTATTGGATCAGTATTCTTACACTGGGTATGTTTTATTTAGGCTTTTTATCTCGTCCAGAGTGCTTTTGAAATTATAACAGCATCTATTAATGGGAAATGGAAACAAATGTAATTGCGTTACTAAAAAAAGACAGAAAAACAAAACATTGAACCACAATAAATATTTTCAGTTACACCATTAAAGGCTCACATTGGCTGCATGAATAATGCTTTAAAGTTGAATGTAAGCAGGTGGAGGAGTCATAAGACCTTTAAAGACCACAAAGGTCTTGCAATCTCGAACATGGAATATAATTAGTTATCTTGTCCACATTGACCTTTTAGCGCCTGTTATAAAATCCCAAAACTTGTTTGATTCAGATATGGTCTAATTTTTTCTTTATTCAAAGATGGTAATGTAAAGATTCTACTGAAATGATTCACATCTCAGTCCTACTCTCAATGGCAATGCTATAGATCTATGATTTGCTATTTAAAGAGACATTAATACTTTAACTCAGGAGTGGTAAAAATAAAGAAAGAAATTATCAAATATTTGTGGCAAAAATTGATGCTCCAGGGTTTCCGGTAAGTAGGTAAAACGTAACGTTTATTGAAGAAAGCAAATATACCCTTCTGACATATAGTTATACAAAGTCCACCCAAAGTTCTGCCTTACGTGTCTTGTGCGTAACCACAATTAATCATGGGTACAGGCGTAGTCAAGTAGGACGTGCAGGGAAAAAACATGTAACTCTTGAAGCTCCAAAACCACAGAATGCTAGGTAGGGGCAATCAAGCTTCGGCGACTGGGTCTGAGTGGTCCAGAGACCCTGGCAGAGACAATGAAGCTTACCTGGTGGAGGAACTCAATCACAGTACTTTTTTCCTTCAAGTGTCCCCATGGTGAGCAGTACAGAATACTAGGAAGAATACTAGCGTTCCGTGTTTTTAGAACTTCAAGAGTTAAATGTATTAAGTGGATTTACAAATTTAAGAGCACTATATCACTACCCCTATGCTTATGATTAAGAATGGTTAAGCACAAAACGCTTAAAGGACCACTATAGGGCCAGGAAAAACATATTCGTTTTCCTGGCACTATAGTGCCCTGAGGGTGCCCCCACCCTCAGGATACCCCTCCCGCTGGGCTGGATGGCAAGGAAAGGGGTTTTTACTTCCTTCCAGCGCCGGGCGGGGAGCTCTCCTCCTCCTCTCCGCCTCCTCTCCTCCTCTTCGGCTGAATGCGCATGCGCGGCAGGAGCTGCGCGCTCATTCAGCCGGTCTCATAGGAAAGCATTTACAATGCTTTCCTATGGACGCTTGCGTCTTCTCACTGTGAAAATCGCAGTGATAAGCACGCAAACGCCTCTAGCGGCTGTCGATGAGACAGCCACTAGAGGATTTAGAGGCTGGATTAACCCTAACATAAACATAGAAGTTTCTCTGAAACTGCTATGTTTATAAAAAAATGGGTTAATCCTAGAGGGACCTGGCACCCAGACCACTTCATTAAGCTGAAGTGGTCTGGGTGCCCAGAGTGGTCCTTTAAGGTGGAAAACTTGGTGGGCTTTGTATTACAATATGTAAGCAGAGTATATGCTGTAATTTGCCTCTACAATGGGATGTTTTTGATTTCTGCAATAAACATCATGTTTTATTCTAAGCCCTGGAGCATCGATTTTTGTAAGTTCTATTTCTGCATGGCTGGCCAGCAACAGTGTGTTTTTGGAGCTCGGACTGCTAAACAGTGGTGGATATCTATGAGAGCAATTATCGTGGATTTGTGAGCTGTTCCAATCTTTTTTGTTTTTGTCATCGAGCATATCAATCCTATGATGCTTTGTCAGATTTTAGGATGGAATATTACCATTTATTTTGAAAGCCCCCTCAAAGTGCCATGTCTGCTTACATTGTGCTGTTAGGAAGTGGCCGGTAGATATACTTACCTGACCCACCTGAAGTCTTCTTTGACTTGGTCTTTGGCTCCTTGTGGTTTCACCTTACAATAGCAACATCACCAGTGTCCTTGGATGACCTTGAGCATACACAGTGAGATGCTTGTTAGAAGAAGCTCAGTCCCATTTGGCTCCCTACTATGTCCCTACTTTGTCATATCTCCTCAATGCATTGGAATGTCAGTGAAACTCCAAGGCAGTCATTATGAGTTTTTCAAAAAGATGCTATCTGTATTAAAAACTCAAAAGTGACAGTGCTGCTTTAGAAGAAACTCTCTTGGAAAACCACTTTGTTCCAGTCTTCTGGGACGCTATTTGCTTCTTTTTTTAAATTCAGTTTTTACAGAGACTGTTAAAGATCAACCCGACATATTCTGCTTATTAAGGCCTTAACCAAAAGGCGGAAGGAGACTACGGACACTATGGGCAAAAGAGCAAATACCTCCTAAGGGGATCTGCCGTTTGAAGTGCAACTTTCCAAATAACTTTTAAAGAAAAATCAAATGCAAATATAAAAAAGTTTCAAGGCGTTTGAAGTTGTTTATGTCAAGCAGCTTTTTTTTGATTAGTTGTGTGTGTAAAAATTGTATTGAATTAGACATCTTCAAAAATAGCTGCTTTCAAATATTCGGCCAGGCTTCTTGTATTTGGCTGTATGAGGCAAGTTGATATCTTTGGTACTGAAACAAATCTGTAAAAAGAAAGCCTAGGATAATTGCTCTTAAATAAAAAAACAAGGGCCCCACTTGAGGCGGATATACAGGAGTGTCCTGTGGCCCCCCATTGTATGGAGTTATCTGGAGTCATTCAGGGTCCTCCTCACTACCTCCATTACAGTATCCTGTTAGCTCTCATAAGCTAAGCTTTAACTCAATGGCTCTGAGTAGTCAGTTCTAGTGGTAATGGTGCTTGGCTTTTTCCTTTAAGGAGATGGTTGGCTAACATCAGAGTTATATTACACAGGGTGTTTCGTGTTAAGAGAATTAAAAGCTTGAGTTGTGGTAAAAGGGGTGTTTGCGATTATTGAGTTTAAGGTTAGAGTGGGGTTACATTTAATATTGGGGTACGAGGTCTTTAATTTTTAAGACGAGTTAAACCTAGGATTAAGTTAAAGTTTTTTTTGTTTGTTTTTTCATTATTGGCTCCACATTGTCAGACATTTTGTTTAGTGTAGATACAGAGTTACTTCAACATTTTCAAGTTTTTTGTTTTTTTTTAAATACATGCTCATATTATTTTTTTTATTGGTTTGTTCTGCGTAATCTTATTGCATACCAATATATCGAGATATAGTTATTGTTATTACCGTTTCTTTTTAATTCATTTGCATAATATCAGTTTGCGATTCCAAGCTGAGAGAGTTTAGATGCTGAGTGGATTGGAAAAAGATGATTTGGTTTGCAACCATTTGTGGAAATAGTTGGTTATTAGAGGTTGTCTAAACGAGTAATTGATATTTCGTAGAAGCAGTAAATGTGGATTATGTTCTTTCTTTAAAAGTCTAGAAATACATGCGGTTTAAGTTTCTTTATTGCAGGAGACATTGTAATATGATCCCCTGTCTATTAAGGTGAAGAATATTACTTGTTAATGCAATATAGTATGCTGACATTCGTTGGTGATAAATTCTATGAGCCAGTAATTGAATTGCTCATTAGCCAGATTTCCTTGTCTACTATGGAAATTAAATTCTGACATGTTTGAAGCCATTTTCTTTTTTACATATAGTATGATCACTGATTATGTTGCTATCGTATAGATTGTGGTGGCCACAATTATATTCTCAAGTAATATTATTATTATTATTATTATTATGGTATTTATATAGCGCCATCAAATTCTGCAGCGCTTTACAATGGGTAATATAGTTACTATGTGTTATATAGTATTGAGTTATACAATTAAAGTGAACTACCAGAATATAGGATCAGAGATAAAATAGTAGGTGTCTCTTTAAAACAAATTTGTGGGTGTGTTCCTATAATAATATCATCATATCAATATTCATATTAATAACAATTGATAATATTTTTAATATTAATACAATTATTAATGGTTCAAATGTTTCACAATATATAATTTAAAATATATTGCCCTCAATTATCCCTACAACATGTGAAATGCTGAAGGTGGCGTATCCCTGATTTGAAGAGTAGTCTAAAATGGAATGTTGCCAGTTACCCACAATTCCTGGTTTTGTTCGATTAATTCTTACATGCTCTGGAGCCATATATAACCAAGTGCTTTTATTGCTGCCATAGAAAATTTAGCCAGTTACCAAAAAGATTGTGGTGAGGCCAAACACAATGCAACTTACTACAGTGCAAATACAAAAACAAATATTGTTATACAGGTGATGGATAGCAATAATAGTTTAAATAGAAATTTTACCAGTTTATATAACTCTATAAATTTCAATATTATTTTCTAATAGATACAATTGATGGTCTGTTTGGCTATTACTGTTACTAAAATGTTTTATGAGCCTATGTAGTTAGCCATGTAAAGGCCGTCAGGCATATTGACTTAATTGAGAATTCAAAGTTAATTTGAACTTTAAGGTCAAAATAGCTGGTCTTAAATTTTTAATTCATTTAGAATTTTCACTTTACGAAATAACCGTGCCTGCGTGTGTGTGAGGAATCTATTCACTAAACATTGTGTACGGGACTTATCAAAGTGTTTTAATTGGAAAAGTGATGCATACTTGTAAACGTTTAATAATAATCAACAATGCAATGTGTCTGCTGTTTCCGCGATTGCAATTGCTCCTTATTTAGCACTTTGACCCAGAAAAGTACTCCATAATGGTTTACTTGATATTAAGAGAAAACTCCCCCACTATGAATGATTATCTTCTTTTCCTTCTAGGCCGCAAGTTCCTGATTGCAAATGCTCAGATGGACAATTGCGCCATAATCTATTGCAATGATGGATTCTGTGACATGTTCGGGTACTCCAGAGTCGAAGTTATGCAAAGATCATGCACCTGTGACTTCCTCACCGGGCCGGAAACCACGCACAGCAGCATCACCCAACTTACACAGGCCCTGCTGGGGGCCGATGAACGCAAGCTGGAGATTCTGTACTACAGGAAGGAGGGTAGGACATGTCTAAACATCTTATTTTCAAGCCTGTCTTTTTAATGCTATGATAAATGTCACTCACATCATATGATGGAGGAACACCATTAGAACCCATGACCTTAGGTCTGTAGATATGTAGTAGACAACTGATGTAGTATTTGTTTTCTAATACATGTCTTTTCTAGTGGCTACGATGGTCAGTCAGTTGTTCAAGTCCACGGTTGACCTAGTTGCCTTGCTTGCTGATGGAACCTTTGAGAATTCCTTGTAACCCTCTGCGAAGTTGAATGTCTATCTCTGCTTTAAACATGTTTGCAACCTATCTCAAATGTTGAGCAGAAAGAGCACTGGAGTGCATAGATGGCAGAGAGCAGTGTGGACACCAGGGATTTAAACAGTTTCTAATCAGAACAAGAGATAACATTTCAGATCATCAAAGACACTCTATTGTGCATAACTTGACTATTACATCATATGTGTTAGTAACGTTTTTCACTTAGCCTTGAAAGAAGATACATATTTAAAGGCACATAGCATGACTAAATCCAATTATAGTCTGCTTACATTATTTATATACTTGATAGCTAACATATTTATAGATTAGTAGATCATTTTAAAATAAGAGAGTATGATACCCCATTTGTCTTGTTACCTGGGTGTCTGGCTAAATGCAGTCTATTTCGAAGATCCATACATACTTGTAAGTCCTTTGGCACTCTCTTTAATTTGTACCAAGAGCTAAGCATAAGTAGAAAGACTACAGAGAATGTGAGACGGGCATACGTAGAACTTTCATATGCGACCTCGAGACACTAAAAATGGTCATGGGCATTTTTTGTAATATCTGCAAATTCATATAACTGTATAATCTAGCTGTTCGAAAAAGTACATTGCATAGATGAAATGGTTAGGAGAGAAAAAAGGGTCCATGCAGAATGCCTGTAATGATTTAACCCCTTAAGGACCAAACTTCTGGAATAAAAGGGAATCATGACATGTCACACATGTCATGTGTCCTTAACAGCGTTAAAGAAAATAGTGTGGTAAGTGGGCACTTGTATCTTATCAGCACAAGTTAAAGTATAACGCACCATGAATAAATTGCTTACGTGTACATATATATGTATAGAGAGCAATCTTCGGTAATCATGTCCAGTTGTGCCAGTGCTTTATTTAAATAGTCAGCATACACAGTTAACAGCATTCTGGCATTCTGTGCAGACAATGAATACGTGTCAACGTCTCAGTATTCCAATGGACCTTCTCTGTCTGCATGTATTTGCAATTTAGACAGTGGAGCTTCTGGGCATTTGAAGGAGAAGGCTGTCAGTGAATGCTAAGCATCTAGAATATATCTTAAAAATATTTATTTTCTTTGGCAAAAAAGTTTCATCTTTATACATTTTTTATTTGTCTGCAAAAAAAATAAAAAATACAGATGGATGCTTTATAACTCCAAATGCCATTTGGGTTAAATAAAACCCCCCACTTTTTATGCTCTGCCAGCCCATATGGGTTTTGGGATTGCCCATGGGGCAATATAGTAAGGTAGTAAGTATGGATCTAGCTCCAAAAAGGGTGTATGTGTTTGAATGCATGCACGAGTTAGTGTCTGTGTTTGTATGTGTGTTGTTAGGTGGGTGCATCTGTGATTAGATACATGTTTGTGATAAATGTTGCATGTATATATGTGATTGGTGAATTAGTTATATGTGAGAAATTTGAATATGTCAGGTATCCCAAATGTGCTGAATCGAGTGGGAGAGTTCCTATTTTGGGCTTCTGTCATGTCATCCCGGATTTGTTACCCGTTGTCCCACTTTTGTGGACACCAGGAAACTGTCCTCAGACAACGTAGCGTAACCTCATCATTAGATTCACTCTCGCTGCACTGGGACCAAGCACATACTGGGCCAGCCAACTTGATTGACTTGACGTGCCCTTTCCTTGGGTGGGTCCACTCTCTTTCTGAGCAAGTACGTTTGCCACCCACCCTAGTCTCGAGGTGGGGACAGCATTTTATACTTAGATCCAGATAGTAGAATGTGTTGAGCAAGCCCTGACAATATGCTTTATTGTTTACTGAGATATTAAGAGGTTCCACTGCCCTAACACGTTAAAATCACTTATTTTATGCCCAAATCAGAATTAACTTCTTTACTTACAGAGAAATAGAAATGCACAATGCAATCATTAAATTGGATGCAGTCACATCTGGCACTGAAAGGTTTAATTAATCTCTTGGGCTTTTGAATGAATAAAAGGCTTATCTTTGTTTTAAAGAGTGACAAATGCATTATATTCTAGCTTTATATAGCTCCGTGCAGGATTTTTAATCTTGCATTATTATATAAAAACATATCGTGTACAGATCTCAACTCTTGAACATTTCCGTCACATTTCGCCTTAAAAATGCTGTATTCCGACTTGCCTGTATCCCACGTATTATATTTAAAGGTTGAAAGATGTCATGCCAAGGTCGTGTCTGCTTTTCACGCAGTTCCCAGGAGACAGCTTTCCCAGAATGCAAAGTGGAACGCTAGTAATGTGTAATGTGGTCTGTAAACCCCTTACTGACAGGTGTGAAAAGGAAATGCGGAATAAGTGGATTGTGTGTACGTGGTTTGAGTACACAGGTTTAAATGTTACTTGTGTGCGTATAAATAATTTTTCGGTCTGCATTTAGTTTTCTCTAGAATAGTTGCAATTTTATCTTTGTGTGTGATGCCGGTTTTTGTTACTTTGTATTAAATTTTGTGAGTGTGGTAAAACGTATCTATCCTTATAGCCAGTGGGGTCTGAATAAAGATGGTGGCCTCAATACCTATGTCTGATGTCCCTAAAAATGTCACTGGATTGTGCCTGGATGTTTGTCTTCTCGATATCCATAGTGAAAGTAATGAGGAGGATTTGGGCTCTGCTGGGATAAGATGGGTGGTGAATTCAAAGGTTCCTTTGAGCCCTTAAATAGAAACCAAAGAAGTAATTAAGTCATGTATTTATATTGTAGGACAATGACTTTGAACAGTAGTCTTACGCAAGGCAAAAAACAAAATAAATTGGTTTGTCCAAATCGATTCATGGAAAAAAAAGATCTTTTTGGTTGATTTGGGATTTTTCCCATGTGTTTCAGTTCATACAAGTTTCCTCCATGCTATTGTTTTATAAAAACGACGAATCAAAATGGCGTGAAAATTGTGTGCATTAATTGTTTCAAACATCAAGTATGAAAAAGTAAGCAATAGAGGAGAAAAAAGGAGGAACAGTGAAGGAAATCTATATTTATATATATTATTTATTAATAATTTAATATATACGTTACATATACTTTGATCAGCCACAACATTAAAACGACATGCCTAATATCGTGCTGCCAAAACAGCTTTGATGTGTCCAGGACCTGTGAATGGGTTCTGTGGTATCTGGCTCCAAGACATTAGCAGCAGATCCTTTAAGTCCTGAAAGATGTGAGGTGGAGCCTCCATGGATCAGATTTGTAATTCCAGCACATCCCACAGATTCTTAATCAGATTGAGATCTGGGGAATTTAGAGCCCAAGGCAACTCTTTGTCATGTTCCTCAAACCATTCTTGAGCAATTTTTGCAGTGTGTCAGGGTGCATTATCCTGCTGAAAGAGGCCACTGTCATCATTTAACACCGTTGCCATTAGGGGTGTATGTGGTCTGCAGCAATCTCTAGGTAGGTGGCATGCGTCAACGTAACATCCACATGAATGCCAGGACTCAAAAATTTCCAAGCAAAACATTTATGACTTTTGGTAGGTACCAACCACTGCATACAGGGAACACCCCACAAGACTTACCGTTTTGGAGGTGCTCTGACCAAGTTGTCAAGCCATCACAATCTGGCCCTTGTCAAAGTCACTCAGATCTTTTCATTGCCCACTTTTCCTGCTTCCAACACATGAAATTCAAGAACTGACTGTTCACTTGCTGCCAAAAATAACCTATCCTTAGGCATGTATAATCAATGTTATTCACTTCACCTGTCAGTGGTTTTAATATTGTGGCTTTTTAGCTTATATATATCCCGCAGCTTTTTTTCCCCCTCTGTTTGTCACGTCTCACTTGATCTGTGAACATTTAGTGGCAGTCCTCTTACCACCCATCACGAAGCAAACACAATGGCTAATTCATTGTCCTTATCATTTGTTTTGTGATTCTGTCATATTTGGAATTCGAAGAGTCTGATGACTTGTAATTAATTTAAAACCAACTGCACAAGTCTATTGAACAGACATGGTGTAAACCAGTTTAGCGAGCCTAGATCATGGTTATTGAGCAACCAAAAAATATTTGAATTGCACCACTAGCAATATATAATTCTGGACTTTATTCCACAAAGGCTTTGACAAAGACATATTTAGAGGGTCAAAGCTTTGCAGGGTCCACACCTTGATGGAATAAATTCCTTGATATTGAAATTGTGTTACAATTCCATAAATTCTTCAGTTACTTAATACCCATAATCTATGCTTATTGAACTGGATTTATTTCTGTCAGCTCAATGTTCTTATCCTTGATGTATTAACCTGGATAAACTCTTCATATGCGTGATAACCTTGGATCTGGATTTTTCTTTTGAATAATACTAGAACAGCCACCATCTAGACTGCTATGGTGTATTCAACTACTTAAGTACTTGACATGAATTGACAAGGATAGATAAATAGAATAGTGATAGCTTATGTGGAAAACCACTTAGGAAGCAGGGAAATCGCAAAAAATCCTGGCTAAAAAAGTGAGAAATTGGGTCTATCTACTAAATATCGCTCTAAAACTAGTCAAGGAGTCACCGTAAAAACCACCTAATAGAATAAAAATAACAGCAATAGTAAAACTGATAAGAAAAAAAAAAAGACAAGGCGTTGAGATAGTATATACACAAAGCAATGAAAGACAAATACTAAAACAAAAAAAGTTCAAATAAAGTCCATCCAATATTCACAAGTGCACATAAAAAAAGTCCAAATGTTGTATAGTTAGTTAGTGATGGGGAAATTAGAAGAAATGTAGCAAAATGTGTTTAAGTGCTACAAACTGGACATGTACTGTAGAGACATTAGAAGCACCTTTTTCCCTGTAGGGACAGTGTGCATAAGTAAGAGCCGCTACCTAATATGAATTCCTAATTTTGGGTATTATATGTGATTTTATGTTGTATTTTTGCACATTAAGTGCTCTATCATTTAGCAAGATGTAATTTTATTATTGCTACAGTATATGTCCATTTTGTAGCACATTTTGCTACATTGTTTTTAATATCCCCATCACTAACTAACTTTATAACTTGGGCCTTTTGTATGTGCACTTGTGAATATTGGATGGACTTTATTTGAATTTATTTTGTTTTTACTCTATTTGTCTGTCTTTAGGGAGCATGAAAACGCACAAAATACCGAATGCTGATCGTGTGCTGCTCATTTGTGGGAATGATTCCACCGAACAGTGTTCTATCTTATATCAGCTCCTGGCCTTTTCATCAGTTTTACTTAATTGCTGTTATTTTTAAACTGAAAAGGGTTTGTCTTGGCCCAATATCCAGGCATAACAGAGATTTGTTTCCGTTTGCGTCCTGTTTAATTCAAATAAATATCATGCAAAATATCAAGAGTACTATAGACAATCTTGAACCTATATAAGTGAACAGTGACTGTTAACAAGTTGTATAATTAAACTGATGCCCATAGAACCTTCAATTTGTATAGGGTATCTCAAAAATGTTTTCACGGATGATCTCCTGGAGAAACTCAAACATCAAGGGCTTCCTTCAATGTGTGGACCTGGAGCTGTAGCTCCAATAGCCCCTTTAAAAATCTGACTGTAAATGAAGACTGTAGTATCTGAGCTGACCAGGCTGCCATATTATGATTAGTATGTGTGGAGTCCACATAGGTGTTCACAAATGGGTAGGATGAGTCCATGATTGTAGTGGAGCTACAATAATAAAATCCAAAATCTCCACTGGTGTTCTCAGAAGCTGGAAAAGAAGCATTGTTTGGCAGATATAGTATTATTATTATTATTTTTTTTAATTATTATTTATATAATACCAGCAAATTTTGTAGCCAGACGAGACACAGTTCTGGGAGTCAACTGGTTTATTCAGAGCCACACATGGCCTTTTCTACAAAAGCCCAAACATACGGTTTCCCATACAAATTTACAGCGTAATCCTTCACATGATCCTCTGTGCCTGAGAGATAATTACCTGGGGGAAAAACATATAAATAAATTATCTCTCAGGTATAGAAAAATCTAAAATTTGTATGACACCCCAAAACACACATAAAACAACCATGTACCCCCTGAAGTCTTATATGCCCAGAGAGCCTGGATCTGAGTGCACAACATATCCGAAAAGCTCTCAGATCCCACGAACACAGCCGAAACGCCACCGGGGTAAAGTTTTGACCGACTGCACACGAGGCTCCTGCTCAAAATAGTTCCATAGAATCTGGGGTAGCGGTCGGTCTCTTTCAGGAGCATGAAAATGCACAAAATACCGAATGGATGCTTTCACCTGTATTTGTGGGAATGATTCCACCGAACAGTGTTCTTCTCAGATGTATAGAAACTAATGCAGGCGGAGATGGAAGTTCAGCAGTGTTCATGAGGTCGTGTGTCCGATTTGTGTTCCATGCACTCGACGACCAAACACCGCTGCCTGCTTTTGAGGGAACAAGATGGCTACCACCACGTGTTCATACATACAAACAACGGTCACCCAGCCAACCATTTAGAACACTGAGGTGTGAACCATTATGGAAGTGTTAACAGGGGTGATGGAGGTTAACAAGCATACGGGTGGTCTGGATCTTTCGTGGTTTTGTTCAGTTGTCGAAGAAAACAAGGGGAAAATTAGGTGAAAAGGTTTTACCGAACAAACCAGGGAATCATAAGGGAACATAGGTCAACTCCGCCACAGTGATCACGACATTGATCTCACTCACTAGTTGTTATTGGTGGTAATAGAGTAATAGAGTCGCATAAAAGAGAATCTGCGTTGTAGCAAAGCAGCTCATCTTGATGGAGGTTGCTGGGATATTGAATGTCTCATACTGAGACTCCAGCAGCCACTATGTTTCTAAAGAAGCTGGATACCAATCCCACTGGTATTTCAGTGGCTAAGAGAGTCAGCTGAGTGCTCATAACCAATAAATGAACCTTTGTGGAAGACGTTTGCAGAGAATTTACATTAGCCAGCCCGGAACTTTCATTCCAGACTGGCTAATGACGTTGCCAAAGATGGAGTTAAATTAATTAAATTAAATCTCATTCAAAATAACAAAAGTATGATAGACAATATTGAAACTACAGAGGTGGACAGTGACCATAAAGATGTAGCATGAAGGTCTAGCTGGTAAGCTGTTGATGAAGTAAGATGTAAGATGAAGTTTGGTTGGTTAGTATCTGATACTAAATTAATAAAACATATTTTAAGGGTTCTATTTCACAAACTTCAAATTTGGTTATCGGTTAAATCAAGTCATATAGTATGAGGAAGAATAAAGTTCCCAAACTTTATATTGATACCCATAAAAACTTCAATTTCTTTAGAATGTGTCAAAAATATGGCCAAATGTTTTCACACATGATCTCCTGGAGACTGCAGTAGGCTGGCGTTTGTCAAATATGGCTTTATGATTAATCTAAATGGATTTGCTGCAATGAGAGGTCTGCTAGCTGGTCTATTGACATTAATAACGCATAGTATGAATACATTCGTTAGCAGAGAGTTCTCCCGAGGGTTGTTATTCAGCAGTGTGTTAGAGTTAATTAACACGCAATTAGCTATTTGTTTAAATTCATGCTATTTACTTCTTGCTGACATGACTAGAGGTACACAAGACTTGACTTCACTTGACTAGACTATACACAGAAGTCAGAGGTGGGAAAGCACAGGAATTGGAACAAGATTTGGAAAAAATATAACTGGTATTGAAAGTGAAAAGTACAATGGGGAGGCTTGAATATTTGTAAGTGGAGTCAACTAGAATATTTTAACTCAACTTAGAATGTGGTTCTTGGTTTCCTTGGATGCTGGAACTGGGTGAGACTGGAACAGGACATCAATGTCTCCGTCACATGTTGACCATTTTCTAATGTTACTGATTGTAATTTGAATCCACTTGTAATGCTGCATTTCCAATACAGGTGTATGACTGCTGGCAATAAAGGGGCAATTGCCCCCTGGGTCACTACCCTACAGGGGTTGTTGGCAACAACCTCAAAGTCACAACATTATTTTTCTGCTGATTAAAAGCTGCTGGACTTGCATTACAGTGTCTCTTGGTATGGTACTGGAGAACTGAAACAGCAAGCAGGAATTACACATAGTGTTTGCTAGCTCAACAATATATGGGTTAGCGCTTGGCTCACAGCCCATGAATTCATTGTTCTCCAGGGCTGTAGCTCCAATAGTCCCTATATAATAAATCTGGCTGCAAATTGAGACTGCAGCATCTGGGCTGACCAGGCTGCCATATTATAGCCAATATGTGTAGCATCTACAGAGGTGTTTGCAAATGACCACATGTTGAGACGAGTCCTTGATCTCGACATTCGTAGCTAGTAGTTACTGATGGTAATGGAGTCATATTAAAGAGAATCTGTGTTGTTGATCCTGTGAATAGCTTCTCATGCAATGCAGCTCATATTCATAGAGGTTGCTGGGATATTGAATGTCTCATACCAAGACTCAAGCCGCTTCTGTCTGTCTGCAAAAGCTGGATACCGATCCCACTGATAATTTAATGGCTGAGAGAGTCAGCTGAGTGCTCTTAGCCAATGAATGAACCTTTGGGCAAGAAGTTTGCAGAGAATCTACATTAGTTAGCCCGGAACTCTCATTCCAGACTATCTAATGACACTGCCAGAGTTGGAGTTACATTTCTAGCAGGAACATCAAATAACTTAGTATCTCTGTAAACAAGGTCCTTACACCATTGAAGTAGGGCTGGTGAAGTAGTCATGGTGCTTGGAGTAACTCTTTAATTCTGCACCACTTTAACACCATAATATCCTTGAATTTTATATATTTCTATATACTCTTTCTGGGTGTAGGATTCCAATCCTGCAGACACAATGTGACAAAGGGATTACCTAGACTCCTTAAGGAATCTTTTCTTGTAGAGCTAACTTGTGGGAGGACTACAGGCTGTGTTAAGTCATTATGAAAACATTACCTAATCTATGGGTTTTGCTTCTATTTCAGACATTCTCTATAGCCGTACATGCAATTGCAAGCTATAAAGAGCTATTACTAGAAGTTATTAGTCTAGATTCTTCATATCCGTCACCCAGAAGAGAAATGACCCTTCCGCCACTCTGGCCAGCCTTTCTATATCCGCAATCACATTTCTGTGAGGCTTCACAGGTGCAAAACATTATCTAATTTGAACTTCAAGACACTTGTTGTCTACCCGCATGTCAAAAAATAAGAGGGCAACATGAATTTGAAAGTAAGAATTAGATGTCTTCTGCTGCCAGTTTTTATCTATGACTATACAAGTAATTTAGAAATAAAGATAAAAATGAACTTTAAAAAAAAAACAAAAAAATAACTTTTTGAATCATGAGTAATTAAGTCATGCAGTAAGTATTACCTGAACAACCTGCTCTATCTGTGACACATAACTGCTACATTTGGACGGTCCTATTCAACAAATGCCAGAGGACACAAAAGCAGTAACAATGGCAAGAGGTAGATAGGGGATGCAATTAACACCAATTAAAATATAGTGGCTGTATTTTGTGGGTTGTAGATTTTTTTCTTGTGTAGATAAGATACAACTTGAGTACGTATGAAAAAGGCACACATACACACACACAGACATGCACACACACACACACACACATATTTTAACACTTGCTCACGTGCACATACACCTTTCAAATCTTTTCCATTTATAGATCATTAGCATATAATAATTGCTTCTAGCGCAGGGAGCTGTAAGATGCTCATATTCCATCATTCTTCGTCTCTCACCGCTTCCCCAGAATCTGTCTCATAACAAATGCATCGAGAGAGGCCCCCTCCTATTTTCTGCCTTTGTTCCTCTATCCTTAGACAGAGGCTTAGCGAGACACAGATCTATGAAAGTGGGAGATATAACTCGCTTTGACAAATTCTAACAGCTGTAGGTGAATAAGAAGCAGTTTGTTGTGGCTTCCATCCTGCTGCTGAAGTCTGCGCTTTTTTAAAGAGGTTAGGTGTGAAAATTGGTACATGAGCTGCATGCTCTTACACAGCCGTAGGGACAGGATACAAACATATATTAATCGAAAACGGACATTAGCCAGGTCATAATAAATAAGTTCTGGAAGTCCAAGTTTTCCATTGTTTTGTTGTGATGCTCTATTGAACATTAAAGTAGAGAAAGGACCGATAACACACAGTAAAAAAATAGAGGGAAAAGGAATATATTTAAATCTCTAAAGGCATATTCAAGGCTTGACAAAGGCTCACGTAGAAGCCGAAACATTGTCTCCATTTCTGTGTTTCAAATAAAGACTGTCTTTTCAAAAGAAACTGTCAGGTGTGACCGGATACTTGTATTTACTATCTACAAACAAAATCAAACTCTTGTAGTAAGAGTAACTGTTTCTAAGTGCTTGTTTTCACTCAGAATTGATTTCAAAACTCTAAAACGGCCCTTCTAGATCCATTTTGCTTTTACCTGCAAAGGTGAGATGAGATCATTAAAAGCCTGTCAATGCGTCCATCGTGAGAACTGCTATATGGATGGTACTACTGTCAGAACGGCACTCTTTTGGTCAAAGCTGGTCAGTGAGGGAAATAGTAAACAGCTTCAAAGGGCAATTTTAGGTTTTATTTATCAAATTAGCCATAGCCACCGTGATATCGAATTCAGGACTAGGAGACAGGCCACAAAAAAATTGAGTTTTACAGGGTTGGATGTTCACTAAATTGAGAATTGCTAGGAATTTAAAGTGACTTTCAAAATTAAGGCCAGATTAGGAAAATTCTCCAAATATTTTGAATCTGGCTTTGAATTCATTTTGAATTCCTGTCAATTCTCATGTTACAGGGTTATTCAACAAAGTGAATTTCAAATTCAAGGAAAAGGAAAACGGTCACCATTTTTGAAGTGTTGTTGAAAAAAAATAATGACATGTATTAAAGCATCTGAGAATTTTGTAATTAAAGATATACTGTGTTTCTGACCAAAGCAGATTGAAAGGGACACTGTAGCCATTATAACCATTTTAATTTAATTGAATTGAATTAGTTACAGTGCCTTGAGTATTCTGGGACCATCCCACCATTCAGTGTTAAACCACATTCCCTCATTTTAAAACAAAATAAGCGTCCGTAGACATCCACAGCCTTGCCCCCAGTGGAGGTCTCAGGCACTTCCTTCTAACCAAAGCAATTCACACCAGCAGTGGACACAGTGATTGGCTGACACTCTCAGCCAATCACTTTGGCTCAGGCTACTGCTATCTCATTATACCAAGCAGCACAGTGGATATGGGCAACTGGAGACTCTCATTCAGTATAAAAACAATTTAACACTAAATGGAAGAACGACACCAAGGGAACTCCAGACACTATAACCACTTCAGTGAGATGAAGCAGTTACAGTGACTACAGTGTCCCTTTAAAGATGGCACAATTAGATGCACTAAAATGGCTATTTACCTAGGGCTATGCATTCATCTCAGAATTATTTGTTTACATACTCTCCAGATGCATATCATTTTTTATTTTTAATAATATTAATTTTAAAAAAAACAATAACAGTTTTCCTTTAAATATATAATTCCAAACTAAAATGTCTCACTCATTCAGTGATAGTGAGTCTGTATAGACATAGGCAGAACATGTTATGCCAGCATGAGGTCTTTGACGCATACAGGGTTATTTACTACAGCGAGAACTACAGTGAATGCAAAGTGAATTTCAAATTTAAGATCAACATAGCTAAACTGGAAAAATTCTCCCAGTCAATAGCCACTTTGGCTAATTCGGCTTTAAATATGAAATCCACTTTGAAATTAATTTAGAATTTTCTGAAATTCTCACTTTACTGAATACGCAGATAATATTTATAAAAAAAGCTCTTTTAGCCTATGTTTGGATTCGAAAATTAATTAGCCATTAGTCTTGAAGGTAAGCACAGCCTAAGGTAAGTATTTGTCTTTAACTACTCCTCCCTTAGCTTTATCTACTCAAGTGCACTTGACACCTTTTGGGGTCAAAAAATTCAAAGACTTCACAAGTAACAGTGCCACTTTAACAACCTGGTTGTGATGAGTGCAAGAAAATTTCCTTGGCCTTTAAAGAATTAATGTGTTTTAACATATCTGGTTTCGAATTTCATTAACGCATGCCGTCTGCGTACACTTGGAGTTGTTCTATGACTGTTTAAATTGTTTACCTTTTTTTTCAGTCACACTTTGCTGACATTCCCGTGTTACCAAGCCTATTCTAAGCCACAGACTGCAGCCAACAAGCTGTCATCGAGTAAAGTTGCCAGAATGGGACTTCCAGCATGTGCTAGACGGCAGCTGACATTATGTACAAGGGTTAGAGTTATAGACTCCCAATGGCCGATGGACAGCTGCCAAGCCATTTTAGAGCCGCTAAATCTAAACCGGACTTGTTGTATGACAGCAGTGATATATCTAAACATACTTGTGCATGTTGTCAGAGAACAAATGTCCTGCGTAGTTTCCAGTTACCTATCTAAAAGCCCCAGGCTTGATTATTTTAGTTATTTTCTGCAACACTATCACGGTTATTCACTTCATTATGAATTGTTGGGCACGCAAAAAAAATGTAAAATTAATTTTCCATTTCAAACCAAAATAACCAAAATGGAAAAAATGTTTTGAATTTGACTATATCAGTCTCAGATCGTAAACTTGCATTAACTTTGAATTCCAAAAAATTGACGCTTAAAGGGTTACTCCAACTATCATAACCACTACAGCACACTGTGTAAAGAAATATGTACAGAATTGATATCAGACTGCCCAGAACTCAAGTTAATGACACCCCAATGCCGCTGGTGGAGATACCCCGTCTGGCAGCAGCAGCATTTTATAGTGAAATGGCACACATACAGAGCCCAGACACCATGACCACTTCAAATCAGTAAAGTGGTCGTGGTGCCATCAAAGACAGGATGTGGCAGGAGAGCAAGAGATGATGTGTAGAACCCCGATAGTTTGTGTCCTAAAACGAGATGGCAACTAGCCACGGACTAGTAGAATGGTAACTAGCACTTTTCATGGTAAGCTGTTCCATCTATCTAAAATTTTTGATGACTTATTAGAGTGTTTAATCTATTATAAATGTTAAATTGTGTTCTGTAAAACAGTTTTATATGCGACAGTGTGGCTATTATTTCACCTACATCTGTTACGTTATATACACCAGATAATTCTATGTTTAATATGATTAAACAGTAACATGTGGATAAATGGGAGCTATACCATTGCTATACCATTGTGTAAATGTGTACCGTACAAGCTCTTGCTGATGAAGAGCCACAGACAGGGAGCTATAACCCATTGGGGGTAATGTTAAAAAAACTATTCTCAGGAAATAAATATCACAGAGTGTAAGAATGTTTTTTCTGATTGTTCCGTTTTGCTCTAGAATTAATTTGCATATATATGCAGTGCATGCTGTATTGAATAATAAATACGAACACACCAGAAACCAATTGATGATTGCCGTAAGGCCCTTGTAAAGTTTATTAGGGTTTAAATGTAAATAATTACATTATCTTAAAATATTAAACCAAAACTTAATAGCCAATAGCCCTAAAAAAACAGATCTCCTTAACCAAAATAACTCACCATACAAGTCTATTCCCAAATTTAAAAGGAGAATAGCTATACCCCAATAATATACCACGACAATTAACTTATTAATTGATACCAATCTTAAATTAGATCATAGATAATCAACAGATAACTGTAAACATGCAAACATACAAATTATATTACAAAGATTTCGTATAATTAAAGCGGCGGGGCACCGCTGCAATGATCACTGGCACAAGCACATATTAAAAAAAAAACAAAAAAAACAGCCCTATATGTACTGACGATTCGTACCCACACTGTGCCTAGCACTGCTAATATCTGATAGCAAGCCCAGTTGAGGATTCCAAAGTGTGAGCTATCTGCAGATTTTAAAATATTGCAAATAATGTCAGCCTGAACTACCAAAATCAAACTGTTTAACAACAGCTTGAATTTAACCCTTTCACTAACTGACCACAAAAGCGGTGCACATATTGCTCAAGGGTTTATTGCCCACTGCATTACATAAATCCCGTTGTGCTTGTTCTTTCTACTGCGTGCATTTGTTAAGGGATGGTGGACAGTGGCCTCTGAGTGACACAAAGACAGACAGTATGAAACAAGAATGCTATCGATAATTTAAGATAAGCCTGGAAGAACCGACAATGTGTAAAGAGCTTGTTACTTTTCTCTTTGCGACAGTGTCAGAGCTATTCACTTAAGTGTGAATTGTCATAGATTCAGAGTGAATAACAGATTGTAGCCTAATTTTCAGGTTGTTTTGTGAATTGGCACCAATTAAAATGTAAGATTTAAAATTAAAATATTTCTCAACCCTGCATATGTAGCTAAGTAATATTTTACTTTGTATATAACTGCATTATGTAATATTATATACTTTAGAAAATGTGCCAGGGCTAAGACATGTGGTTGGGTAGCACGTGAGATAATACAACACGTGTAATTCATGCTTCGAGGTTAACATAGATTCTGCCATATAAGTAGCTTGAATATCTGTTGTATTGCCTCACTGTCTACGGGACCTCCATCATAGGATTTGGGGCAAATACCTATGAAACTGTGACATAAGTATATAGGTATATTACATAGCTGTCATTAATCTTTTTTAACTGCTTAACATTAGATGACTTGCTAGGTCAGACCCGATATTAAGGGATTGATTTAAATCTTTGCTTTGTAGGGATTAAAAAGTGTATGTTTAATATGGGTTAAAGGGTTACTTCAGTCATCACTAGACTGGTAGCTGATGATGGTAGCTGGTGCGTTTCCTTGTAATACTTTACTGGACTGCTTGTCTCCTTTCTTGCCGGCTTGCGACATCCATCTTCTGCTGCACCGCAGAAATCGGATGCCGATCTCGCCAGCCATTCATTGGCTGAGATGGTCCGCTGATTGTTCTCAGCCAATTAATGAACATCTGTGCATAGAAATATGTACAGAATGTGCATTAGGCAGTCCGGAACTCTTGATCTAAGCTGACTAATGACTCCAAAATGGCACTGCCAAAGAAGAGTTACACCCCCGGCTGCAAAAGGTAGGAAACTCGGCTTGTGCAATGTTTCATAACAGAAATCTGCACCTACAGACTTCAGGCAACATGACTGTGATGGAAACTGCCGTGCCACAGACCTTTGGAGAGGCTTGAAGGCCAGCCTCCTGCCCATGGACTAAGGGACTGGTCCCAAGAGCCCCTAAAAGGGGAGGGGTATGGGTGCCTGGGAAGCTTACTGTGTTTCCCAACTGGACTTGAGGACCTCTGATGATTGCCTTGACTCATTTTATACAACGAGTGCCTATTTACAAGATACCGTAAAATACTCATGAACTATACCGTGGATTACGACTGTGCCGAGGTCCAGTCAATCTTTAATCGCTCTGTCCACTGACATCTTTTTGTAAACAAAGAAAATTATCAACAAAAAAATTTGAAACATTAAAAAAGTACCGTATATAAAAATGTGTTTTGTTCCCTAACTTGCATGTAATTCAATCAATCCTAATATAGATCTCCCCTAATTCATTTTCCTTTAGATTCCCTTAAATCTACATATCACACAGCTGCTCCACTGACAATCTGTACTTAACTGTGCTTGCAATCGGTGAACAGATGTTATATATGCTTTGCAAAGCAGATGTGTTTACTGTAAACACAGTCTCTGTCTCAGTGTGATGTGATTTAAAGGCTTGGAGTGTTGTGATATGCCTTGAGCAGCCAGCAAAAAAACCATGAACGGCTCTGATTGGTACACTGAGCTTAATCTCTGAATAGTATATATTTAAACATGTTTTTCTGTCTCTGACCAGCAAATAATCTACTTTAGTCCCATCTGGTGGTTTTAGTGGCTAATGTGGTTTTCTTGCATCAGAGAAATTCACTCTACGAGTTTTCACATCATGTCACATGGGGTTCTAGCATAGATTGAAAAAAAAAAATAAGGATAAACAAACACTGCGTGAAAATATTGCAGAAGTGGATTTTCAAAGAAAATCTTTATTTATAGAAAGCATGAATGCAAAGGTACCTCGAGGTTCCATTTGTGAAAAGAAAGTCTCAGATGCCCTAGTTTTAAGCATAACATAAAAGACAAATTGAATGAGAAGAGTAAAGAAGACGAGAGTAAAGAGGAAAAGGCAGGGAATATGGAGGTGGACTTGGTTGAGTTTGCAGGATTTGTGTTGTGATACAATGTTACCTGGTGTAGGCCCCATATCTCAGACGTTGTAGGCTGTCCATGGTATACACACAGTATGGACGTTTGGCCTATTAACCAGAATGGTTCTTTGTAAAGATGGTCTTGAAAGATGTCTTGGCAGAGGTGATGATACCTGCTCTGAAATTGGTTTGGTCAGATGGGATGATAACTTCCTCAAAAAAATTATTGGATGATATCTGCCAGTCCAGTATGTAGAGAAGAAACAGAAGACCTTACTCTGGAAAATTGCTGTGTAATTCCACATGGTCCCTGGTTGAAGAGAAGAAGGGTCGAATAATGTACTAGGATGGGTCTGGATCCCAAGCCTGGGGCTGACTCCCCTGTTCCCATTACAACTTTGTGACATTTCAGGTTCGATGGAATCCCCAATTTAACCAAGCTGGGGGTGATTTACAATGTGACATTTTAACAGAAACAAGAAAAGTGTAAAGTGCTTAAGAATACAAAATGTATAAATAGTGCACAAATCCACACAATTACAGAAGTACTCACCAAAGTGACAAACAAACTAGTTTCGGATGAAGCCCAGGAAGGTGGACGAAACTAGTCACGAAGTGCGTCGCTAAGAGGAAGCCCCACGTGGTTGAGTTACGTTGGAACCCAGAAGGGACCACTGAACACTGGCATCTTCTTGTTTTACATGCTCTGTTGTGGGTACCTTGCAGGCAATACCCACCACGATTTATGTAAGAGTTGCTAACCTTTTTTTTTATTATAATAAAGATTTGGATACTGTTGAATTGTGGTCCTGTCCTCTCTGCTTGTCTCCTACTTATATAGAAGAACCTATCTGGCTCAACACACCTGATAATTGAGAATATGTATGCTGTCTGGTTATCCTGTTGTGGGAAGTGTCCCTCTCCAGCTGCATTTTTCAAACTCAGAGCCAGTGGTGATTAGGCTCTGGTAAATGTGAGTTTAATTACTTTTTAGTGACAGTGTTGCAATTGAGTGAAATGTAATAACTAACTAAAGCATCTGTGTACTTTCATAGTGATAATCCAGTTTATATATATATATATATATACATACATACACACTATTATAAGAATTTGTGTGTTTTCAAGGCGCTTTCAGTTAATAATTGAGTAAAATGACAGCAGCTACCACACAAATAGGGACTCTCTACCCTATAGATTAGTACAAAAAAGATTAGGTGTACACTCAGTATTGGAAATTAATGATAAAAACCACCACTGGTGTGCATATGGAGCGCTTACAAATTTGTTGACTCACCCATATGGGTTAACATACATATGTATGGAAAACGTGACTCATAGCGATATATCTGAAACAAATGTAAATGCAAGAAATAGTGCAGATAACGTTTTCAATAAGTGCAGTGAGGGAATATTCTATATGGTCTCACTCACATGTAGCAGAGCCCTATAGGATAGGCTCAGATCTCAATGGCCTGCGTGTGCGTATGGTGACACAGTTATGCCTGATCTCGTCAGATCTCAGAAGCCATCCAGGCTTAGGCCTGGTTAGTACTTGTATGGGAGACCAGCTAGGAACCTACTATATATTTATATGTTTTTTATATATATATTTTAATATTGATATCATCATTGAAGATAAGCTGCTGACACAATTGAGACCTATTCAATAATAATCAGCATTTCTCCTAAAAGAGCACACTCCTATTCACCACCTATCTTTATGCATGTACTGTCACTTTGAATGAAAAACATTAGATGTTTTTATTTTTTTTGATATGTAAATGTTATGAATTAACTTGTAAGCAATATACAATAATACTATCCCCCTTTCTCCCTTCATTTTTTCGTTTATATATCGCTCAAATTGAGCACCTGGCTTGTAAATAGGAAGGGACTTGGTTGAAGGAAGGGCATTTTGCCCAACTTAAAAATGGACGATATGGAACTGTGAGCCCTACATTGAAAACACGCCCAATTTGTGATGCGGCACGTGATGCTTCGGGTCACATGACTTGTTCCGAGACCGGAGCATACTCATTACTAACACAGCACAGCTGTTCATGAAAAAGGACGCCAGCGGATTGGAGGGAGGGAAGTTTGAAGGACCACACAGGAGGAAGTACAAAGTATTTAAACAAGTAACAGCAGCAACTATATTACCGATTGAAAAAGCTGTCTGGGTACAGTGAAACATGTTTCGGCTGGAGGATTGAAGATTCCACATTTTATAATTTCTCACAATTTTGTTTATATTTTACTTGTAAGTTTTTACTACTTTATTTAATAAATTTTGTTTTATATTTGGAATCCACCCTCCATTGTTGCTGCTTAAAGAAGGGTAGTTGCCCCCTTAAAGGCACAGACACCTACACACCAGGAGCCAGGTATAGGGCTCCACATCAGGTGAGAAGCCACTTTTTCTGCACTATTTGACATTGTACATTGGGATTGACCGCACTAGGGGTTCTCCTCTTCCCCTTGTTCTCTCTCTCTCTCTCTCTCTCTCTCATGTATGCATAAGGATCTCCAGACGCCTAGAGGACCGATTGGGTACTGTGTCACCATAAGCACACGCAGGCCATTGAGATCTGAGCCTATCCTATAGGGCTCTGCTACATGTGAGTGAGACCATATAGAATATTCCCTCACTGCACTTATTGAAAACGTTATCTGCACTATTTCTTGCATTTACATTTGTTTCAGATATATCGCTATGAGTCACGTTTTCCATACATATGTATGTTAACCCATATGGGTGAGTCAACAAATTTGTAAGCGCACCATATGCACACCAGTGGTGGTTTTTATCATTAATTTCCCATACTGAGTGTACACCTAATCTTTTTTATACATACACACTATATTGTACACGGAGAATGTTACATTTTAGACCAACTTAAGTTCTCTGACTCTATTGCTTCCACCACAGCTAAAATGTGATATTCACTGGTCATGTAGTGACCAGATGTATTGCTAAGGGAGGCTGGGTGGGCTCTAACCTCCTCCTAATGAGGAGTTTCTTGGTCCCAAACCTATTTGGCCCCATGGGCAATTAAGAGCCCAGAATCACTAGATCGACACTGGTTTTCCTGCCCAGTCTTCTCCATAAGTTTCAGGTGGGAGCTGTCAAGAGTCACAGAGGAGACCAACAGGGAAAGCAGCACAGAGCAGTATAGAACAAGCAATTTGCTGCCTATGAGTCTAAAGAGATTCAATGCACATTCAGGCACCCCAGTTAAAAGGGACATATTGTTATATATTGTCATCTGCCTGCACTTTTATCACTGTTCTGTTTACACTCCCATTGAGACCAGCCAGACAGAGAGATCTGAATGTTGTATTTAACTTCTAACCACTGGCCACTTTCCCCCCAACTCGCATCAGTATCAGAGTCAGTATCCTTTTTCGAAAGCAAGTGCGTGAGTATCTGTGTGTATTTGTGTTCATGTGCACCTGTGTGTTTGCGCATCTATGGCTTTATGTATGCATCTGTGAATGTGTATTTGTAAGTATTTAACTGTGAGTACGTGTCTCTGTATGTATGTGTGAGTGTGTTTTCATGTATGCAACCATAAGTGCTTGTCTTTATATATGTCACTGTGGGTGTGTGAAGAGGCGTATTTTGCAGGTGTTATGGTGAGGTGTTCAGGAGGGGCCTTGAGTGGGGTTTGGGTGGGTCTTTAGGAAAGGGTCACCAAGTTCTGTTTTGGACTGCAGTCCCGAGTATGTTTCAACCCCAGAAATGCTCATCGTAGTGACAGATCTTGCTTTATTGAATTACACTATCACTATTATAGTTTATACGTAGGTATTAGGTAATCATTTTAACTTTAGTTGATTCTGCCATTGACACAGGGCATAACACAATGGACAGGCGCATCTGTACGCATAGCTTTGTATTTTCAGATCTGGCTAGCACTGAGTATTAACCATGTTGATTCTGCATAGTACATCAGCAACTGCAGTGAAAAAAAAACCCTAGCACAATTACAATATCATAGTATCATAGTCAACCTAACTTCTTTGGACTTATTGATATCCTTCAGTGTATCATCAAGTGATGTCCAAGGTGTTCCAAAACATGTCCCTATTTAGTGATGTGATTGTGTTGGGATGTAGGCGGTAAAGATACATTTATTTAAATCTGGTGGTCAAGCCCATCAAGTTCAGGCTTTCACACATTTCTATTAATGCCGTGGATCCTCAAGAAGATGTTAACCTCCATTTTTCAACAAATTGTATTGGCATCTTCTTCTTGCAATGTAAAATTTTTTGATTTTTTTTCCATGTCTGAGCATGGCTTTCCCCTTTACTAATTCATGCCCTGAACAAGAATGCTCTGTCTTTGACACAACACCTAATGATTTAACAGGCCTCTCCATGCATTCATGACGGTAGCAGCGGTGATCTGAATATTCCATAAATGCAGGATTATTTGCTAGAGTGAGAATTTAAGGCCAGAATAGTCGACCTGAAAGCACAATTGACTTAGAGAAGGGTTCCAGTTCAGCTATTTTGACCTTAAATGTGTCACTCTCTCTTTTTCAACTATTTTCCCAAATCATAACTCCCGTATGTCCTCTGCTCTCCTTTTACTTTCATCTCTCTCTCCGTGTCTCGTGTATCCTTCCTCGCTGAGTATTTTTCCTGTTGACCTTTTAGACTGCAATGCGTTCTCAGTCATTCTTGATCTCCAGCTCGTCTCTGTTATATAACATTGATACAGATTTAGCTACTCTGAATCCCTAGGATTAATTCTCCTCGTTGCCATCACACAAGAGAGGGAGGATGTGGGGCAGCCCAGCGGATTCTGGGTGGGGAACCTCAATGAATTCCATTATCCATTTATTAATATATGGAGCTTGCACGGCCATGCCCTCCTGTGTTAAACAAATTGCGTAACTGAAAAACGTGCTGTCTGTGTGATAGGAAGACAAGTTTTTACAATACTGTTCTAGGTCTGTGATCGTAGCCATCAATACGCACAACACTAATTATGAGAAAGAACACGGTGAATGAAAATCACTTAATAATAATTAACATTTTTCCCAAAAGTTAAAGCCCTGTGCTAAAAAGGATTGATATATGACAGGCGAAGCCTTAAGGTAACACATTAAAAGTGGTCCGCAGCAATCTGTTAACATATTTTTACACATTAAATAACAATCTGACTTTGAAATATACATACATGCGGGTGCATGCACACACATACACATACAATAGTATATTATATTTTTGAATCTCTGGTTTTAATACTATTTTAGAGTAAGTAATTAATCAGGCATAAATAAAGGTGAAATAAGTCTTAATATGTCTGTATAAAAATAAAAATAAAATATATAGCTAGTAAATATCAAAACCATATTTTAAATGTTCATTTTGCCGTTACGTATGCTTGTATACCAACAGATTTTCAACCAAGGCAAAACAAGGAATGATATGCAAGAAACTTTTTTACCAAATGGTATTTTTAGGTTTTGAGCAGGTGTAGGAATGTTGAGTATGCCTTAGCTTTCAGTATGGATTGGCTGCAACAAGTTAAAATAAAAACTAATTTTCCCGTACATTTTTCCAGTGTAGGACAAAACATATCCTGACTCTACAACTTACTAAATGGATAAATACTTTAAAAAAAAAACATAATAACAAGGGAAATAATTTTACCGGAGTAATAGCTGCTTGATCCAAGTAGATATCTTACTGCTATTCTGAGTTCAAGAAGGAATTGTTTCCTAGTTTGTTGCAAAATTGGAAGCACTTCCGACTGGGTTTTTTGCCTTCTTTTGGATCAACAGCAAAAACAGATGTGAGGAAGGCTGAGCTTGATGGACGCAAGTCTCTTTTCAGCCTATGTAACTATATAACTCAAGTACTCTGTACAAAATGCAACAATCTCAGAGCCTCCGGACAATTACATGTTGATGGACAAATGTACTGTTTTCCGCTATGGCTTTCCCAATAAATTGCTTATCACATGAAACAGAATTACACATGGAATGTAAATGTATATCTGGTATCAATGACCACATAGCCCTATGATTATACAACAATGTACAAACACCCAGTACCTACCAATTAATACATGACAATATCGTCTTTCTCTAGAATGAGGCAAACTCCAAAGGGTATACAGAATTACTAAAATAAGAATTCAATGGGAATTCCAAGTGAATTTAAAGGTCAAAATAGCTGAAATAGAAAAATTATTTAAGCCAGTTATGCTTTCAGATTGACTGCTATGGCTTTAAATTTCAAATTTTTTTTTTTTTTTTTTAGTAAATGACCTTGTTTGTTTGTGTTTCATTAAATCTGAAAATAAGGTGAGTTTTAACCCATTCTGAGGGGGGGGAGATGAGGGGGGGCAAGCCACCTAAATGGTGGGTTTTCACTATAGGGTTAGGAATACATGTTTGTGTTCCTGACCCTATAGTGATCCTTTAAACCTACCTTTGTCCACTCCTCTGAAACAGTGGAAGGGTGCAGAGACAGGGCAACAAGTTTCAAATGCTATTACATAAACATCAGGTTTGTATAATTTATGGAGTTGTAGAACCAGGAAATAAGGAATACTCAACACTTACATAACAACTATACAAGAATAGACATGTTTTTTGCTGGTTATGTTGTAGTCTACACAGTACAGGACTTAACATTTTACCCAACTACTTGGTCAGGTCAAAGTCCAATGATCTTAACACACACTTTGGTGACATCAACACCTACATTTGATTTAATGCTCTTTAATGGTTATGTTGCCCGAAGATCCCAGTTTTTTTAAAAAGGTTTGAGCAGTGAACAGACCAAGAACCTTGTTATCGACTTAAAATAGAGCAATTGAATAGGATAGAAAAAGAAAAAAGGTGGTTTAAGCATTCCTAACCTTATCCACTAATGCCAAGCAACACCGGTAGCATAGACACTACCTTTCTACTCTGTATCTAAAAACATATGTAGGTAGATATAGCAGACTGCAGTCCACAGTGCGGTTGTAACATACATATTCAGGTTTCTCTGGTACGTGATGGAGAGGCTGTGGTCTAGAATACTTTGGGGGATCTGGCCAAATCGAAATCTTTGCAATAATAACATTTAGTACATAGTGTAATTAAGTTCCATTTAGACTTTAAACCAGAAATTGTACTTTTAGATCTGTACCCATCAGACCTCCCAAAGGGTTACATCAAACTTACTCTTACTAAAAGAACATTAGTTTTCTCTTTTTTTGTCTCTGAATATATTATTGGATCAAAACAAAACAAAACAAAAAAATAAAATAGAAAAGCACAATAGTGACTGAGCTACTGCAAGTAAAAGTTCTCTTAGAAGATATACGGATGCGATATGTTGCACATTCATCTACAAATTACCGACTAGTTTAGTCAACTACTTAGCACTATATAGACTCTGTCTTACAGTGACTCAGTATTATGGGACAATTCGCGTGATGAGTGTCTATCCTAAAATCAGACTTCACTATAGGAATTATATAAAAAAATATATACATTAATACCATGCACGTGTCATTGTCCATATCATATCGTATTTACGGTAATACCGATGCCTGCAAAAAACCATAGCTCACTGATTAATGTATCTACAAATCTATTTGTTATTGCTCTGTCATATTTTGATGTTAACTAGAAGATACCCAACTGTCAGGTGACCTAGTAATCAGACACTTTCCTGTGATGCTGTACGTCATCCCAGGGGCAATTCTGATCCTGCCAAATCCTGTCCTTTTATTCAGAGGTTCTACAGCATAATTCTCGAGGGAATCGTAAAAGTGCGTCATGCATGCACGTTTATTCTGCATAATAGCAGGTCGCTTAATCCTATATAAACTCTTGTAGCCTATGCCCGGTCATGATTCTTGCCTCATGAGAGTGCGTTTCATTGCTCCTAGTGTTACCTGGTTATTGATTTGGCTAAGGTTGGCTATACTTACCTCCTTATACGTTGACTTGCCTTATTGTTCTGTTGTCTTTCTGTAATCCTTGACCTTTTGCCTGTTCCTGACTTTTCCTCACTTCCTTGCAGGCTTGGATTGCCCACCTGGACCCCATGATAGGCCTGGCCATTCTAAGTACCAGTAATATGTACCTATCCTGTGATTTCCAAACGTGTGCTCTGTACACTTGTCCTGATTTCTGTGTGTTGAGTTCTCCGTATCCTGACACCAACAAAGTGTCAATTAGCAATGCAACTAGCAATCTACAGTTTCCCTCATCTAGCATTATAAAACCTGCAAACCACAACTTTACTTATGTTTCTGATCACATTTAATTAAAAATGATTTGGTTTGAAAACCTCAATAAAAAATGTTATTATTGTTATTAAAAAATAAAAAATGAAAGCCCCACGGATTTGGGCTAAGCGTGATATAGCCAGCTATGCGTGACCAAATTCTCATATTGCTTAATTTAAGAGGCACTATTTGCAATCTTTTTTGAAAATTAACTTTAATTATAATGTTCTAAAAGCTCCTTAAATTAAATTAATGCAGCTTTTAAAGCATGTTATAGCTTCTTTATTGTAGTTCACTGGCCCCTTGGGGTATAGTATATAACATTTGGTTATTTCACTATGCCAATTAGAAGCTGCACATTAGGATCCAGGCTTCATTTCTGTAATTTGTGTATTTGTATAATTGATTTGACTACAGAGTTTATAGCCCTTTTCCTCCATGCACGGCCCAGTGTACCATTTATTATGTCTAATGATTAGCACAAATTGACAGAGAATTTCGGTGTAAATTAGAAAGAATTCTAAAGAGAACCAGCTCTGTTCCAGTGTACGTAATGTTGATTAAAGGATTTACGAACCTTCTATAAAACTCCTTTACAGTACTTGCTCACTGTTAATGATTTTATCATTAATTTGTCTTGCTTTAAAGTGATCTTTGACATTCTAGATAGTTTTAAAGTTGATCTATCAGTCAGAAAATATCTGCATGGCAAGGTCTTCTCCGGATTAAAAGAACAATCAGTGACAAATTTATAGATGAAAGAATATGATTTAAATCAGTTCCTAACTAAAAACTTTACTAACAAAATATATATTGGTTAATATACAATTGCCACCTCAAAATTAGTTGAGTACTTTACTTTTTCCAAAAAGATTTATCTTAAACCATTTGCTGTCATTCCCATTAATACATGGGCATATGAAATCGGCCTCACACTCTGGAACTCGTAGATTATTTGAAATTTTATTTTGCTAAAAACAAATCAGCCTTCCTCTCCGTCCCATGCAGTGTTTAAAGGTCAAACATTGTCCATTTAGTCCTGTTTCTTTCTCATTAGATCTCAAACCAATAAAGTTATGGTGGGGAAAAAAAGTGATTGAAAATCCCTTTTACCTGAAGTCAGTGGATAATCAATACATTGCTAAACACAGATCTGCACACCAGTCAACCCATAAGACTCGCCTTTTTCACAGAATTCTCAAATTTGCAGTGATGTTACTACTGTAAGGGATTCTGGGTGGGCATATGCAAATTAGTTCAACAAAGAATAAAAATTTTGCCTCATCCCATTTTAAACATGGATTCCGTCGAGTTTATGTTTGCTGAATACATCTACTTTAAAACACAACTCAGGAAACGTTACGAAGCCTAGGACCAGGCATGTGAATGTGTGCATTAAGTAAGACGCTCTGTGATAACAGTGGAACACTTTTACCCAACTCAATGATACTTGTTTTATCAGCCTAGGAAGCATAACAGGCACCAAAGGTATTCTAACTGGTAAATTAACCGGGTGTGTTTATCTGAGTAAGTACAAATATATTGTATTAGCATCTGTCAAAACAACACTTATGGACTCTGCGTCCCTTCCTGTTACACTACGTTTGTAACAGTAAGTGTTGATGGAACACAATGCCTTCTTTTGAGTTGGCTAAAAGTCTATCATTGCCCTCTAGTCTTAATTTCTCAATAAGTGAAACTCCCCGAACGTACAGACTCTCATTACACGGTCGGAATGATCAGACAGGTCAGAACGGTCGAATGATACAGTGTTTCTTGAACACGAATGATGTGCGGACAGATGTTACTGTCATTGCATAGCTACTTTAGAAAGGACAGTAAATAAGGATAATGGGGAAAGAATCTAATTTTGCCTCAAATATATAATTATGGACAAGGTATGTGAGCAAAGTGTGAAAATAGGACTAAATGTTTTAGATTACCCTTCAAAAGCACCACCAGATAAAAAAAACTGTACGAATATAATGTAATTTTTGGCATTTGTAATCTCCTATCTGTCTTTGCCTGTGGCGCTAGATTTACTTCCTCTTTTAAACTTATAGATCTAATTAAAAGTTTAATTTCGTGGTTATGCGCAGCAAGTGGACATATATCAAATGCGATAAAGCAGGTTAACAAAAAAACAAACCAATAGGCATTGATTCTGCAATAATATTAAAAGTACATATTGTAATGTATGTAAGGATAATGCTGAGATTGAAACTGCTTTGTATCACTAAATTAACCCTTGGTGTGACAAAGAGAATAAGTAAGTGCAGTTTTTATTACATAACTAATGTGAATTTTTACTTTTTTTTTATTTATTTTTTTAAATTGACCTTTTGCCTTAACACCTCCTTTAACTGCAAAGTTGTTTGCAATCTTGATCGCTTCAAAGCCTAATGTTTAAATTGTATAGATTTGATGGAACATGCCAAAAACTGAGGGATTATATATTGTCCTATTTTCTGTAATATAAGACATTTTCATTTCTAAACGTAACTGCTCTCTATTGCAATGTGTTTGTTAGCTGGCTATTAATGCAATGAGCCCCATATTCAATTCAATATAATTCAATGTATTCTTTGTAGAATCTTTCTCATATACGTTGGTGGTCATGTGCTATCCTGGTAGAATGCTGTCCGAGTACCAGTAATTGTGCAGCTAAAGTAAAATTAAAAAATAACCCTTCTAACTTCTGTTAGAGGCAGCCTGCAGATACAGACAGTATGCACCCAGCTAATCAGGAGTCGCTGACCATGGTGTGTGGGGTCTGATCTTATCCAATTATCGCCTGCCTGAAAGGGATATGCAATTTGTCACCCAGCTGCAGTTCCATTCATCCCTTAGGATGATTGTAGTAGCTCAATAAACTGATAGCAGCTTTACTGTGACTGCTATCAGTGTATACATTAACAGGGGGTGCGTGATAATGTCTACACCATAACATTTGCAGCATTGTGGTCACATAACTTTGTTTTGGTGTTTAGCTTGCATTTGTAAAGGTCCATCAGCATCATTGACAAGGACTGATACATCAATTTTAAAGGAACAATATATGGTCAGAAACACAAACAGGTATTCCTGAACCTATAGTGTTAAAAACACCATGTAGCCCCCCTTGCCCCTTAATTATATAAACATTTTGCCTTTTACGCAGATTGCTGCTGCCGGCTCTGCCCCTGATCTGCCTGCTTGGCTGACATAATCAGAAGTAATTCTCTCAGCCAATCACAATGCTTTCACATAGGATTGGCTGAGCTTGTCAAGGAGGCAGATCAGAGTCAGAACCAGCGCAAGCCAAACACAGCCCTGGCCAATTAGCATCTCCTCATAGAGATACATGGAATCAATGTATCTCTATGAGGAAAGTTTGGTGTCTCCATGCAGAGGGTGGAGACACTGAATGTTAGTCACACTGTGTAGCACTGTCCCAGGAAACACCTCTAGTAGATATCTGCGGAGTGGCCACTAGACGTATCCCTAGGCTGTAATGTAAACATTGTCTTTTCTTTGGAAATAGAGTGTTCACTGCAAAAAGCCTGAAGGGACTGATTCTACTCTCCAGAACAAATACAGTAAGCTGTAGTTGTTCTGGTGACAATAGTGTCCCTTTAAAAGCTCTGATCTCTAGTAGCAGTGGTTTTATGAGAAAGAGTTGTTTCAAATAAGGGATCATTGAACACCTGACTACCATAAGAACAACTTAAACCATTGTGCTATTGAATACAGTTAAACAACTTGTCCAATGGCATAATCTCAGCACAGATCACCTGACATATTTCTACACAGCTTGCGCCATTATCCCATGCGTACCAGACTGATTCAACCCATATAGAAATTTTATTAACTGAAAAACTGTGAAAGAAACACTAAATTCATGTTTCAGTGAAGTACACCTTTAATTGTAATAATTTTCCTATAATTGTATATATAAAATCGTCAACCCAGAGAGATCTTTTCACTTCCCCATATTATTCAGTATTACTTTTGCTGCAGTATTCACAAACAATAATGTCTAATCTGTATGTGTGAGAATGATACCGTATCATTCTAAATGTAGGAACAACCATTTAAAAAGAGACATGTTACTTCAGTGGACATAACACCATTGGATAAATGAAAATCATCTCTAACTTGTGTTCACCTTTTTTTCGCAGTGATACTCTGTTTTATTTTGAATATAAAATATTTCCTTTCTTTTAAAATTATTTTCTGCAAGTTATGTAAATTTAAATTGTACATCAGACACTCTACGTGACCATTCATGCCCCGATGTGCTCACTTTTTAATTTGTTAGCAGTAAAGTGTAGATGAATTCTGTGTAGGTGAATTTAGCTAGTGTGAGTATTGTTATGTATCATGCATATTTTCTAACTTTGTTATTGATACAAGATATAATTCTAAATCCAGTACTAGATGTGTAGTGAGATTATTCAAGACTCGGACAATTAAAGATACATTTATTATTATTTATTGTACAGCAATATACAGGCAGACATTTTAACATTGCTGCAATTCTCATGATTAATAATATCGGATTGATCCAGAGGAAGGCAAATAAAAACCCCGGTGGATGATGTCTCACAGGGGGGAAAAAAATTCCTTCCTGACCCCATTTATGGCGATCAGTTTAAAACCCTGGAACAACCACCTAATGTGTTTAACTGTATATTGCTGAATATATTACACTAACAAATAAAAATAATACAATTTAAAATCAGTCCCTGCTACCAGAGCTTACACTCTAATATGAACAGTACAATATGGAGAATGTGGTCCCTGCTCACAGAGCTTACACTCTAATATGAAGAACAGTACAATACAGAGAATGATGTCCTGGCTCACAGAGTTCACACTGTAATATGAGGAACAGTACAATACATAGATTGAGGTCCTGGTTCGTAGAGCTTACAATCTAATATGAACAATACAGTACAGAGAATGAGTTCCTTGCTCACAGAACTTACAATCTAATATGAACTGTAGAATACAGAGAAGGAGGTCCTCGCTCACACAACTTACAATCTAATATGAACAGTGAAATACAGATAATTTAGGCTCTACTCACAGAACTCACTCTAATATGAACAGTGCAATACAGAAAATTAGGTCCTTGTTCACAGAGCTTACACTCTACTATGAACAGAATAATACAGAGAATGAGGTCCTTGCTCACAGAGCTTACACTCTACTATGAACAGAATAATACAGAGAATGACGTCCTGAATTACAGAGTTTATACTCTAATCTGAACAGTACAATACAGAGAATGAGGTCCCTGCTCACAGAGCTAATATTCTAATATAAATACAATACAGAGAATGAGGTACTGGCTCACAGAGCTTACAATCTAATTTGAACAGCACAATACAGAGAATAAGGTCCCTGCTCACAGAGCTTACACTCTAATATGAACAGTACAATACAGAAAACGAGGTCGTTGCTCACAGAACTAAACTCTAATATAAACAGTACAAAACAGAGAATGAGGTCCTTGCTCACTGAGCTAATATGAACAATACAGAGAAGGAGGTCGTTGCTCACAGAGCTTACACTCTAATATAAACAGTACAAAACAGAGAATGAGGTCCTTGCTGACTGAGCTTACATTCTAATATAAGCAGTACAATACCGAGAATGAGGTTATTGCTCACAGAGCTTACACTCTAATATGAGGAACACTACAATACGGATAATAAGGTCCTTGCTCACAGAGCTTACACCCTAATATGAACAATACAGGGAATGAGTTCCTTGCATACACTCTAATATGAACAATACAGAGAAGGAGATCCCTGCTCACAGAGCTTACAATCTAATATGGACAGTACAATACAGAGAATGAGGTCCTGGCTCACAGAGCTTACACTCTAATTTGGACAGTACAATACAGAAAATAAGATCCCAGCTCATAGAGCTTAATCTTTAATATGATGAACAGCTCAATACATAAAATGAAGTCCTTGCTCATAGAGCTTACACTCTAATATTAACAGTACAATACAGAGAATGAGTTCCCTGCTCACAGAGCTTACACTCTAATACAAACAGTACAATACACAGAGCTAACACTCTAATATGAACAGTGCAGTACAGAAAATGACGTCCTTGCTCACAGAGCTTACATTCTAATATAAACAGTATAATACAGTGAATGAGGTTATAGCTCACAGAGTTTACACTCAAATATGATGAACAGTACATTATGGAGAATAAGGTCCTTGCTCACAGAGCTTACACTCTAATATGAACAGTACAATAAAGAGAGGGAGGTCCTGGATCACAGAGCTTACACTCTAATAAGAATGTGACAATACAGAGAATCATTGTACGTAAATTATATGGAAAGTATTTCTAACATTATTGAAACATTTCTAAATTGTATTATATCAGGTCATAGTGTATAATCCAGAGAAGGTTGATTGCTCACAGAGCTTTCATTATAACATGAATTGTACAATACATAGATAGGGTATCCCTGCTCACGTAGTGCATATCCTAATATGACAGAGAACGTACTCGAGAATCTTCATTTCTTCTTTTCCAATCCTTCCTTTCTTACCTGCTATGGATATTTTGCAGTAGATGGATATTTGTATTCTTTACAATTCCCATTAGAGGAGCTGTAATATTTCCACGCTATAAACTTGATGGAGAGACTATTGTTTCATGGTTTCCTCAGAGATGAAGAATAGACATAAACCAGCTGACTGGTAAATCCCCCTGCACTCAATGAAGAAACAAAGATGAGCCAGATCTCTGGAGATAACTGTTCTATTGTGATGTCATCGACCTGTCATACCTGTCATATGCTGTTGGTCATCATGTGGTCATGTGACAGACATTTCTGCATAATAAATCAGGTTTAAAGCCCCTCCCCACCACATATATCTCAAGCTCACAGAGCTTACACTCTAATATGATGAACAGTACAATATGGATAATAAGGTCCATGCTCACAGAGCTTACACTCTAATCTGAGCAGTACAATACAGATAATAAGGTCCTTGCTCACAGAACTTGCGCTCCAATCTGAACAGTACAATACAGATAATAAGGTCCTTGCTCACAGAGCTTACACTCTAATATAAACAGTACAATACAGAGAATGCTGTCCTGGCTCACAGAGCTTACACTCTAATATGAACAGTGCAATACAGACAATGAGATTATTGCTCACAGAGCTTACACTCTAATATGATGAACAGTACAATATGGATAATAAGGTCCTTGCTCACAGAGCTTACACTCTAATATGAACATTACAATACAACAAGGGAGATCCCTGCTCACAGAGCTTACAATCTAATATGAACAGTACAGTATAGGTAATGAGGTCCTTGCTCACAGAGCTTACACTCTAATCTGAACAGTACAATACAGAGAATGAGGTTATTGCTCATAGAGCTTACATTCTAATATGATGAACAGTACAATACGAATAATAAGGTCCTTGCTCACAGAGCTTACACTCAAATATGAGCATTACAATACAACAAGGGAGATCTCTGCTCACAGAGCTTACAATCTAATGTGAACAGTACAATACAGAGAATAGGGGCCCTGGCTCACAGACCTTACACTCTAATAAGAACAGTACAATACAGAGAATAAGGTCCCGATTACACATAGCTTACAATCTAATAAAAACAGTACAATACAGAAAATAAGGTCTTTGCTCACAGAGCTTACACTCAAATATGAGCATTACAATACAACAAGGGAGATCTCTGCTCACAGAGCTTACAATCTAATATGAACTGTACAATACAGAGAATGCGGCCCCTTGCTCACAGAGCTAACACTCTAATAAGAACAGTACAATACAGAGAAAGCTTTCCTGGCTCACAGAGCTTACACTCTAGTTTGTAACAATACAATACAGAGAATGAGGTCTTTGCTCACAGAGCTTACACTCTAATATAAACAGTACAATACAGAGAATGTGGTCCTGGCTCACAGAGCTAACACTCTAATAAGAACAGTACAATACAGAGAATGAGATCCCCGCTCACAGAGCTTACACTTAAATTATGAACATTACAATACAACAAGGGAGATCCCTGCTCACAGAGCTTACAATCTGATATGAACAGGATGATACAGAGAATGAGATCCTGACTCACAGAGCTTACACTCTAATAGGAACAGTACAATTATGGATAATAAGGTCCTTGCGTGCAGAGCATACACTCTTTTATGAACAATACAGAGAATGAGGTCTTTGCTCAAAGAGCTTACACTCAAATATGAACATTACAATACAACAAGGGAGATCCGTACTCACAGAGCTTACAATCTAATATGAACATTACAATACAGAGAATGAGGTCTTGGCTCACAGAGCTTACACTCTATTTTGGACAGTATGATACAGAAAATAAGATCCCTACTCATAAAGCTTAACCTTTAACATGGTGAACAGCTACAGAGAATGAAGTCCTTGCTCACAGAGCTTACAATCTAATATGAACAGTACAATACAGAGAATGAGGTCCTTTCCCACAAAGCTTACACTCTAATGTGAACAATACATAGAATGAGGTTCTTGCTCACAGAGCTTACACTCAAATATGAACAGTACAATACAACGAGGGAGATCCCTGCTCACAGAGCTTACAATCTAACATGAACAGCACGATACAGAGAATGAGGTCCTTGCTCACAGAGTTTACACTCTAATATGAACATTATAATACAGAGAATGAGTTCCCTGCTCACAGAGCTTACAATCTAATATTAACAGTACAAAACAGAGAATGAGATCAACCGCTCAAAGAGCTTACCCTCTAATATGAACAGTACAAAACAGAGAATGAGGTTCCTGCTCACAGAGATTACACGCTAATATAGACAGTACAAAACAGAGAATGAGGTCTTGGATCACAGAGCTTACACTCTAATATAAACAGTACAATAAAAAGAGGGAGATCCTTGCTCACAGAGCTTACACTCTAAAATGAATAGTGCCATGTAGAGAATGAGATCCTGGCTCACAGAGCTTACACTCTAATATGAACAGTACAATGCAGAGAATGAGGTCCTTGCTCACAGAGCTTACACTCTAATATGAACAGTACAATACAGAGAATGAGGCCTCTGCTCACAGAGCTTACATTCTTATATAAACAGTACAATAAAAAGAGGGAGGTCCTTGCTCACAGAGCTTACACTCTAATATGAACAGTACACTTCAGAGAATAAGATCCTTGCTCAAAGAGCTTATAATCTAATATGAACAGTACAATGCAGAGTATAAGGTCCTTGCTCACAGAGCTTACAATCTAGTAAGAATGTGACCATACAGATAAAGAGTTACAATACAGAGTTTTCATATTTGTACAAATTGTATAATACAGAGAAGGATGATTGCTCACAGAGCTTTCATTATAACATGAATTGTACAATACATAGATAGGGTATCCCTGCTCACGTAGTGCATATCCTAATATGACAGAGAACGTACTCAAGAATCTTCATTTCTTCTTTTCCAATCCTTCCTTTCTTACCTGCTATGGATATTTTGCAGTAGATGGATATTTGTTTTCTTTACAATTCCCATTAGAAGAGCTGTAATATTTCCGCGCTATAAACTTGATGGAGAGACTATTGTTTCATGGTTTCCTCAGAGATGAAGACTAGACATAAACCAGCTGACTGGTAAATCCCCCTGCACTCAATGAAGAAACAAAGATGAGCCAGATCTCTGGAGATAACTGTTCTATTGTGATGTCATCGACCTGTCATACCTGTCATATGCTGTTGGTCATCATGTGGTCATGTGACAGACATTTCTGCATAATAAATCAGGTTGAAAGCCCCTCCCCCCCACATACATCTCAAGCTCACAGAGCTTACACTCTTATATGAACAGTACAATACAGAGAAGGAGGTCCCTGCTCAAAGAGCTTACACTCTAATATGAATAGGTGAATACAGATAATGAGGTCCTTGCTCACAGGGCTTACACTCTAATATGAACAGTACAATACAGATAATAAGGTCCTTGCTCACAGAGCTTACACTCTAATCTGAGCAGTGCAATACAGATAATAAGGTCCTTGCTCACAGAGCTTACACTCTAATATAAACAGTACAATACAGAGAATGCTGTCCTGGCTCACAGAGCTTACACTCTAATATGAACAGTGAAATACAGACAATGAGGTCCTTGCTCACAGAGCTTACACTCTAATATGAACATTACAATACAACAAGTGAGATCCCTGCTCACAGAGCTTACAATCTAATATGAACAGTACAATATAGGTAATGAGGTCCTTGCTCACAGGGCTTACACTCTAATATGAACAGTACAATACAGATAATAAGGTCCTTGCTCACAGAGCTTACACTCTAATCTGAGCAGTGCAATACAGATAATAAGGTCCTTGCTCACAGAGCTTACACTCTAATATAAACAGTACAATACAGAGAATGCTGTCCTGGCTCACAGAGCTTACACTCTAATATGAACAGTGAAATACAGACAATGAGGTCCTTGCTCACAGAGCTTACACTCTAATATGAACATTACAATACAACAAGTGAGATCCCTGCTCACAGAGCTTACAATCTAATATGAACAGTACAATATAGGTAATGAGGTCCTTGCTCACAGAGCTTACACTCTAATCTGAACAGTACAATACAGAGAATGAGGTTATTGCTCATAGAGCTTACATTCTAATATGATGAACAGTACAATACGAATAATAAGGTCCTTGCTCACAGAGCTTACACTCTAATATGAACAATACAGAGAATGAGATCCTTACTCACAGAGCTTACACTCTAATATGAACAATACAGAGAATGAGATCCTTACTCACAGAGCTTACACTCAAATATGAGCATTACAATACAACAAGGGAGATCTCTGCTCACAGAGCTTACAATCTAATATGAACAGTACAATACAGAGAATAAGGTCCTGATTACACATAACTTACATTCTAATAAAAACAGTACAATACAGAAAATAAAGTCTTTGCTCACAGAGCTTACACTCTAATATGAACTGTACAATACAGAGAATGCGGCCCTGGCTCACAGAGCTAACACTCTAATATGAACAGTACAATACAGGGAAAGATTTCCTGGCTCACAGAGCTTACACTCTAGTTTGTAACAGTACAATACAGAGAATTAGATCTTTGCTCACAGAGCTTACACTCTAATATAAACAGTAGAATACAGAGAATGTGGTCCTGGCTCACAGAGCTAACACTCTAATAAGAACAGTACAATACAGAGAATGAGATCCCAGCTCACAGAGCTTACACTTAAATTATGAACATTACAACACAACAAGGGAGATCCCTGCTCACAGAGCTTACAATCTGATATGAACAGGATAATACAGAGAATGAGGTCCTGGCTCACAGAGCTTACACTCTAATAGGAACAGTACAATTATGGATAATAAGGTCCTTGCGTGCAGAGCATACACTCTTACATGAACAATATAGAGAAGGAGGTCTTTGCTCAAAGATCTTACACTCAAGTATGAACATTACAATACAACAAGGGAGATTCGTGCTCACAGAGCTTACAATCTAATATGAACATTACAATACAGAGAATGAGGTCTTGGCTCACAGAGCTTACACTCTAATTTGGACAGTATGATACAGAAAATAAGATCCCTACTCATAAAGCTTAATCTTTAACATAGTGAACAGCTACAGAGAGTAGCTGTTCACAGAGCTTACAATTTAATATGAACAGTACAATACAGAGAATGACGTCCTTTCCCACAGAGCTTACACTCTAATGTGAACAATACATAGAACGAGGTTCTTGCTCACAGAGCTTACACTCAAATATGAACAGTACAATACAACGAGGGAGATCCCTGCTCACAGAGCTTACAATCTAACATGAAAAGCACGATACAGAGAATGAGGTCCTGGCTCACAGAGCTTACACTCTAATATGAACATTATAATACAGAGAATGAATTCCCTGCTCACTGGGTTTACAATCTAATCTGAACAGTACAACACAGAGGATGAGGTCTCCGCTCACAGAGCTTACAATCTAATATGAACTGTACAATACAGAGAATGATATCGATGCTCACAAAGCTTAGAATCTAATATTAACAGTACAAAACAGAGAATGAGCTCAACCGCTCTAAGAGCTTAAACTCTAATATAAACAGTACAAAACAGAGAATGAGGTCTTGGATCACAGAGCTTACACTCTAATATAAACAGTACAATAAAAAGAGGGAGATCCTTGCTCACAGAGCTTACACTCTAACATGAATAGTACAATGTAGAGAATGAGATCCTGGCTCACAGAGCTTACACTCTAATATGAACAGTACAATGCAGAGAATGAGGTCCTTGCTCAAACTACTTACAATCTAATATAAACAGTACAATACAGAGAATGAGGTCCCGGCTCACAGAGCTTACACTCAAATAAGAACAGTACAATACAGAGAATGAGATCTCTGCTCACAGAGCTTACACTCTTATATAAACAGTACAATAAAAAGAGGGAGGTCCTTGCTCACAGAGCTTACACTCTAATATGAACAGTACAATAAAGAGAATGAGGTCCTTGCTCAAAGAGCTTACAATCTACTAAGAATGTGACCATATAGATAAAGAGTTACAATACAGAGCTTTCATTATGAATTGTATAATCCAGAGAAGGATGATTGCTCACAGAGCTTTCATTATAACATGAATTGTACAATACATAGATAGGGTATCCCTGCTCACGTAGTGCATATCCTAATATGACAGAGAACGTACTCGAGAATCTTCATTTCTTCTTTTCCAATCCTTCCTTTCTTACCTGCTATGGATATTTTGCAGTAGATGGATATTTGTATTCTTTACAATTCCCATTAGAGGAGCTGTAATATTTCCACGCTATAAACTTGATGGAGAGACTATGGTTTCATGGTTTCCTCAGAGATGAAGAATAGACATAAACCAGCTGACTGGTAAATCCCCTGCACTCAATGAAGAAACAAAGATGAGCCGGAACTCTGGAGATAACTGTTCTATTGTGATGTCATCGACCTGTCATAACCATGATATGATGTCACAAATTGCAAGTCACTGACATTTTTGCATATTAAATTAGGCTTAAAGTCACCCCACATTTTTATCAAGTTCAATCATTTGTTTGGTTGATTCTTATAAAGGGATCATAAAATAGAATGAATATATGATTATTAGCTAACATTTAAATGCAATTAACACACAGAACAAGCATGGTCATTTTTCATAAATGTGTTTTGAATGATCTATTTGGTGACCTTTTATATGCACTGATACATGTTTTCAAATTAAATAATACTAACGTATGACTTTGTTTCTTTAAAATCATTTTAAAATGTCCCTGAGCTGGGAGAAACAGCCACATTGTTGTCAGAATTTGGTTTGATCAGTTTACCTAATTCAGCTACAAAACTGTATGCCAAATGTATAGCTAGCAGACAAGCTCCATCTCCATTCCTACCTAAATGATTTCACTATGACCTGCCTGGACATGACAGGTGCACAGTCGGATTTGCCGGCATATGCGCTAACCTTGCCCAGCCCCCATAAAGACACGGACACAGGTTACACTGTTGGAGATATTAATCCACAGCTTTATTGAATTATAACTAAATTAATTAAGTAGGAACAAATGGGGTCATTGCAAACAGAACTTATTAAAATTAACATCCCCCACATACATAACATCCCCCTAGCAATGACCCCCCCCCAATAATAACAATAGATAACAATCCAAATAACATGTTAATACAGAAACTGGCCGCCAAATATGGCCACGTTTCCACCAGGTTAAATTATAGGGGTGTACCGAGACACCGCTACCCAACATACTGATTGTAGGGGTGTACCAAGACACCGCTACCCAACATATTGATTGTAGGGGTCTACCAAGACACCGCTACCCCCCATATCAATTGTAGGGGTGTACCAAGACACCGCTACCCACCTTATCAATTGTAGGGGTGTACCAAGACACCGCTACCCCCCATATCAATTGTAGGGGTGTACCAAGACACCGATACCCGCCATATCAATTGTAGGGGTGTACCAAGACACGATACCCGCCATATCAATTGTAGGGGTGTACCAAGACACCGCTACCGCCCCATATCAATTGTAGGGGTGTACCAAGACACCACTACCCCCCATATCAATTGTAGGGGTGTACCAAGACACCGTTACCGCCCCATATCAATTGTAGGGGTGTACCAAGACACCGCTCCCCAACCAGGGCGCCTAACAATACTAACCTGAAAAATACATGTTGATAGCACTATTGTGGAGGAGGTGACTAGAGTCCGGCTCGAGTTATTAAAAGTGACCGGGCAAATCCGTTACACAAAGATCAGAAGACTGATTTTTAAATAGATGTTTAATTACTAGTATAAATCTTGTTTTATTTTGTTTCAAAGAGATACAGTAATGTTTTACACACATCTTTATTTCACCTTCTATTCTGAAAACTCAGGAAATAGATCTTCAGGCTCCAGGGTGCCATTATAGTCAATACACGTTTTAATAGCATCTTGGACCTATAACAGCCATGGGGAGACACGGACGTGGTGAATGGATGTGAAACAGCAGGTGAATAATTGATGGCCCTGGGAAAAAAAGGGTTTTTCCTCTAGTTTATTAGTTCCAATGCCGCTGTACGATGTGTGTATTGAGGAACGTTGCCTGCCAATGCAGCCTCATAGCGTGTGATACATTTTACTAATTAATGAAAGTCCGCAGGGACAGGCAATGTTGTTTCCCAGTTAAAACTCCAATTGGCAACACTAACACTTTCTCCTATAACTATGGTAACATGAGTTACTTCTGGCTTCTTTTCCAGTCATCTAGAGCACTGATTTTTAACCTTTTTGGACAGGAACCCAAAATACATACTGTACGTAATAATAAGTTGGTGACCCAATTTCCAGTTTTGAGCTCAGAAATTGAATTCTCGACCCGTTGCCTAATATGTAAGAAAATCAATTCCGCAGTTTACCTTCCGCCCTGTATTAGAGGATTCTCACTGTATTGTGGAAGGCAGTGCACCTTCAATAACTAATTCAGGAATATTATGTGCCATTTCGCACCATTGGCAAGCATGATATAATGCTAATTACAATTTTACTAATTACTAATTTCTAGGTTGCTGGTCCTGAGATAAAAAAAATCACTAATCTAGAGTTTTTCTAGTTCACGGTACCCTACCCATAATTAAAAAATTGGTTGGAACCCTGGATATGAACATTACGTTTAAAGGGGCAAAGGCCTCAAAGGTGGGGAAGATGCAGCTGGAAGCCCAAGTATTGTACATGCCTCCTGTTCCATACTACAAAGTGTCTGAATATTGTGCTCAATTACTTAATAATATTATAGTTTTCCTTTTTTTGTGAGAGTTAAGACACACCAATGCTCCTTTGTTGTTTTTCGATTAGCAAATCTATCTGTCTGTCTGTCTATCTCTTAATATATCTGTCTGTCTGTCTATCTATCTACCTCTTAATCTATCTGTCTGTCTATCTATCTATCTCTTAATATATGTCTGTCTGTCTGTCTATTCATCTATCCATCCATCCAGTGTGGCAACTGGAATGGGGGTGGGGTGGGTATTATTGCTGGAAAGGGCTAAATGACTACTTGCCAATGGCTAGTGGGTGAAAAAATGGAGTCTAGATATATATTGCTTTATATATACTAATTGCTTGAATCCTCTAACTATAACTACCGGTATATAGTTGCACACACTACACAGTATGAAATGTAACTAGTAGTTTTTTTTCTTAGTTTTTTCGTATTTTATTTTTTTAAGTATTTCAATGGATCTTGAAACTGAAAGACACTACTTAAAACAGAGAAGAGAAAGACTGAGTGTTAAAATTAGCTATTATTAGTATCTTAATTGTTAGATCACAGTAAGACTTAGACTAGGGTTGCATACATGTAAGAATGTATAGAATTAGTAGTTCCCCATATCTCACACATTTGTGGGTTTGAAAGGAAATCCTATGTTCAAATCCATTGTATTAAAAAAAGGAATGTGACCAACACAGGAATACTAAAATCTATGGCTAAACAAATCATCCACAGGATAATTTTTAGTGAGAATAGCCAAGTTGTAAAATTCACAGGGTTGGCAAATTGTTGAAATTTAGTTTTTTTTTATGGATTGAAGCTTATCAGGCCCTTTCCTGTTTCTTCACCGTTCCCAGCTTAATGGATAAACTGCTGACATTTAAAACAAAAGTGTAAGGTTTAAAAACATTTTCTGAATGTTACCGTAACTTTAAATCTAATATTTAACATGATAGAACCTAAATACATTTAAATCTGCATTGCAGTTTAAAAATGATGTTGATGATAAAACTGAGAGTAAGGCCTTTATTGTCAAACTAATTCAAATAAAGCGGAATTGTCACTGTCTAGGGACGTTGCATATTGTCCAAATATCCCCGACAATGACATTGCCACTGGGTGTCCGGTGGCTGCAAATGTGAGGTTTACTCCCCTAAAACTGTCCCTCGCTGGCACCGCCATCCTCTTTTGGCCGATGCTCGACTGTTCCAGGAGACGACATCACTGCATGCGCAAGAGTACGCTGTTGAGGTCTATTGAGGTCTGGAGGATTCCGTGAGGCTGTGGGATTCTCCATACATATAGCTAATTTCCCTGCAACTTTCACAGGTGAAGGCTGGAGGATTGTCACTTCTTTATGGTGGCACCTCTGCCCAGTGTCAAGAACTGTCAGGTGTAAGTAGGGCTGTCTTTAATAATGGTTGGACCCTGGGCAAGCATTTGTTTGGGCCCCCTGGACCCTTTCCCCCCACTCCCTGACACAGCGGAGGAGCTAAAGTAGAGAGGGCCCTGGTGCAAGACTTATTTTGGGCCCTGCTATTGCAAGGGTGGCCAAATGGTCATGCAACTCCAACAATGCTTTGACAGCTGGGGCTCTTCCATTTTCCCATGCTTACAAGGTTGTATTTAGCACTGAGCAGTATTTGTATGGTTGAATGTAAGCATGTTTTTGTATGGAGTCTGTTTGTGTGAATGTAGGGTTGTGTTTGTATGTAGTGTTAACATTTTAATGCAGGTGTGTGATTGTATGTTGTGTTGAAGTTTGAATGCAGTGGTGTATTTGTGTGTAGTGTTGGCATTTGAATGCTGAGATGTATACACATACACTGCCACACACACACTGTGATATACACACACACACTGATACACATGTATATACACAGACACACACTGACACTATACATACACACCAATACACACCTTGACACTCATGCAGATACAGACACAAAGATACACATACTAAAACACATGCAGATACACACGCTGATTACATATAGATACACAGATACACACAATGACAATATACAGATACACTGACACACATACAGACACACAGATACACAACGTCACACACATGCAGACACACAGATACACTGACACACACACTAACTACGTATAGATACACAGATACACACAATGACAACATAGAGATACACACACTGACACACATACAGACACACAGATACACAACCTGACTCACATGTAGATACACAGACACACAGATACACACACTGACTACATACAGATGCACAAATATACACACTGACACTTACACATACACAGATACACACACTGACAACATACAGATACACATACACATACTGACACATATATTAACAGACATGCTGACATAGAGGCACATATACTGACACACATACAGACACAGACACACATGGAGACACATACACTGACAGACATACTGACACACTAACATACACAGACACACTAACACACACATAAAGACACTGACAGACATACTGACACACACACACACACACACACACATAATGACAGATATACTGACACACACAGACAGTCACACACACATACACTGACAGGCATACTGACACACACACTCAGACACACATTCAAAATCTACACTTTGAACGCCACCCTCCAGATTCTTACCTTTTGCTGAAGGGTGGCTTCACAGGGGTCCAGTGTGCTGGCTGCAGTGGCTGGGAGTTGGGGTCCAGCTCTGCCTTCCTGTCCCTCTCCGCACTGCTTCATCCGGGTTCTCCCTTCCACGCTGCTCTGCACTAGCTGCCGAAAAGCAAGGGGTCCAGTCGTGCTGTTAAGAGCCAACGTGCCCCTGCTTACAAATGCCCACCAGGTGGCCCTAACTGCATGGGCCACCTGATGGGCCCCCTCATCAAAGAAATTGTTGCGGGCAGAGGGCAAATAGGGCAGCTGCTTTGGGCCCCTCAAAGGAATACATGTTTGTATTACTAACGCCATAGTGTTCCTTTAAGTATAGTTGCATAAATCAATATTAAGTGGAAAGCAAGTAAATTCAATACAGCAAAATAAATAAATTTAATTTAATATAAAAGGGCAGCGTGTGTAACAGCAGCTTCCCCACTTTTCATTGGCTGCCATGTCATCTGGTGCCAACTGACCAGATACTGAACAGGTCATTGTCCCACTGAGGCCTTCCAGACCATTTCAAACTCGTTGCTCTGCCAATATGTTAAGTCTCCTATGTGGTCCATGGCCCGTGTCACTGTCTGTACCCACCCATGGTTCTCTTATTATACTGGTTGTAATTTAATTAAACTTTTTAGTGCGATTGGGTGCTTTCCCAAGTCTTAACAGTTATTGGTTGACTTGTGTTTACCTGTGTGAAAGGCATGTATAAGAACCGTGTGTGTGTCTCAATAAAGCTATACTGTTCTCCACTTGATCAAGTGTCTGGCTGATATTTGTGGAGTAATTTGAGGAACGTGTGCCGAAGCTATATCTCTCTGGAAGATCCTTTGAATTACTACATACCTCAGAATTCTGGTGTTCTGCAAATCGGGACCCTGGTAAGAGGGAAGTAACAGGGTGGACTAGTGCCTCAATTGAACCTTGGAGTGTCGCCTGTGTCTTTTATTATTTGCAGTTACTCAATTGTGTCACTAGCTCTGCCCCCAAAGAGTGGACCTGCCAGAAAGGGTGCAGGTCCACAAGAGTTAATGGCAAATGACTACACATCAGGCTTCCTGTTCATCAAACAGGCTGGCCCACTGAGTGCAGACCATGTCGGAAGCACAGTTTCAGTGCTCTCTGCAAGATCCAAGTGCCCTAATCATATTTCAAGTGTGTCTGTTGATGCACTCTTGCTATGAATGTTGAAGACAGTTCCATGGCCCTTGTCATTGTCTGTACCCACACATGATTCTCTATTCATACTTGCTGTAATTTAGTTTAACATTTAGTGTGATTGGGTACTTTTCCAACTCTTAACGGTTATTGGTTGACTTGTGTTTACCTGTCTGACGAAAACCGGGACTGTCCCACTTAATGGGACAGTTGGGAGGCATGCTACTATGCAGCTAGCGCTGGAAGGAAAGGCATGCTCTCTGATATAGCTTCCCTTAGGAGGAAGGACAAACTCTGTAAGGAATAGGTCTGGATCCTAAGCCTGGGACCAGTTCTCCTGTTTCCACTACAGGTAGTTATTTTGATCTGTCACTGTATTCCCAGAGACGTGTGTAGACCATTTGACATTCAAAGCTTATAGTCTCTGTGGGCATAAAAAGTCCTGTATGCCAACAGATGGAGACAAGATGTCTTCAGCAGCGGTTGCTAAGTCACCATCAAATGTGCTAACTATTTGCGGTCATGATTAAGTCCAGTCTTACAGGGTTATTCTCTAAAGTGAGCATTTCTGGGAATTGAAAGTGATTTTAAATTTTAATGCCAAAGTATTTCAACTAGAAGCATAGCTGTCTTGGACAAAATATAGTTTGGCTATTTCGACCTTAAATGCAAAATTCACTTTCAATTCCCTTTGAATTCACGACAATGCTCATTTTAGAGTATAACTGCTTTGGAACTGTATTTCCAAGTATGCTGACTGTTAGGGAATTCTGGGTACTGTAGTTTAGCAACAATTAGAAGTCCAAGAAGGATACTCAAGAGATCTAAAATATACTTTATTCTATAAATTGTCCTAACTATAGAGATACCAAACATGGTATTGTTTTTCCGACTCGGTCAGCGTTTTTTAAACTGTGAACTGCCAGGAATTCACAAGGGAACTAACACGTTAGGCCACGATAGCTGAATTGGAAAAAATTATCTTCAAATCAGCAATGTTTTCTGCTCAAGTGTTTTGGCTTAAAAATATTTCCTGTTGAAATCTGTTAGATTGGGACATTTTATTCTCTTTCTCATAAATTGTGGGTACCATGACAAGTACCCTTTTAAAGCGTTAACCACTGCCCATCATCAATGTAGTAGAAAGTGTAACCGCTATCATTAATCACATTTTTCTTGATACCTTTTTACAAGCCAGTTATAAGGTCTTGCTTCCAGGAGGAAAACCTTCTCATGATAAAGATTGAGTCAGAACAGTTCACAAATGGAAACATAAAAAATAAATGGGTTGAGATGAAAAGAACCGTAGGACAGTTTGGTATGTAGCACATCAGATAATGCAAGATATGATATAAATAAACATGGCTGAAGATAAAAGGTATCATAGTTGAACAACAGCTGGGACCACAGATTTCTAGGCAGTTGATATGACACCGGATACATATAAGGGCCTATTCAGTGGGTTATAGTGAATCACGTACTGTGCTGTGCTCTACCAGTATAAAAGAAATTTAAATAAAATTAAAATTAAAAAAATTAAATTGAGGGATTTTTTTTTGGTTGCAATTTTTTTTTAGTGTAAATTTTACAAACCATGGTATCAACTTAATACGGCTCACCGTTTACTAAATGTAAGCCCTGGCTAGCAGCTAGATTAGTCATGGTTATATTGCTAGTAAGAATTCCCCATCACAGCGTGGCTTGGGAGATTCTAGCTGTAGTATTAATAGTTCACAAAATCCAAAATTTGAGTACAGCTGAGTAATCTCAGTCCATCAATGTCATCCACCGCCGGCATGATTTTTTTTGCGGAATGTAACCTGCGTTTGCTCCACTCACCAGTAGAGGAGCAGAACCATGGGATGACTGCGACCCCAATTTCACATTGATTGAAAACAGTTTAACAATGCACAGTTTAGTAATTTCTTGGAATGTGAGGAACCATAACCACTTGAAGTACACTCCCTTTAATTGGTGGATACATTCATGCATCTTTACCTTTGACAAAATAATCTTAAAATGATATTTTATAAGGAGAGAATTGCAAGGAGGCACTGTGTAACAGAATGCTTGGTCTACCCAGGGCCAGATTTCCCACATGACCACCAAGGCCATGGCGGCATGGTGGCAGATACGAATGGGGAGGCCCGGCCAGCGGGAAGAGCAAACATCTTCCTTAACAGCTAGTCCACGTTCATGCAGTGGGGGCCCCAAATGCCTGGAGAATAGTGAATAAGACAGTTAGGAATGGATTAGAATGTTGGGAATACTGTGAATGCCAGAGTTGAATTACCAGTTAGGCTACTAAGGAGGCCAGGGCCGGTGCAAGAACTTTTCGCTTCACATGCAAGCATGGATGTTGCCGCCCTCCCTCTGCCAAAACAAAAATGCATCTTTACTTGTGTTTCTCTTAACCATTCTTTTTAAATTCTTACCCCTTTTTGTGTTTCTTATCCCCTCTTTTTATTGTCTTGCCCTTTGTGGTCTCTTTCCCCTTTACTCCTGCTTACTTCTTTGTAGTGTGGGCATGTGGACCGTGGTCGAGAATCTTCTCTATCCTCTCCCCACTCGGACAGGAAGCTGTTTTAAGTGAGCACTTTCTGTCAGACCGGGTAGAAGATACAGAAGACCCTTTATCACGACTGGGGTTACAATACTAAGTCAGTTAGAAATTAATGCTGGGAGAATAGTTCGCTTTATACTGAGTCAGTGAGGAATCATTACAAAGATGAGTGTAGTGAGAGCTTTATAGTGAAATAATTAAAATGATGGGAGTAAAGTGATGGTTACACTGAGACAGTTAGAATTCCATCGGAATGCTGGGAGAACCGTGAGGTGATACTAAGGTAGTTTGAATGCATTAGAAAGCTGGAGTGCATATAATGAGATAGTTAGAAAGGCAGTAGGATGCTCGGTGTAATGTTGGGCTTGAGGATGCTTCAGATAATGTCTGCCTCAGTTACACAGCTGTTTGCAATATTCTACTTCCTGCCACACAAGTCCAGCTCAGTAGATATAAAGCCACAGCACACTCTTGGGAATTCATTATAGGATTTTAAGCCTCTGGAAGTTGCCAAATACCCTGAATTAATAAGGATGTTTAGACATGGGGCACATTAACCCGTTTACAATCAGCACTTTCCTGTGGTCAGGAAATAGTTACGATATCAACATTTTAAATTTTTTTTATTTTAAAAGCTTGTCTTTATTTCTTCGTTTTCTGCTTTGTGTTCTGTAGTCAGTGTCATTTTCTTCCATTTAACGGCCTTTCAAAGAAAGAAAAATACATTCAAACAAGACAAAGCATCCTAAAACCATGTACGCCTTGTGCTTTCTGTAGCTATATTGTACAAACAAGACAATACATCGCTACTGTCATGTTATTTTATCACTATTGTGAATATTAAAATATGTAAGCAATAAATTCGATTTTTACATTTTACTACCATTGCACAATCATAGGTTGTAAGCTCACATGCCCACGGGATTGCTAACCCAATGCTATCTTTCATTAAAATAAAGAATAATATATATTGTCATGGTATAAGCATTTATGAGCTCTGGTAGTGAAGCTCAATAACTTCTGCCTGAGCATAATATGAGTTTTATTTTTGGCAACAACTCGCGGTAGATGCATGTGACCTTTTTATACTCCTTTAAAATTGTGTGCAGGAAGGAAAGGGTTAATGCGGTGACAAGACATAACTGCCCAAGCTAGAAGACATAGGATGGCAGAGCATAATAGGGGTTGCAGTTCTAGGGCATTGAGTAAAATTAAGAACGTTGGGGTGGGGAGGGGATTTGAATGGTACAGCTTTAGAAAAATACAATAAAAGGGTTACATTTGTAACTGTACATAGATCACCCCGCCCCCCTTGGTTTAACTCTGCCGCACTATGACGGGAGTCAGAGCTGTGTTCTGGTAAATCCTACCTTCCTTCTAATCTGAGCCCCATCTGTTTTGGTTTAATATGAAAAATTAATCAGATGAAGAGGTAGAGAGTTAGAGACCCAGCCAACATATTCTTCATCTCCATCAGATTGGCCACAGATAGGGTCTTAGCCTTCCAGTGGTCTCCTGCTGCTATGTGTCATGCTTTTAAACCTGGCACGACTAAGGACTCAGGGTCTCTGTAGAAATGGGATAACACGATCCGAGAGCAAATAGAACGATAAACTAAGCTGGTGCCTATGTGAGAATAAGGTTTATTAGGGTAAATAAAACCCCATAATACAATATTTTGGCTCAGAGGTGCCTTAAAGGGTTACTCCAGCTTCAATGATCACTGCTGCTTTTAGAAGTGGTCATGGAGAAATTAGTCCGTATGTTCAAGGATTCTGCTTGAAATAGATATTTGCACTTTTGTGCCAGGGGTTAGATTAATTCCTTCCACGCATGACTGTTCCAGGCAGCCTAATGTTAATTCTGTGCAAAAAAATATAGACGTAGTGAGCTTTTACTCATGAATGCAGTGCTGGGAGATGCATAAGGGGATGCATAAATCTCCCCTTCTTCCGAGCACTCCCTCCCCGGCTCCCTTCAATGTTTTTTTTTTAGAACAAATCCCCTACCTCTCTCTGTACACCCCCACTATCTCGCACAGCACAAGGCTCTGAGCCTAGAGATTGGTTCAATCAAATGCGTCTCTCTGGGACAATTTTGATTGGACCACAAAGAAGGAATGAGTGACATGTCATTGGGACGGGGCGTGCAAAAACCAATAGGCACCCAGTCCACTTCAGCTAATTGAAGTGGTCTTGTTTACATTTCAGCACTAAGTCTGCCTCCAGTGGCTTTCTCCCAGATCCTAACGGATCTACATGAGGACCTCCAGCGTCATATTTTTCCCTATAGGAAAGCATGATTCAATGCTTTCCTATGGGGAGGTCTAATGCAGGCTCGGCACTCATCGTGGGGATGGAAGAGGTGGAGTCGTGACCCAGCACCGGCGCTCGGGTAAAGAAAGTAAATAAATGTTTTTAACCCTTTATTCACTGACTAGTGGGAGCGGGTGCGAGGGAGGGAGGCAGTGGGAGCTATAGTGCCGGGAATATAGCATTGTATTCCTGGCACCTATAGTTTCCATTTAAGTCTACCTCCTTAATTTTCCATTGTCTGCTGCACCTGTATATAATTTGCACAGTCATTTCAAAACAAACTACACTCACCTTGGCTCCATTGAATCTATAAACCACACAGTCTACACATATATCAGCCCCAGAACGGTTCTCAGCATCCCCATATCTTGATCTCATAGCACCCACCTATCACAATTCACTCACATTCACACCTGGAAAACCAAAAACATAAATTCCTGCACATCTGGGTACAACTCTAAGCATTGGAGATTTTAATTCCCTAGCCCCTGAGCAGGCAACCTTAGGCATTCCAGATATTGTGGACTACATGTCCCCTGATTTTGGCTGTTAGAGCATTATGGGGGAAGAAGTCCACAACACCTGGAGTGCCGAAGGTTGCCAAAATCTGCCCTAGATATTAATTGGGATAGAGGGACTAGTTGTTCAGCTAAGAAAAACAGGTTTTTGAACCAGTTAAACTATGTTTTCTTGTGGCTCAGGTAGCAGAAACACAAGTACATGCATTCTTCTTAGGGAGTATTTGGGAAATAGCCACTGTAACATCGTGGTTATCTGAAGATCAACAATATTATGCATCACTGTAGCAGGCATGATTAATGGCAAAGCCAAGGACCTAGCTTGCATGTAATCACAGTGCGGCCATTCTCAATATGCGAAAACATTCATGCTTGAACACTTTCTATAAGTATTTAATTTAAATGCTTTCATGAGTTCATCCTTTTCAGCGTTCAATGTTCAATGTGAAGTTTTAACCAAGCGCTTATCTTTAATCTGAAAAGAATGACATTACGAATGTAAAGCTGAGCTACTTCTTTTTCCACGATTCCTAATTCTTTCCAATTATCCGAAGAAAACATATTCCTTTTAAGGGCTCTAAAGGCAGAAATCCAGCATTCATTTGTGTCAGCAGAGTTTGTCAAGGCTACCGAGGTGTACTGCTGGTTCCTAAATGTGTATATATTAATGAAGACTGGCTTGGCGGGGGGGGTGGGGGGGGAGGTAAGGAAATGAGCTTAACGTCCTCCTTGTCCCAAGAGGTCTTGTTATGTAAAGATTTGCTGCCTTTAGTTTTTCATTAGCTTCATTCAGACATCTTTCTACTTGCAAGTGGTTATTGGGATGAGAAGGAAAATTTGAATCTCTAAAACAGAGGTTTGAAAATCAACTTCCCGAACTCACCAAATCGTCTGAATTTTTACTGTATGGGGCTTTTTCATGAAACATTGAAGTGCAGTGAGTTAAAAACAAAGTTGCAATATTTTCCCAAAAAAAGACAGATTGTTTCTATGTCTAAGTTTGAGAATGTTCACATTTTGCCCTAAATTTTTCATTTCTGTTTTCAACTCTCTACAATTTCATATTTAATACCATAATAAAGTCTCATTATGCACATCAACAAAAGCCCCGTATTTGTATTCCTTCATACAAACTTTTTTTCTCTCTTTATTTATTTACTCAGTGAGTTTTTATAATTTACGTAGTTTTTCACAAAAGTTCAACAATCCGATGGTATTCAGAGTCACAAATCTGAACTTTATTCTCAAATTGAATCAGTTTGGTTTGGTCTGTGTGGTGGATACCACCAAGTACACTGTTACAACCTCATTAACGGTTATAACTGTCCCCTGGCTTGCTGTGTCCTCCTCCTCTCCATGTAGTTCCAGCAAGCACCTCTCTCTGTCCAGTCCACAGACTACACCTAGCCGGAGTATCCCAGACTCTTCAGCGGGACTTGTCTATATATCTCATGGAATTCCAGCTCGGCCTCAAACATCACTTCGGCCCAGTCGTATTTCATCAGAGTGCTTTTCAGAGGGAAGCCACAGTCCATCAAGGGGAACTATCACTACGAATGCGCCAGGGGGAACCTCCTTACTTCAGCCTGCCTGAGATCATGATAAAACACCGGCATATGACTTCAAATGCCTGGAACTGTTTTTCGGTCAGGACTGTTCTCGCAGCCAGTCTAAACTTTAACAAGGGTGGCCATTCCCCACATCCATGGATCGAGGTGCTATTTGGCCAGATTGAGTGCTCCAACAAGAGCTATCTGGGGATGGATAACATGTAGGGGTTCAGGGATGTTTTATACCTGTTTTTGGAGTTTTTAGGCTCTCTGTATCCATGAGATAATTAATTTAGCAAGCTTTGACACAATTATCTTCCATACACAGAGACGCCAGGGCGAGCTCTGCTACGTAATGAATGGAAACCTCATGCTGGGGGTCTGTGCATAAAAGGCTGCATTGTGTGCAATAAAATCAGTTATTCTTCCAAGCATCATGTGTCATCTGATGTCTGAGGAATGGAGTTATAATCACTGAAGGGTTTCCATTCCTGTTGAGAGTAGAATCTAGCGGAGGTATCCAGCTGGGATTCCGCGGTTTCGCTACAGTCTGTAATTTGGAACTAAAGTCTGAATTAAATAGAAGTAATTTTCAAAAATAATTGATGCCTGTAGCAATACATAAATAAATACAATTGAATAAATGGCAGTGGGAAGTTAATGAGGGAGTGTCCCTTTACCTGTCACAATGCGTTTTATACCCCACCTCCTATAGACTGTATGCTCGTCTGAGCTGGGTCCTCTTCAACCTATCGTTCCTGTAAGTTTTCTTGTAATTGTCCTATTTATAGTTAAATCCCCCCCCCTCTCATAATATTCTAAAGCGCTACGGAATCTGTTGGCGCTATATAAATGGCAATAATAATAATAATAATCATATGCCAGGATGAATGAAAATGGACTAAATCTTACGGTCCTCTTGGATGGGGAGGGGGGAGGGGATTGCAAGGATTTCAACATATGCAATTATTTCTTTTATAACAGTTTACCACTTGCAGCTTGCCTAGCTAGTGGCCAAATATTGTAGATTTTATTTTGAGATTGTGCCTTCTACTAGAACAGATCGAAGAGAGTGCTAGAATTTTCAAGGGTTTCACAAATAACCCAAACACACAATGACATCAGACAGCAGATAATTCCAAACCAGATTGGCGCATTTGGAGCAGTTCACTGTATTTACCTTTCAATTGTTTTTAATAAATATTCGATATGCAGATCCGGAGAGAATCTAGTGATTTTATTCACGTTTTGCTAATCTAGAACATATTCATCATAACTTTTAAAAATATATATATATTTTTTTATTTATTAAACATGACTGTGTATAAACAATTATGCCTCTAAGTGAATGAGTTATTAGTGTATATGCATTAATTTATTGATTTTTCTTTTGTTTTCCGCTCATTAAATTAACAAACAAATTCCATTTGGATTTTAAAAGATAAAATCAATACAAAAATGGATTTGAGGAAGTAAATAATGCAGAGCATTGCAGGAGAGGGGATGGGGTGAGGAGTAGTGGCAGAATTAAATGCAAATATATGTTAAAAATTAAATATTTTGCTATTTTTAATGTTCCAATTTATTTCTCGTATAAATTGTAAAACGTTGCTTGCGTTTCAGTTTATGTGACAGTTCTTCCCTGATTACAGTAGATCATCTTATGATCATGCTGACTATATCAGCATGCACCTTCAACCAATTACCAGAGATAGACGTGTTACTACACAAGTTTTGTCGCAGTAAAGGATGCTCATTTTCAGCGTAAAATTGATTCAAGATGCCCTGTTTGGGATAATATTGAAACACGCTGGTGATACGATGCTATACAGCTCTCAATGTGTAATGTAGAAAATAACATCTGATCATTTACAAAATGGTTACAAATATTTTAATTCTTAGTGAATATCACATTTGCTGAGTTATAAGTACCCACCAGATTCATTGCTGAAGTTGGGCAGTAAGGGCTGAAGCCCCAGATTTGGGGTTCTTTAGCCCTGGATCTCTACAGGTGGTGAAATGGTGGAACGTCAAAAGGATTCCTTTTTTTTTTTAAATCATTTTTATGTTTACATCAAGCAATTGATTCTCAAAGAAGTACCTATTTAAAAAAAGATCACTAACGTAGTGTTCTACCAGCTGTTTTAGACCAGGGTACTCCAGGCGACAGTGAGAAGAGGGTACTAGGCAAAGGGACTGCTCTGTACTCCTTTTACCCTGCCCAAGTCGTGTGGCTAGGAAGAATTGTATTTAATACCTGGCAATGAAGTATGTTGTAGTTTCTGGCTATTTTGATTCATTGACATCCCACCTTCCATGGTTTTCACATTATGTGCAGAAAGGTGGGGATATGACTCCAAGTTTGAAGGCTTAAGGTAATGTTCATTGCAATTTGTTTCGTGCTCAATCTCCAGCAGTTTCTGAAAACTAGCAATGCCCATGCCACGCACTCTTTCAAAACACTACTATAGGAACTTCAAGGGCCCCGTCACTATGAAAATTCAATATTAAAGATGTTGTGCATGAATGAAAGAGTATACTGTGTATATATGAATGTTGCTTGTATAGTCATTGACATTATTAAACTGTTTTAACCCTGTGTGCAAAGATTTTTCTTGCAATACTATCCCAAATCCTCTTGAACTGAAAGCTGTGATTTGATTGAAGTGTACCAGTTTCAAGTTATATAGATGTATTTTAGGAAAAATATATATTTTTAAAAACCCTGTGTTTTGTTTGTATAAAAAGCCATCTGATTTTTACATCACTTTTTCCATTTCAATTTACGAAGGATGTACATTTCCAATGCATTGCCGTTGTAATTGTCCAACGTAGTCAATGTTTTCAAGTTTCTGTGCATTGTAGGAAAAGAACTTTCCAAAGCAAGACCCTGAGGCTATAACATGTGGTTAAGCTGTGGTTAAACTGCACGTTCTATGATTCTTAGCCACCTTCTGGATGGAAGGATTCATGGAAACTGAAGTTCAACAATATCTGTAGATAACATTTGGTCACCGCTGTACCAGCAGATGAGCATCACATTTGTCCAATATGCACAGACAAATACAAACAAATTACAAAACACTATGAAATTGACATTAAACTCTATTGTGTCCCCTTCAGGGTCCTGTCTGCGCTGTTTGGTAGATGTGGTTCCAGTAAAGAACGAAGAAGGAGAAGTCATCATGTTTATCCTTAACTTTGAGGATCTGGCACTGCTTTTGGCAAGAAAGGCCAACAAGACGTTACACCAGAGGTTGACACGAGCTGCCTTCAATTCCGGTGAGTTGGCTCAACATGTTGTCAACATCTTGTTGTTGCCTTCTCATGACAAGTAAGAACACAATTGCCATTGAAGATCTGGTGCTATAGCTCCATTAGGGTGTGCCTGGACACACCTCGTACTAAAGCCTATGCACCTTACCTTGTGTCCTTTAACCTCCACGTCTATGTCATTCATGTTTCTTATGTCTCTCAAGCTCTTTCCCTGTTTCTTTCGTCTTCTTTCCTTACCCTGTGTCTCTCAATTTCTTCCTTAACCTATGTCCCTAAACCTTTGCCTTTCATGCTCTTTACCCAATCTCTCAACGTTTTCCCATGTGTCCCTTAGTTTCATCTACATGTGTTGCTCAACCTAATCCTGCAACGTACAAACCCTTCCTGATTTTTCAGTTTCGCCCTCTGTATCTTTCAGACCCTGCCATGTGTGCCCTCTTCTACCTATTTCGGCTCATCATCATTCTTTGTAACATTATTTGGAGTTTTCTTTACTTAGCAGTTAATTGTTCTGTATTGATAACTACAAATTTAAAGTTAATCCAAAAGAACAGTATTGGAGAAATAGCTTATATTATAGATGATAAACCCAATAGACAACAGGTCTCCTTTTAGTCTCTGGAGTGAACAGTTGAACTGCACCAAGTATCTAAGATACGTTATTGCTGAGGGTTGGGGAGGCAGTCTGATGAGCATTCTGAGATGAGAACACATTAGGATCTGCAAGAGAGCAGGCTAGATATTGATTAATGAACCAAAATATTTGGGCATGTAAACCAACTAATGAATTGTTTGTCTATAATCGGTGGTAGGAGGAGCAGACAATAAGAGAGCAGTAACTTTCAAATGCTTCAAGTAAAAGTATAGATTACAATACAAAAAAAGTCCACGTTTCTTTCTGTAAAAGGGTCCTGGTTTGGAAATCAGGGGGTAGTCTATTTCCTATCAGTATTCTAGAGTTATTTTATAGTCCAGAAAATAACATTACTTAACCATTCTATAACCATATAAACTAATAATAAAATATCATAAATTGCTTAAAGAGAAATGACACAATTAAATAAAACAACTGAAAATGACCTATAATTTGTGTTTTTTTGTTCATATGGTGCTCGGTTTTCTTTAAAACATACATGAAACATTTAGGGAAAATGGCAGCACAATCCAATTCAGTCATGGCACTGCCAAGGCATGTAATGCAAATGAGGAGGAGACAATAAACTTTGGTTTTATCCCTAGAAGCTCAATGTTTGTTTGTGCATGCAGCTACGCTATGCATGGGTTTGTCCATAAATAGCTGATTAGGAAAAGAAAATCCATTCAATTTTCAATTTGCGTTTCAATTCACTATGATACGGAGCAGAAAACCAATATTTGCATATATTACTTCATCATGCAAAATAACTACATGAGAATTTTATTTTTCATTTTAAAATGGTGACCCAGGTCTGAATTATCTTCTAATTATAAACATTGTAGGAGGGTTTCAGCTGTGTACACAAAAATTTAGGACATTAAACACAGTTACCGCTTCTATAGTTAATACATCAATAACAATTTTTATAGCATGTATAGTAGACTTGTCATTCATTCATTCTGTTACAATATGGAGAATGTTGTATTTTCAGTGCAATTGATTTCTTTAATTACTTCACTTGAAATCTTTTATCTGTAATAATTGACACCTTTATCCTATGGATCAATATCATCACAGTATGAGGATCTTCAGGGCACCAGCTGGAGCCTTGATTAACATCACTGAGCTCATAATTAGCACATATAGATTACTGTTAATACCACACCTGACACATTTAGTTTTGCTATAATTATTCACCCCCTCTCAATTGTTTCTGATTTATGACCTGTTAATACAAGGACTGAAAATTTGACACATATTTAAAGTAAGTCAACCAGATATTTTTAGGAGCCAGAAAGTAAAAAGAAAAAAAAAAAACACGAAACATAGAATTATGGTGAGTTGAAAAAAGAATGATAACATTCAGTCTAAAATAGCTAAACTGTGACGATTAACTGAGTTGGAGAATTATTCTGAATCAGCTATTTCAGTCTGAATTATGTAATACACTTTCTGGCTCACTTAAGTTTGCTGTTTAGTGACTAAATCAGTTTAATCTCCTTTGGTGTAAAAAAAAAAAAAAATAGGAAGTCATGGTTAGTAACTTTAGAAATGTCTCTAAAAATACCAATGGCAGATTAAATCTATTCTGAAGGCAACCAAATAATTATGGACCAATATTTTCAATTTGATTTACTAATTTTAAAGGGGAACTGTTACTTACTAGAATTTTTACTATTTTGTATATCTATCCTCTATATTTATCAAATGTGTGTTTGAAAAATTATAATTCAATTTCGAAATCCACACTTTTATCCGGGAACTGGGCTTCTCCATCTTGGCTTCATGCCAATCAGTGTTATAAAAGTTGCCATTTTGTGCCATTGCACATATCCTCTCCTCATTTGCATGGTTTGCCCTGGCTGTGCCCTGACCAAGATGAATTGCTGAACAATTAATATACATTAAAAAACAACTGAGCATCGCTTTAAAAAAAAAAAATAACAACACAAGTTATAGGTGATTTTCAATGTTTGATTTATTGGTATAATCTCCAGAGATATTTAAATGGACACTCAACTGCCCAAAGACAAAGATAAAAAAAAGTAAGAATCACGGTTTTATGTTTTAACACCAATGAAAATATGTATTAATTTAAGTATGCATTTTTTTTTTGTCATTGGAGGCATGTCTAAAGGATACCTCCTAACAATCAGGAGAAAAAAATCAGAATGGGTGGGTGAATTCCAGAGGAGGCATCATTAGTGATGTGTCCTGCATCACTGGCAATGCCCATAAATGTTAGCAAGGACAGCATACAATGAGAGGCTCAACCAAATTGCTGGGATTGTGTATCAAAATATCTGAACAGCCTATGGATTGGACCTGTCTGAGTCTAATCGATACTACAAAGGGTAGTTGAGATTGACAGGGCTAAAATCTTGTGGGAGGTACAGATCTAGGCAGACAAGCAAATACTGACCAACAAACCTGACATCGTGGTGGTAGACAAGGAACAGAAGACTGCGGTTGTGGTGGACGTGGCAATACCCAGTGACTATAACATCAGGAAGAATGAACATGAGAAGGTGGACAAATATCAAGTATTGAAAGAGGAACTAGAAAGGATGTGGAAACTGAGTAGTACTAGGCTTAGTTGTGATAGGAGCACCCGGAGCTGTGACCCCCTGCTTTAGCAGATTCCAGTTGGGACATCTCAGATCGCTGTCCAGAAGAGTGTTCTAGGAACAGCAAAGACACAGAACAGAACCCTCAGATGCTCAGGCCTCTGGTAGAGCACCTGAGAATGAGAAAAACACAATATCACCCAAAGGGGTAAGAAAGTGTGTGTGTTTGTGTGTGTGTGTGTGTGTGTGTGTCTCTGTGTGTATATATATACTCACACTTTTCAGAGTTCAGAGGATAGAAGACTGGTCTCATATAGAGACAGATTAGAGGCTATGAGGGATGATGTAATACAGAAGAATGAAGAATGATAAAAGAACAGGATGGAGAGGAAATAACAGAGTAAAACATTAAACACGTTTTGCTCAACATACAATGTAAAAAGCTTGCTTCAAAGCAGACTGATGAACAAATGTATGGAATTAATTCTAATATTCATGCTGAGTGCTCCACCTTTCAAACTCTTTATCAATAGCCCACACTATATCTGGCTTAATATATTATTCACATCGGATAGAGGTCGCCAACCTTCAAGGCACAAATGGCACACCTGGTCCTGTGATGCAAATGGATTAAGGACAAGATGGATTAACTTATTTTCCATTGGTTGTTCGTGGTATTAGATGTCAATGAATTCTAAAGTGGAACTATCAGTTCTCTGAACGTGACAGCTCATAAATCACTCACCTCGGTAAAAGCAGGATTAACCTAGGGTTTGACAGGTGCCCTGAACCATTAATTTTCTTGGCCCCATAAGCCATCCCTATGTTAAGAATGAAGGGGATGGCAAACTGGTAACCCACCTAGGGCCCCATGGGATCTTAATCCGTCCGTGATCCTGGTAGATGCTATGAAAACACTTACTGGAGGTAAGTATAAATAAAAGAGAATCAACATAGTAAGGGAGGAGAGTATATTTAAAAAAGGAACAACTACCACAGCAAGAGGACATAGTCTTAAATTAGAGGGACAAAGGTTTAAAAATATTAGGAAGTATTACTTTACTGAGAGGGTAGTGGATGCATGGAATAGCCTTCCTTTAAGCTATTCCTTCCTTTAAGTTTAAGCATGCGTGGGATAGGCATAAGGCTATCCTAACTATACTATAAGGCCAGGGACTAATCAAAGTATTTTGAAAATTAGACAGACTAGATGGGCCGAATGGTTCCTATCTGCTGTCACATTCTAAGTTTCTATGTTTCTATCTAAAGCGAATAAGTCTTCAAAAACACACTTACCTTTGCACTATATCCATGTCTGGTGTGACATTGTCAATCACTGCTTTCCAGGTATGCTCTGCGCATGTGTCAGAACCTGCATTAAAAATTCCAATGCGAATGCTGGGGCATTCAGGTACTTCATCAAAGTGCCCAAGGACAACCTGGCATTGTGAATTAAAAAAAAATTAAAACTGTTTGGCAATTTAAAAAAGTGTAATAAATTCTAGGGTCCAACAGACTCCAACACATACCATCATAACATCTTGCATGAAAGGACAAGCAGAGTGTATGTTGTGTGTGTAATGTATGTACATGGACACAGGGTGTATATTCACGTCATGCATGTATATTCATTGATTGTGGTTTGTTTTTTTTCTCACGTTTAATTGCTACGCTGATAAAATGCTACCCTTATCCGCCACCTTCCAGTAGACAGGTCAAAACTGAAGCCCAGTTTCCTAAATTCTACCACAGAGTCCGACCTCATGCGATATCGAACCATTGGTCAGATCCCACAATTCACGCTGAACTTTGTGGAGTTTAACTTAGAGAAACATCGCTCGGCCTCCACCACAGAGATTGAAATTGTGGCCCCAAGCAACGCCTTTGAGAGAACACAGAATGTCACAGAAAAAGTGACGCAGGTAAGATTTGGTCCTTTCTTACTGTTCTCATATCTTCTGCCTCTTTTTGTTTTATTGAGAATGTGGACTATAAGCACATATAAGTAACATTTGCTCTCAGTTTGTAAAATAAATTTTGCTTGGAAAAGTTTAGTTTATTTTTTGGTTGATCATTGTTTAACCATTTCCTAATCAAGATACAGTCATATATTTACTAGTTCATAATTTGAAATATGTTTATAGCAACTCTATACTAGTATATTAATGGAACACTATAGAGTCAGGAGCACAAATGTGTATTTCTGCCCCTATAGTGTTAAAACCATAATTTAGGTGGTTTGTGTCCCCCCTCCCCTTTGTCCCTTAGAGGGAAAAACTCACCTTATTTCCACCCGCTTGGTGACTTCATGACAATTTATGATTTTTAGGCAATCCAATGCTGCCAATAGATTGGCTGAAATCGGCAAGGATTGTCAATGCATCGCTACGAGGAAATTTCTCTGAAAAGCAGTGTTTGCATTAAAATGCCTGAAGGGAATGATTATACTCACCAGAACAACTGCATTAAGCTGTAGTTGTTCTGGTAAGTATAGTGTCCCTTTAATTCTATTCTACAGGGAAAAATAAGCAAAACAGCACCTTTTTTTGAGTTATTATAAAGATAGCTCATTAAAAAGTATACAAAAAAGAAACAAAACATCAGAGTAGAAAAGATGTTCAAATGATTGTAGCTTAACATCCGAGAGACTCTCTGCAGCTACAGGCAGACCCATCCCTGACCTGGAAGCAGTGGCGGATCCAGGGGGGGGCAACGGGGCAATTGCCCCCCCCGAGAAATCCGCCGGTCTCCCTCTCCCTCCCCTGCCAGCATGGCAGGCACTGTGCTGAGAGCCGGCAGGGAAGGGAGGGAGTGAGAGAGAGGACCCGGAGCTCAGGCTGCAGCTCCTCTGGGTCCTCCTCCCGTGAGATTTGAAGCGTTGCCGCGGTTACCACGGCAACGCTCCAAATCTCGCGAGAGTGAACTCTAGCCCGGGAGCGCGGGCTAGAGTTCACTCTCCACACTGGGACCACCAGGGAATCTCCACCGGACCACCAGGGATCGAAATATGTCCCCCCTCCTCCCCAGTAAAGTTAAGAAGGGAGGGGGGACATATTTTGGATAAATAACTAAATAAAAAAAATTTATTCGAATTAAATAAAAAAAAAATATATTATAAAAAAAAAAGCCACACACACATACATTGCCCCCAATACTGCCCCCCCATTCACACAAATTGCCCCCCATTCACACAAACTGCCCCCCCATACACACACACTGCCCCCCCATACACACACTGCCCCCCATACACACAACTGCCCCTATACACACAACCGCCCCCATACACACACACTGCCCCCCCATTCACACACAAACTGCCCCATACACACACTGCCCCCATACACATACAACTGCCCCCCATACACATACAACTGCCCCATTCACACAACTGCCCCCATTCACACAAACTGCCCCATACACACAAACTGCCCCCTCATACACATGCACTGCCCCCACATACACACACTGCTCCCCATACACACATACTGCTCCCCCCATACACACATACTGCCCCCATCCACACAAACTGCCCCCATACACACACACACACTGCCCCCCCCAGGCCACACACACTGCCCCCATACACACACATACACTGCCCCTATCTACAAACCCCACATACACACATACTGCCCCACATACACACACACACTGCCCCATACACACACAAACTGCCCACCATACACACAAACTGCCCCCATACACACAAACTGCCCCTCATACACACGCACTGCCCCCACATACACACACTGCTCCCACATACACACATACTGCCCCACACACACACAAACTGCCCGCCATACACACAAACTGCCCCTCATACACACGCACTGCCCCCACATACACACACTGCTCCCACATACACACATACTGCCCCCCCATACACACACACTGCCCCCATACACACACACCGCAACTGTTACACACACATACTGTCCCACACATACACTGCATCCCTGACATACACTGCCGCCCTCACTCACACACTACAACCTTCACACACACACTGCACCCCTTACACATTGCACCACTCATACACACCACTGCTCCTATGCCCTACTACAGCCCCATTTTCCAGCAGATTTCAGGTTAGTTGTCAAACTGTTCTTAAATGGTTTGACTACTTACTGTGGGAGGGGGTCCCGGCACTATTGACACCATAACCACTACACTGAGCTGTAGTGGTTATTGTGTCTGGATTATTTCTTTAAATAATCTACAAGTGCCCCTCCCGAGATCAGGCTCTGGATCCGCCACTGCCTGGAAGATACTCCAACAGTCAATCAGGAGCCTCTCATTCTAGTCTGTGGGGCCTGATCTTATCCCATATAACTCTGCCCAGTAGAAGTTTATGGGATAAGTAGTTTATTCGACAACCGCAGTTTCAATCATAAAAATGAATGAGTGAAACTGCTCAGTGAACTGCTGTCAATTTATACAGACTTGTTTACATTCTTGCGAGCGATTGAGCATCTAACTTTTGGTCATAAGCTACTTATCCCATTGCTGAAAAGGTGTTTATGAGACAAGCAGAAATTAACAGACAGGAATGTGAGAGTCCTGATTGTTGGGGTCTCTTACTGATGATGGAGGGGTGGGTTCCTTTCGATATTTAATTTTTTTGCATATATTTTATGAAGCATGAACTATATACTAATTTAAAAAATCAGGGCGTCATTTTCTGCATAATATGTGCATTTATTTGCACTAATTTTAGGTTGTAAAATAATTCAAGGGATAAGCAGTGCTATCTTCTGGCCTTTAGGGTTAATAGCAACATGAATGCTTCCGAAACGTTCTCACAGTAAATCTAGCAAGTCGCTAACGATCTTTTAAATCAGGCTTCCCCAAACTCCGGCCCTCCAGATGTTGCTGAACTACAACTCCCATGATTCTCAGCCTATCTAGTTCGTTCATAAAATCATGGGAGTTGTAGTTCAGCAACATCTGGAGGGCCGGAGTTTAGGGAAGCCTGTTTTAAATGTTTATATTTTGAGCTAATTCCCAGAATGCTGTTTACAGTCTTTCTGATTTTAGGCACGAAAGAGTCATTTGGTTATTTTTCTCATGTCCTTTAAAATTTCCAATTACACTAGCTCCCTCTAGTGCTTCCTCTCAGGAACTGTGTCCTTAGCATTACAACATCCCATTATGATCATTTATACATTGAAAAGAGCCATGAAATTTCATTAACAATTATAAAAAAATCTAATTTGGACCTTTAAAATATTGACCAATCATGGAGGAGCAAAGGGATAAGATAGCCAATCACCTGCTCTAGTCACCAGCTAGTAAAACATGTAAATGTGTTGCTTTCATATTCATTAAATCATTTTTTTACATTTTAAATTATTCAAAGGACAGTGTGATAAAGTGAAGGCAGAGAGGCCGTTAACATTTAACCCCAGGGGAAGTACATGTTGTATGTGTGGTGTGCAACACAAAGCTACATTTAGTTATGGGCCCCTGGGGTGGAGCATTTGGAGAGCAGAGTGGGCCAATGCTCCACTCCTCAGTTTATACACAACTGGGAGAAATAAATTCCAGGCCAGAGTTTTTTGGAACTGTCTCCAACCCACTGCTCAGCTGCAGATAATCAGCTGCAGCAGTAGGAATAAACCCCTCCCTGCTAGGCAGGTGAAGGGGGATTGCTGGCTTCCTCCCTGGAAGCAGGTAGGAGAGAGGCTGTTCTCTCCAGTGAGAGAGTCAAGGAGACTGAGCACTGGGAGTGCAAAAGGAAAGCAGTCAAGGCTGGCTTGGAGCACTGGGAGTGTAGAAAGGAAAGCAACAGGATGACTTAGCACTGGAGTGCAGAGAGCTGAGAAAGACACTAGGTTGGTGAAACCAATATTGTTTTGTTCTAGTTTAACCCCTGAGAAATAGGGAACCTGAAGTTAGTAAGTGCTCAGACGAGCTAGGTTTTTGTTTAAAGGGACTTGTGTTATATTTATGTTTTCATTTGCTGCTGTCTCCTGTGTGGACTTACAAATAAAGTGCCTGGATTATATGCAAATAAAAGGACTGTGCCTGTTGTTTACCCTAGAGGACCTTGCTACCTGCAGACAAGGATCACAACAGTAAACATGGTTATCTACTAAAGAATTTCCAGGAATCAAATATTTAAAAATCGAGGTCAAAATTGCCACGTTAGAAAAATTCTGCAAATAAGATTCGTTTTCATTTTGGCACTTTTAAATCCACTTTGAAATCACTTTAAATTCTCTGCAATTTTCACTTCAGTGAATAATGTATTAAAATACAGTGAGCTTCTCTGTTGTAATAACAAGCCACCATTATTTATTAATTTATAAAATATTTTACCAGGATGGTTACATTGAGATTTCTCTCATTTTCAAGTATGTCCTGGGTAATTAGTTAAATTATAATATCAAAAGATGCAGAAATTCATGACATCTTTGGTTGTACAAAGAAGATTAGTTTCTAAGCATGCCTTAAGAATCTTAGTTCACTGCAAGATCAACTAAGAAGCATGACTCACCTTTCTACAGCTAGTGCGATCCCCGTGGCGCTATTGATCTAGTGGCCATAGGCACTAAACAACGAGACATTGGTAACGTGAGTGCAGAACAATCTCTTAACTAGGTGGCAGGATACATATTATGCAGTGTCTTGTGATTGTAGTGCCATTGGCCACAAAACCTCAAACTGTTCTTTTTGATTAGAAAACATGACATTGTGATAAAATACATCATGCTACAATATCCCGATTTTGTTTTGGCAGGAATGCAAATTATGTGCATGAATTTAGCTTGGTGACCAATTCTTCAATTGTAGTATTATAATTAATAATAATATCAAACTAGCTTCTGTGAATATCCTGGGATCTCTCTTATTATTAATATAATATTTATTAAAATTTTTAAAAACACTCTTCCTAGTGTAAAAAGAGTCTCTGTTATACGGGGCAGGCAGTGTTGCTATAGTAAATTAATTGTCATGGGCAGTTGTATGATATGTCCATTCCAACCATTCAGATCAGGAATGGAATGTTGAGGTGAGGTTAGATCAAAACTGTAATGGAGCTGTATTCACAAAAGTGCAACATCATTACCATACCGTTCATAATGTTGCCAATTTTGAAGTTGCAGTTGGGTTTAGGATATACTTTTAGATTAGGGTTTGGATTAAGCCATACTGAAATGTAGTGTTCGGGGTCTACAAACAGCATCAATAAATACAGACAAAACAGTATAATGAGCAAATTATTAACAAATTATTGGGGAGGGGGGAGGGTTTATAGGGTTCAAAATAGGGATTTTTTTTAAAGATAAGGGGCTGATAGTACATTTTTGGAATATTACATACTTAAAACGTGAGGTAAGAACAGTCACAATTTATTTGATGCTCTGCGGATATCATGGGGTCGTAGTAAATACAATAAGGCAAAATCGGAGTCTGTCTGATCACAGCAGAAGAAAAGAGCCATGACATGTACAGACAATCCAACAATGTGATGCAGGTCTGACCGTATTGCATTAAACCCAACATTCCCCTTAAAACCTATACCAACATAGGCTGTTTTCTGTGATTATTATCATTAGAGCCCCACTAATGCTAAGTAAGACATTACATGATAGAGGTATCTAAGGACCAGGTTGCAACGATGATATAGAAAATCCTTGCCCCCTAATGGGTTAAGGTTAGGGCCTGAAGATGAAATCAAAATTGAAACAGAGGTCTGAAATGTGTAACTTATCACCTATTGCATCTGTGAATCTAATTTTCACGTATTAGAAGGCCACAAGTGACAAAATTAGGGGAAGAATGAAGAATGAGCAGAGATGCGAGAGAATGTTTTAAGGGAGAGATATGACATGCATAGGGAGTTAGGACTCTGCGTCTAGCAGCGTGATGGCATACAAGGCAGAGCTGTGAATTTGAGTTTCACAAGTACATGTACAAAAAAAAAAACACAACGCTGATAATACAGCTGAAGCTGGTAAGTGAATGAGAATAGGATAAGTAAACCATAGGACCCTACGAAAGCATCACACATACACTGACGTGTACACAATCAACTGTTAAAACACATCCAATGGTGGTAATAATCTCTCACTCTTCCATAAGCGCACTGCTTGCTCACCACTGATGTGTTGGTGGAGCTCGGAGTTGACCGTGGACAGTGTCTTGCTTCTCAGACAATTGTATAAATAATTCATTGTCAGGCAGTCACTGTTACAATCCTTTCAGTCATTCAGAGGTTCATCTGCCTGCTTCTTTTCATATATGCATGGGTGAGTATGACAACAGAGCTATATTGAGCTGGTAGGAGGGGTTCCCACATCATCTGGTTTGGGAGGTGTTGTAAAACTCATAAAGTCATTGAAGCATCTCTTGGATAGTGATAACCCATGAAGCCATTTCATCCTCTGAGCCTGTGATCTGTAGCTGCCAGCTCGACCAACCTACCTGTGGGTGTGAGAGGTAAGTACTAAAATATCCCCCTTACACCTATCCACCTCTCACTGTTATCCTAAACCTTTTAGAACTTAAACACCATCCTTTAGAATGATTTAATTTGACACCAATGGATAAATATCGAGGCTAAATAGAATCAAATTGTTCTACAAAAGCTTTATATTTCCCATCTGCAGTGAATCCTCAGGACTTGCTTGATGTAAAATGTAGTTTTACATTCATATTTTCTTTATCACAAGTTTATTTAATTTCAGTTAGTATAATAATGTCTAATTGTGTGTCTGCTTTCATTAGATTCCTAACATAAAATGTTGCTTTATAGGACAGATGATAGGTATATTTGTTTTCGAGGGCTCTATCGGTATCGCCATTTGCAAAAGATAATTTTTCAGTTTTTTTTTGTTTATGTTGTACCAATTACGGCACTCTGTTACTGAACATGTTTCTGGCTATTTCTCTTTGAGCATGAGTGAATTACCAAACACAGACATATCTGTCAGAATGAATAATTCACTAATGCATCCATCTGCATCCATCAGTGCACGGAGAACAAAAGCAGTGTGTATACAGAGGGTAAAAACCTTTTCCAACGCATTTTACTCATAATATAAGGAAATGGCCCAAAAAATCTTCACAAAAACACAATAGCATGGATGTCTATAGACATAATATGGAAAATGTAGATCGATATTACAATTATTTGATGCTTTGACACTTTGTAACTGCTAGTAACTGCTGAAGGACACTTTGCAGAACTTTATATTATTTTGCTGTGCATTAAATGAGTGGATTAGATTATCAATACCATTGCTAGCTCAGGATGAATTAAAGGCAACTTAATAATAACACCATCGTGATCATAACACAATATACACTTTATCCGTTTGAGTTGTGCAGTATATAACAGGATATTGTTGCTTATAATGTAGTACTTTTTTATCGACATCAATAGCAGTTAAACCATTTTCATCCTTCTCTTAGGTTCAAGGGTGAATAAGGGTTAAACGCAGGCCTCAGGCTCAACTCTTCTGCCTGGCTGGCTTATTTTGTGTTCTCCGCTCGCGTAACCATTGATTGGGCCTAATTAGCATCAATTTGCCTTTCCAGTGTCCTTTGAAAACTTGTGCTCTGTGTCCATAGGAATTAGCATCTCTTTGTCCAGTGCCAAAGGAGGCAACTGAGCTCTTATCAAAATGGTAGGGGTGAGGGCCCATATTCCAATGAATAATACAAATGTGAAAGTAATAAGTATTTGTTAAGACAACACAAAGACAGTATTTTGTTGAAGTCGTATTTAGTTCCTGCCATTTAAATAGTAGGAATTAAAAAATGAAAAGGTTTTATCTCACAGGTTGACAGATCTCATGTAGATAAATCAGAGCAATAGCAGAGGTTGTATGGCCACAAGTCTTAACCTAATGGGTGCTCTGTATTAACTATGTGACGGATTGATCAGGTCACTTTAACAACTGGTGCTGGACTCCATGCTAACTCGTCCAAAAGAGAGCTTTTGTCACCAAAGTCATGATCTTGAGCAGGTCAGGTAAGAGACTTTGGCCAGTGTTAACATCAGAGGCTTTATTGGTGAGTTTGGACATACTAAAAAACAACAGCATATCTTATAAATGAAATAATAGGAGAAGGCAATAAGAGAAACAAAGGTTTATGCAATATGCCCTATACAGATAATAAACCGAATGTAGGTGGATAATAAGAGAACCTATAGATGAAGATATAGGCTGAAGATAGAGGGACAAGTATAAAAGAATAGAACAGAACAACATGGTTTCAGGAAAATAGAAAAAAAAAAGACTTTAGTGAATCAGCCCCCACTTGGAAGGAGTACTGATAAAGTATGGAAATAACACCTTGCAATAATAGAGGCAAAGTCCAGGTTGGTGTTATGCAGGTTGGTGTAAATCTGATTGGCAGGGTAAAGCAGAGTAGAAGTGTAGGTTAGGCTGGTTTGGAACAGGTTGGTATAAAGCTGATTGGCAGGATAAAGCAGAGTAGAAGTGTAGGTTAGGCTGGTTTGGTGCAGGTTGGTATATAGCTGGTTAGCAGGATAGAAGTGTAGGTTTCGGCTGGTTTGGAACAGGTTGGTATAAAGCTGATTGGCAGGATAAAGCAGAGTAGAAGTGTACGTTAGGCTGGTTTGGTGCAGGTTGGTATATAGCTGGTTAGCAGGATAGAAGTGTAGGTTTCGGCTGGTTTGGAACAGGTTGGTATAAAGCTGATTGGCAGGATAATGCAGAGTTGAATTGTAGGTAAGGCTGGTTTGGAACAGGTTGATATCAAGCTGCTTAGCAGAGTAGAATTGTAGGTTAGGCTGGTTTGGAACAGGTTGATATCAAGCTGGTTAGCAGGATAGAAGTGTAGTTCCACATGAACATTTACAGAAGCCAGGAACTGGTCTTTCAGGATGAGCATCAACTTCATTGTAAAGACATGTGGTACGTTGGGTGTAGCCTTTTGTAGCTTCTTGATTAGTCCAGGCAGGTGAGGATGACGAAGGTGAAATCCAAGGTTAGTGGTTAGGGAGGCCACTAGTGATGCAGAGCTAGAACTAGTTATTAAAGAAACAGGAATAAACAAACATAAACTTAGTTGTCAGGATAGGAGCCTGACATCCATATTTGCTCCTCCATGCTGTTCCAGGACTTTACAGGACATAAGGGAGCCTTAACCTGTGGCCCAACTAGCCCAAACAGACTTTTAGGACACTCCTTGAGGCTGAATGGAGTACAGAGTGCTCAACTGAGAGGTATCCAGAAACACCATTAAACTGTACACTGGATCGGAAGAATACCGATGTGAAACTTCAAGAGGGTATCACTCTGTCTCAGGACTAGCAACCTTAGCACTCTTTGGAAGGGAGGTCCAGGAGGCAATGAAGCATTCAGTGACACCAAAGACTTGAAGGAGATCGCATTTATGGGGCTTCTACTTGGTAGCAAACCATCTAGGAACTCTGCGTCGTATCGGAGGATGGTTAAGGCCCAGTCAAACTTCAACTGGTGATTACTCAGGCAAGACACCTCTTATTTGAGTTCTTTCTGGACAGCATGCATCTCTAAATCAGAGCTCTCAGGGGGATGTATAGCTCTTGGGAATAACATATGGGAAAGTCTCTGTTTTTGAGACACTGTTTAAGGTGTCTTGGTTTCTACTAGCTAATTAAATTATCCTGCATTTAAATGAGCTATGGCCTAGACACCAATATTGTGTGGTTGATGACACCCTTTTGAGAATACCTGTAAAAATACGTGAGTTGTTAAATAAAGAGCATCTGGTTTACTCTTCATCAAGCCTTCGGTTAATGCTTCGGGCTTGAGTGATAATCACTCTAGCTGATCTGATCCAGTGGGGAAGAGATACTTGGCGGAGATACTTAGTCTGCGTATAGGAGCTCCCTTACAAGCTCCATGAAAAAAAACATTTGTTTTTGGTACATTTACTTGGGTAGGATGAATTTATAGACCCTAAAATTATTAATGGACCAATTGAATAAAGAAAAAAAATACACAATATGTTGACACCATAAGCTCCTCATCATGGATCCTTACTCTACAGCTATGTGGTGGCATTTTCATTTTGGAGATATAAAACGTAAACCATTATTTCCATCATAGTATGATATCAACATACAGAGTTCTTGAACTCTGGGATTTTATATCTCAATATATAATTTGACATAATTAATATGAAGATCTAATGGAATAGTTATCTTCTGCTATAAAGTGACATTCACAATATAGTGCTATGGGACATGGAACTTTTATTTGCCATCACACAGAGAAATAGGAAGTATTGCACTATGGCATGCATAGCCTTTATTTCCCACTGTAGGCTGACAGACATACTATGGTTCTATTGAACACAGAGCTTTTTTTCTTCCATTACAGGCAGACATGAGCAGTATCACCCTACAGGACATACACCCTTTATCTCTCATCCATGGGTGACATGGACAATATGGAGCTATGGGACATAGAAACTTATCTCCTGCTGCTGGATGACATTTACATAATGGCACTCTGACATGCAGAGCCTTTATTTCCAACTATGGGAATAATACTCAATATGAAGCTTTGAGGCATAGGCCACTTTTCTCCCACTAAAGAGTGAAATAGGCAGTATGGAGATATGGGACCATTACATTTACCATGAAATGTTTGGTGACATGATCACGATGAAGTACTAATTTTCCAATCTTGGGTGGCACAGGCAGTATAAAGCTTTGTAGGTTTAACCAGTGGCATACCTACCATAGTCGCATGAGTCGCTGCTGCAACAGTGCCCATCACTCCAGGGGGCCCGACCACAGATGCAACTCCTGCGACCATGGGCTGCTGGCATACCTTCAGGGCCAGTGTACAGCCACATCAGCCCAGGGCCCGCTGTTGCAGGGCTACCGGCACAAGGGGAGCTTTGTGCTCTGCTACTCCGCTACTGCCGCTGTATGCAGCATGACTGAGCAATCTGTCAGGAAGTGCTTACTAAGAGAACACTTCCTGTCAATGGGTACCGAAGCAGTAATCAGGTACAGAAGGGGAGGATGATGAGACACATGGAGGGGCTGGAGGAAGGGAATGGGATACATGGAAAGATTGGGGGGTGGAGAAAATGGGACACATGGAGGGTGGAAATTAGACAAATGGAGAGGCTTGGGGTCAGGAAATGAGACACATGGAGGAGAAGAAAGGAGACGCATGGAGGGGTTTTGGGGGGAAATGAGACACATGGATGGGCTGGGTGGCAGGTAATGAGACTCATGGGGGGCCTGGGGTGAGAATGAAACACATTGAGGGGCTAGGAGGAGGAAATGAATGAGACTTATTAAGGGGTTGGAAGTGAGGGAATAAGACACATGGAGGAGCTGGGGAGAGAATGAGACACATGGGGGAAGCAGGGCAATATTCACACTGGGGTCCAATGGTTTCTAGTTACGCCTCTGGGTTTAAGCCTCAGTATTTGGGGACCTAAACGTTAAGAGGTTAAGAAATATATGAGAATATAGAGTCAGTTCCATGTGCAACTGTTATTAGGTGGTACTTTGGCACAGAGTAATGGACCATGCAACATTTTTAATTACCTCATATCATCCGCAGGTCCTTTCCCTTGGGGCAGACGTTTTGCCAGAATACAAGCTGCAGGCCCCGCGGATTCACCGATGGACCATCCTCCATTACAGCCCATTCAAAGCAGTGTGGGACTGGCTGATCCTGTTGCTGGTCATCTACACAGCTGTCTTTACCCCATATTCAGCTGCTTTCCTACTGAACGATCAGGAGGAGGAGAGGAACTGGGAATGTGGATACTCTTGCAACCCCCTCAACATCGTGGACCTGATTGTGGACATTATGTTCATTGTAGACATAATCATTAACTTCCGTACCACCTATGTCAATACCAATGATGAGGTGGTCAGCCATCCCGGCAAAATAGCTATCCACTACTTCAAGGGCTGGTTCCTTATAGATATGGTGGCAGCTATACCCTTTGACCTTCTTATTTACCGGACAGGATCAGATGAGGTAAGAGACCTTTCCTAATTCACCAATTCCAATTCACAGATAACTTCACTAACACTATAGTCAAAACCCATAGGCAACCACATTAATATAAGGATTGCATCCACACATAATGGATCTTGTGTTACGATCACATAACCAATATCTCTACAGCAAGCATATCAAACGCAAAGTCTAGCACAGGCCACATAAACAAGGTTTAAGTTTATGTGTGCCGCAAAAAAAACCAAATCTTAAATTTTCATAGAAACTTAGGTTTATTTTGAAAATTACACTGTTAAACCCCCCCCCCCAGCATCCTCCTCTACTAAACCACAGCCCCCCTATACTAAATCCCAGTCCCCCATATACTAAACCCCAGTCGTCCCCCTCTACTAAATCCCAGCCCCCCCCAATATACTAAATCCCAGTCCCACCCTCATATACTAAATCCCAGTCTTCCCCCTCTACTAAATCCCAGCACGCCCCTCTAGCCAACAAGCAGACTCCACTCACATTGCTGCTGCCAGTATGCGACTCTGGAGTCCGGCCTCTGGTATAACCCAAATAGCGCCGTCCGCACCCTGTGCCATTCTGATCCTGCCGCTACTTCTTGAAACCCTGTGAAGGTGGAGCACGTTGATGTCACGTCGGAATGTGACGTTGCGTTGCGTGCCTCCATGCACTCCACTGTCCAGTGCAGCCAATGCAACGCTGGCCCACACACTCACTGACACACACACAAATAAGTGGGGGAGGAGTATTGGGGTACTGTTTAGGTTCCAAAAGGATCAGCTGTTAAATGATCTTATTCTGTTTTACACGGGACTTAACACTTCTTCTTGCACCACGTGTCTCCTTTCCACCACATAACATCTCAGCAACAAACAGAATGGTAAGATTTGCAGTGATGATGCCAGATTTTTTTTGGACTACATACATTCAAGACTCACAAAAAATATTAAAAGAAAAAAGTACAACAAAAAAAACACTTTGCATGTTTTGTATCCAAGTGGCAGTTAACCAATAAGTCTATTATATATCACTTACACTGTAAGTATGAAAATGAAGTTAAGTGTCCATGTGCATCTGATATGTGTGTAGTACAACATTGTGTGTGTGTGAATGAGTCAAAAGAGTGTACATGTGTCTGGAGCTTGAGAACTATGCCCTTTTTTATGTGTGGGGGGTTCATTATAGTTTTGATGGCGCATGTGTGGAAGGGTTCACGTGGAAGTTGTAATGGAATGTCCATATGTGGTGGTTATAAAGGTGGAGTAAAGCACACATGTGATTCGGGTGTCATGATATTTTAGAGTGAACATGCATAATTTTGTGGTCAGCGAGGTAGTAACAAAGTGTAGAAGTACCCTATGCTTTATAGTGAATTCTTGTGGCACCTGGAGTAACTACGAACATCTTGCAAACATTATAGCACAATGTTTTTCAAGGTTATTAATTCATGTTAATTTGGGGCAATTACAATGGTAACCAGTGGACCAGAAATCACATTAACTTGGTGACTTTGCCCCTTTTACGAAAGTTTTTACGTTCCTCAGCTACAAGCTAAACACAAGTGAAGGTGCAATTTCAAAGGTACATTTCGTGACTCTAATCTGACCTTTTTGCACTCCTAATAATGGCTACTAGTGATTTTACCTAGAGTTTACCTAGATTATACTGTTCAGAGGAAAAAGGTTCTATTTGTTTTTCATTGTTGTAATCACCATTTCTTCTTTATTAAGAAGCATCAATGAGATATATGGTGGTTAATATGTTCTCATGTGGGACATGTGCCTCAATTTTCCCCCCCAAAGTTTTTTTTCTTTCACCCTATAGTGTTAGCTATGTATGTTTTATAATAATGAGCCATTTATTAGTAACACTACATGTGCAAAACATCTGGATACTTTATATATAATCAGCAATAATGACAATACAAGTTTAAGGACTTGTTATGGTTCTATTCATTTTACTTTAGAATTTTGTTTCATTAAAAACTTTGCTATTTGTGCCAGTTCTCCCAATATATTGAATATGTGTTTAGCTTCAATAAGAAAGACTAGTTGGCATGTGCTGTTACACCCTCATAAGTCTAATACCCATCATTTTATGGCCCAGATGCATCTTTGATTGTAGGATTAAGTTTAAAATATCTCCCCCATTTTGTACTTTGTGCTTTTGTTTGCATGTTGATCCTGCTTTTCATCTGTTGATCTTGGCTTTCAGTAAATACATTAATGACTCATTCACTCCAGCTCTATTGTCTTTGTCATGTAGACTACCACTTTGATCGGACTTCTGAAGACAGCAAGGTTGCTCCGTTTAGTTCGTGTGGCAAGAAAACTAGACCGGTACTCTGAGTATGGAGCAGCTGTTTTGTTCCTTCTCATGTGTACCTTTGCACTCATCGCTCATTGGCTGGCATGCATCTGGTACGCCATTGGCAATGTGGAACGTCCGTACATGGAACACAAGATTGGCTGGTTGGACAATCTAGCCAATCAGATTGGAAAGAGCTACAATGACACTGACCAGACCTCCGGGCCTTCTATCAAAGACAAGTATGTGACTGCTCTTTACTTCACCTTTAGCAGCCTAACCAGCGTAGGCTTCGGGAATGTCTCACCTAACACCAATTCAGAAAAGATCTTCTCTATCTGCGTTATGTTGATTGGATGTAAGTCCTTGGAAATTGATTTGTGTGTTACAATGGCACAATGCATGATTTAGAAAATACGTTCTCGAGGGATAGCAATTATAGGCTATGGACATTTGAATTTGTTTTAAGTAGTTTTAATTTGTAATTTTATACATTATTAGACATGTGCATTTGTTGCACTCTTACTCACACAAATTGATCCATTTGACAATGATTAATCAGTTTAAAAATTAATTGAAAGGGGTTCTATGCAGGATGAATCAATTTGTTGTAAGAGTGCAATGAATCCACATATCTATTTATTTACTGTAACTTATATTTTTAAATGGGTACTCCTACGAATGCATATAATGTAATGAGTCAAAAGTCTCAATACCTGTAAGAATGTTAGATTAATCTTATAATTACTATGAAACACACTAGTCAGTGGATCGGTGATGTATGTTACTCTAACCTTTAAGTCGAAATTATTTCATTAATTATCTTCAAGTGTTTTACAGAATGTTACTTTAGGTTATTTTGGCTCCTGCCTGTATACATAATAATTAAGTATAATTACAATTGTAATGACTTAAAAATTATTCTATTAACTCAGGGCCTAGGAACCCCAATAGCCACAGTCCTGTGTCAGCTTGCTTATTTATATGGGCATTATAGCTAATATTTTAGGAATATACATCTTTGATGGTTCCAAAAAAAGATCAAATAGCCTCTGTGTTTTGTGAGTTATACTATATACTTTATTAATTGATGTCTGTTATAAAGCATACTGACGTCTCTGTAAAACAGATGCTATGGGTACAGAATAAAAACTAGTTTGCTATGATAATAAAGCTAAGTTTATAGAGTAAATATGGTTAGTTAGTCAGTTAGTGTTTTTAGGGGAATCTCTCATGTTTATTTTTAGCATATAAAATTTTTTAAGCAAAATGTGAGCAAATATTGTTTTAAAAATATGTCAATTACAAAAGGGATTACTTTACCTTATTATTCATCTCTCTGAAGGCTCAGTCAGAATGTTAATTAGTTTCAGAGTCTTAATTAGCTTTCACTGCTACAATTCTCCTTGTTTATCACAACTTAATGTCTAACTTGTTGGTTAAACTATGCACATTTTGAAAAAAAAAAAAAATAATACCTATAGATAGACAGTTTTAAAAACAAACAAACACTATGCTAAAAGCAGATATAATATATAATCAGAGTTAAAGAAATGAATGATTGATCCTCATTGAGTATTTTTTTTTAGTAGCGACATTAATGAGACATCCAGATACTTTCTACATTTCTCATTTTTTTTTTCCCTTCCTTGCACTCAGCTCTCATGTATGCCAGCATTTTTGGGAATGTCTCAGCTATAATACAGAGACTGTACTCGGGTACTGCTCGTTATCATACCCAAATGCTGCGTGTCAAGGAGTTCATCCGCTTCCATCAGATTCCCAACCCCCTACGGCAGCGACTTGAAGAGTATTTTCAGCATGCTTGGTCCTACACAAATGGTATCGATATGAATGCTGTAAGTAACCTCGACCACCTGTAAGTAGCTGTGTAAAAGTTCTAAAATAACTTACAAAGGGATAAGGAAATTAAAGACATTAGCGATTACCGAAAGATTACAGGGGTACAATTTCGCTATAGAGAATGTAGATTAAATTTACTTTCAGTTTTCACTGATACTTACTGATAATTCATTTTTGTTTCTTGAAATCTTTCCTACCATTCTATTTATATATATATGGGGAGAGTGGGCATACACACTCATAGGAATTTCTTACATGTTTGTATAAAGTGATAAACTTTCATTAGTCCCTGGCCTAATCTAAAGTCTAGGATAGCCTTATGCCTATCCCACACATGCTTAAACTCCCTCACTTTGTTAACCGCTACCACTTCAGCTGGAAGGCTATTCCATGCATCCACTACCCTCTCAGTAAAAGTGAATTTTATGTGAATTCCAAATTTAGGCCAAGGTAGCAGAACTGGAAACACATCGGAACTAGAGAATTTTTCTGGTTTAGCTATTTTGACCTTAAATTTGAATTCTCTTTGAATTCTCGCTTTAGTGAATAATCCTGTTTGGGTTTTTTTTTTAACAATCCGTGCACATTACACTATGATAGTTGCACATGTGTGTTTAGGACGATCCATGAATACATTTAACGAAAGAGTTAATTATTTACGTAAAGCAGACATTTCTGCTGCAGGTGAGGTATATGCATGAATAAAACTTTTTTATTAACTCTTTTGTACTTTATTGGCGATCTGTGCTCTAGGATTCCTCTAATATAAATCCAATGTCTTGAATTTCTGGGATGTGGAGCCGGGAGGAGGAAACAGAGGAATTTTCATTCACAGCTATTGGCGATTTTTATTAATGTATTCTTAATTTTATGATAGAACCAACATGTTCTACAGCATTATAGAATAAGGGAAGAAATGTGTGCAAAATTGAAATGTAATTATTAATTTTTATTGACTGAAAGGACCTTTGATGTCGCTGTGGGCGGTGCCATTTCACAATGCACAGGGAGTTCATTAATATCATTGCCGCATCCTAAAATCCTGCACGTGTGTAAGAATGATGCCCAAGCAGGCACTGTATCTGGGCGGGATTGGGGAGAAAGGGATTTTTGTCTGTATATGAAATCAGATTATTGTGAAGGGCTGCTTGTGCATTTGTGAAATGTATCTCTATAAAAGAATTGTTGAATAACTGGGAATGCGTGTGTGTCTGTATATTGAACGAACCCTGTCTAAGCATAGATTGTATCTCTGTACCATGTTTGCATGCAAGAATTATGTCCGTGTTTATCAGGGGTAGACGTCCTGAGGCTCCTTCTGGATTTAGTGGTGGTAGACGCAGCTAATTAACAGCTGCAGACCATCATCACATCGCTTGTTCTAAAGAAGAAATTCTCAGTTATTATAATATTTAACCAGTGTTTTCAAAATAACTGAGTAGGTCCTTCAAAATGACTGATTGCTGGATAATCTGAGAGTGAGGACACCCTAAATCACACATTTTCATTGTGTGCTCCAATACTCGGAAATCTATACAAGTCTGCAATAGGCCCTGTAATTAGACTTTGCTACAAGGATAAAGGGTTCAGTAATGGCCTCCCCCCTCCCTTTCTACCACCATGTGTGAGGTGGTCAGGGGCTGTATTAAACTGGTAAGCTCCAGGTGACTTCCTCTACCCATAACCCCTCGTTGTGGGAGGATGGAATCAAATACAGAGAAGACGTTCAGTGAAAGAGTGTATCATTTCTTTAACCCACTGGCCTGTTGCCTTATATAAAAAGTAATTACTGTTTTTCTTTCGTTGAATAATTTGCATTTTCCCATTGGATTTTTCCTTCAAACTATTTTTTTTTTTTTGTTATCAGCTGCAGCGTGATATGAGGGCTTTTTTTCGGAGAACATTTTTTCGACCAAAAATAGGAACGTTAAGCAAGATTTTGACATTATATATATTTTTGTAAGAGTTGTATTAACTGTGTATCAGAATGTCGAAATCTCGGAATTTAGGATGTTGCTATGTTGTCTGTCAGATATATTTCTGTTTCAGAATGTTGGCAACAATGTTCCCATATAGATCAGATGCAGCAACAGTGTAATTGAGGCTTACTCACTGATAACTGAGTTTTTCTGGGAAGTGATCAGGTAATCGAGAATTGTTGGCAATAACAGCGAAGCAGAGAAAAGGATATTTTTTTCCCAATTTGGCAATTTTAATATTAAGTTTAAATTTCCCTGATTAATCCTAATAGTTCTGGTTTAATAAACCGCAAAGGCAAGCTTATTAATAAATGTAAAAATTCAAAGTGGATTTTGGATTAAAGGCGAAAGTAGCTAAACGCTTTGAGTTCACTTTGAATTCTTACTAAGTGAATAACCCTGTATGCGAGAAGCCCATACACTTTTGTAAAGCTATTCGGCTCGTTTCCAGTCCTGTTGGTAAATAGCAGTCGTAACCTGTTGCTATTCGCAACGGCGGATAGCTAGAAGCAACTACTATTTAGCAATTACAAACACAAAGATAAAGCACTGCGCTTACAGCAGCAGTAGCTTAGTATCCAACAGCTTAAAATACATAGTAAAAACAAAGAGAATGGCCTAAATCCTCATGTACATTTAAACAAACTGGAGGCTCTTTATTTTATTCCAATGGAAATTTGAATATATAAGCTCACCTGCCACGTCAAGGAAAGCTTCAAAAGGTGAGTTCCTACACTAGCCATTAGATATGCTGATATCAGCCAAGAATCTCCAGTAAGACAGGAAGGGGTATTTTATACACCCTTTCACATTTAACCCTTTATAGGGCTTCTACACATACAATAAACTTTGCTGGTATCAGACAAAGTGTAAACCTCTCTAATGAGACAGGCCATTGGAATAAAACTAAAGAGCGCTAATTTTTACAGGCTGACCGCTAATAAGTGTGCTCATAAATCTTAGTTGCTTGCTGGTAAAGCACAGTAACACATAATGTGTAAGTTTTCATCATAGCAATGACACCTTGCCGATAAAATAGGTTCTTCCTGAGCATGCGCATTTCACCCTGTGATTGATGAGCATGAGCATTTCACCCTGTGATTGACCTTTGCAGTAGCTATCGATAGTGTATAAAGTGTATTAAACTGTGAATTTGTGCTAAGCCAAATACATATATCTAAGTAACTTTTAAAGTTCATGTTTATGTCAGTTGCTCGTTTAAATGACATATGCATTTTGCTTATATAAAGAATAATTTTATGTTTTATATCACGCATCCAGCTTTCTCTTTAATTCTATTGCTCTTGATATGGTTTAAATATGTTTTTATATGTGCTTTAGGATTTTAATGTAATGCTAATGTGTATTTTTCCTATAGGATGTATAGAATGTTAGCTATTGTTAACTTGATTGCACCAGTCAAGAGGCTGGAGCAGAGGTGTAACTAGAAACCACCGGGCCCCAGTGCGAAACTTACCCTGGGGCACCTCCCCCACATGTCTCATTCTTCCCCCTCACAGTACCTCCATGTGTCTCATTCTCTTCCCCCCAAATTTCTTCATGTATCTAATCCCCCCAAGCCCCTCCATGTGTCTCATTCAACCCGAGCCGCTCCATGTGTCTCATTTCCCTGAGCCACACCATATGTCTCATTTTCCCTCAGCCCCTCTGTGTGCCTCATATCCCTCCAGAGCCCTTCCATGTGTCTCTATTCCTATCATCCATGTGTCTCATTCTCCCCCCCAGGCCATCTATGTGTCTAATTCCACCCCAGCCCATCCATGTGTCCCATTTCCCCCCAAAGCCCTTCTATGTGTCCTATTTCCCCCCAGAGCCCCTCCATGTGTCTCATTTCCCTCAAGCCCCTCCATGTGTCTCATTTCCCCAGCCACTCCATGTGTTTCATATCCCCCCCCGAGTCCCTCCATGTGTCTGAATTCCTTTATTCCTTCCCTCCATGTGTCTCATTTCTTCCCCCCAACCCTTCCATGTGTCCCATTCCCTCCCCCCAGCCCCTCCAGGTGTCCCATTCCTTTCCCCCAGCCCATCCATGTGTCCCATTCCCTTCTCCAGCTCCTCCATGTGTCTCAATTCCCTCTCCTCCTGTAACTGCTCACCGCTCTCTGCTCGGCCATGCCACACACAGAGATAGTCAGAAAGGGAGCAGCACAGCGCATCGCTTCCCTCCTGCCAGTAACCTTGCAACCGCGGGACCTGGGTCCCAGGCCGTTGCAGCAGTTTACCTGCCCTGAAGGTATGCCAGCAGCCCACGGTCAGAGGAGTGACGGGCCCGGTTGCAGCGCTGACTCCTGCGACCGTGGTAGGGACGCCACTGGGCTGAAGTTAAGCGTTGATGATTAGCGGCAGCTGATAAATAGTAGTCACAGGTAGGAAACCAATCACTACGTAGCAGTTAGCTGGTCTCATAAAGAATAATGGGAGTTGTTATTTGCAACATAGCGGCTGGCTTTCTGTAGCAGCAACTCCGTGTAGCTACATCTCAAATTTGACAGTCGATACCCAGGCTGTACTTACTGATGGGCACTTTAGAGAGTAGCAACTGGCCGGTAAAAAGTAACAACAAAATTAGAAACTAGCCCAAATTTGTATATGTAGAATGATAGAATGATGTAATTTGTAACTATAAATATACAAATGGCTAGTTTGTATTTATAAGAATTATGTCTGCCTACACAATAGCTATTTCTGAGCTGTGTGAATGTATTTGTGTGCGCTTGCTCACAATGTAGGTCCGAAGGTATAAGTTGTGTTAGTTTGTACCTAATTGTGTAGCAAATATTTCTGTGTGTTTAAGTTGTGTCTTGGTGTAAGAGTGCTATGTCTTTGTGTTTTTCAGTAAAGGCTGTGTGTGCCCTTCACGTGTGCAGGAATCCTCTCTGTGTGTGTTGTGATCTTGTCTCCACAGGATTCCTGTGTTTATTTGATCCATACAGTTCCTCCCAGGAATCCTGTCTGCATTGTGGATGATATTGGATGTTTTTCTGTCTTTGGGGATCATGCACAGCCCTCATGGTTTCTCTTCCCTTTGAAAGGCTATAATGCATCCCGATGCTGGATCTCAAGCCAAGATGATGGCCAGGGCACAGAGCTTCCTCCCTGCTCCACGTGACTCAGCGGGTAGAATGACACTGGCACATCAGGTCTGATGGCCCAGGCATGGTTATAATGTAATAGACAAAAAAAGTTCAAAAGAATTTAGAATGACAATGCAACATTAGTGGCCTAGATTTACTTAAGTTTGTAGGTTATAGCAAAGAGATTGTCACCTGACACTCTCAGGATTATTCGCTAGAGTGAGAATTTTGGGAATTCAAACTGAATTTAAACTTTAAGGCCAAACTAATCAAAATGGAAGGATTTTTTATTTTTGACTATTTCGACCTTAAATTTGAAATTCCCTTTGAATTCCCAACAATTATTGGCGAATAACTCTAAGTGATATTATTACATCTGGTCTGACCATTGAGATGTAGAGACATTTTAAAAAGGCAAAAAAACTAAACAAAATAAAACCCAAAACAGTTGTCTAGATTATTAGTCTGATTGTCTCAAAGTAGAATATCCAGACTGAAACAGGTCTGTATAAGTGGGCCACTTAATGGCACTTATCTAAAATTAACTTTTTGCCTTAAACCAATCTGACATTAAAAAAACATATCTGTTTGTTCATAAATTTGCAAAACATTAACTCTTTTGGGACCAATAGCAATAGCCAGGTTGTAGGCCCATACAGCTATCTTGATTTGATGACTCCAGCATGCTGGCAAAGTGAAATATTAAACTAATTCCCAATGTAGGTCCCATGTTGTGTTAGATCTAGAGGAGATCAGTTATCCAACGAAAGATAGGCCTAATCGGACACATCACATTCATTGCCATCCCCATAAATGGGGAAAAATAGTTATATGTACTAAGAGTTTTTCCACTAGATTCATGATCACAGAAATTAATATGTTCAAGAGGTCAGACATCTTTACAAAATGTATTTATCTGCAGTGATACTTTCCTGCGGAACACATTTACAGTAACAAAGATTGTCGCTAAAGGAGATGTTCTGACCATTGAATGTGCATTGTGCAATGCGAGGTGACAGTGTGGTTGCAGTGATTCTGCTTACAGGATGTGCTTCACTTGCTGCACAAAGCACACAGTGACAGAGAAGAGACTTTCACTTCTTACAGGTGCACAGTTGTGATGGTGTCCAAAAGATTCACTGCACCATAACTACTACAGTTAGCTGAGTTGACCATGATACTTAAAATGTTCCTTTAAGGATCCATTATCAATTGTTTTAATTGTATTGCTTTTTTTTTTCCTTCAAACTTTCAGTTGTCCTTTTTCAATGTGCAGATGAGGCAGTCACTGGAACACATGATATATTTAATTCACCAGTGATTTATATAGTTGTGGGCATGGGGAGGGTGACTCTCTGGCACTTTATAAATGGTACAGGAGCTTTGGCACTATTAATGTGTGGTGTGAAAATCATAGAGACCTGGTAATAAATTAATGTGATTTTGTTAGTTGCAATGGGTTGTGAACTCCATTAAGCCACTAGGGAAAGGTAGTATTAATGTGGAGAGGCAGATGGTGATATTGGGGGTGGTAAAAGGGGAGATGGTGACAATTGAATGGAAAGGAAGGGACATTGGGGTGGGATGGGAATGGGTAAGAGTGACAATGGCATTGGAATGAGGTAATGATGGGAGGAGGAGGAGGTGATGAGTTTAGAATGACCTGACGATGACAAGAAGGGGTGAAAGAGTTGGGATGAAGAACATCTGGTTTGGGAAAGATGAAGAAAGACTGGGAGATGTGATGAAAAGAGATTGGGTAGAGGGAGTTAAAGTGAAACTGGAGAGGGACAGATGAAAGGAGACTAGGGAGGAAGAGATATGAAGGGAGTGAAAATGGACTAGAGAGAGGAAAATGAAATTAAAAATAATGGACGATGAAGAGTTGACAGGAGATTGATGGGGAAGAGAAAGGGACAAGAAGAATGAATAACCACTCTGGTGCCTTGTGTAGAAGTATCCCTGCAAAATACATTGCCCAAAAATGAATCTCCCCTCACAAACTTCAACGCTACCTCCTGTCATTCCGTCTAATATATATCTTTAAGTTTCTATGCTTTTACCTACCCAATCTCCCTCGGCGCTGGTGACCTCTCCTCCCCGCTGACGTCAGCTCCCGAGTGGAGTGGAATGCGCATGCGTGGCAAATGCCGCACGTGCATTCAAACAGGCCATAGGAAAGCATTTCTCAATGCTTTCCGATGGACGGTCTGCTCGATGGATGCGAAATTCGCATGCAGCTTCGCAGATGCGCCTCTAGCGGCTGTCAGGAAGACAGCAACTAGAGGTTGGATTAACCCTTAATGTAAATATATCAGTTTCTCTGTCCCTTTAATTTCCTCTTCACAAAATCGGATGTGATGTGTCATTTTACATGAATGTATATTTGATGCATGCATTACATTATATCATGTGCAGAGCCAGGTGCGGCTGTGAAGTGCCATCCGCATGATGTAGAACATGAAATCATAAGGCTCGTAAATAGAAATGAAATGATGTAATGTAGAAAATAACATATTGCAGCACTGGCTAGTACATCTGTCTGGAAAATATCACACTTTTTACAGAATTTACTCTTTTTCATCCATATTACTGCATACTTGTCACACCTTCTGCATTAACAGGGGTGAAGACCCTAATTTTATGCTGACCCAAGAGGTACTTATATATACCATATATTATACTTTTTTTTCTAAAACAAAATAAAGGAAGATGTGTACTGTGGTACGTATCATTGAGCAAATGATAAAAAAAAAAATACAGAGATGCGGTCACCCTAAGACTAAAAATTGCCAGCCCTCCCCTCCAGAGACCCTCATTTTATTTGTTTTATGCACTTTGTCATGTGTGCTGTACAGTGAGCAAAGGATAGATCGTAAAATAACTCGGCAATATTCTGATAATTCTGGAGTTTTCTTTCTTGACATTCTTTGATTAGTTTTTAAATCTTTCCAAGATATCTGTCTTATTCTTCAGTTCCTTTCAAGAGGCAGATGTGCAGAAATCTCCAAATCTGCCTCTGAATGGCTCCATATTGGTCAATTTGGATGTAATTTATTGCTTTATAAAGATCTAAAGTTCTGAGCAAATGGGTGAAATGCGTGGGATTTCCCTAAGTTTTGCATTTTGGATGCCAAGTTTGATTTTACTTTTGTTATGGTTTGGTTATACAATTTGACTACTGATAAACTTACAAAGAATCAGACTACTGTTTGTCAAATACTAGAAGTTGGAGAATGGAGCACCAGAAGTGTTATAACTGCAACCACTAAAATACCAAGGCTAAAAAAAATTATAACAACTCTTGCTTTTTTATTATATGCACCACATATATGTTTAGCATATTTTCCCCATTTTTTTTTTTGTTTATTCTCATTGCTTTATCCTAGCTTTAAGTGCACCCCATAACCCATGTTATATAATTGGACAGCAAAAATAAAACTATTTTCTCCATAGAAGACATGCACACACCACACGATACATATAATTATATATAATGTTTTTTTTTAATTAAAAAAGTATAGTAATGGGTTATAGACAAATAAAAGTCTGAGATGACACTTATGGAACAGGTTCTACAGTTCAGGTATTAACCAACTAAACTAGCTTAATAGATGCTTAGCTGAACACTCCTTCTCATGTCACTGTGTGTCCAACCACCTGTCCCTTTTCATTGATACATGGCCTTGCTACACTGAGGACAGATAGTTTTGGTAGAATGCTTTGTGAAGTCTTTTGAAGTTTTAATTAGAATCAGCTTATTAGAATACATGGGATGTATAGGAATTATTATCTGATTTGTGCCTCCTTTCGCTTAAATAATTCAACCTGTCCATTCCCAATCTTCTATCCACACCACCCTCTTATGGTCTGGATCTCTCCTTTCAACACTCTCTCTACTTTTCTTTCTTGCTTTAAACTCTTTTCCATGTTCCTCTCTCTTTCGTTCAGGTTCTCAAAGGATTTCCAGAGTGCCTCCAAGCAGACATCTGCCTACACCTCAACCGCACACTCCTCCAAAATTGCAAAGCCTTCCGTGGTGCTACAAAGGGGTGCCTAAGGGCACTAGCCATGAAATTTAAGACTACACATGCACCTCCAGGGGATACGTTGGTTCACTATGGAGATGTGCTGACCACCCTCTACTTCATCTCTCGTGGCTCTATAGAAATTCTCAGGGAAGACATAGTGGTAGCAATTCTCGGTAATAAAGATAATACATGAATAATTTATCATGCTTGAGTGCCCGTATGCATGTTTTGTTAACATTCTATTATATGTTATATGCCACGTTATATGTTCTTTACTGTCATGAAATTTTCAAAATGAAGACCCTGCCATTTATTCCACCAAAGTTATGTACCCGAAGAAATAAAACTCAGGATATGTTGGTGTATTTTTAACAAATCATACAATCAGTGCTTTTCACTAACGTTTGAGTTGTCAGGAGTAACCCTGTAGGACTCATCACACTAGTTATACGACACTGTATAGAATCAATATTGGAAGTATAAAATTTAATTAAACGAGAGCAGTCCAGAGACATTGTGCACCACTGCCTTTCTATCAGGTATAAACACTGTGTGCCAAGCATGATTTATAAGCAACACTAATGCAATGGTAAGATCTGGGGTATCATATAGTAGCCTTTCAACTGGACATTTTGTTGCTTTTCAGTAATGATAGCATCCTCTTGAGCCGAAAAGTAACGTCATAAGCAAATTTTTAGTCCCTTACCTCTAATTCCAAATTTTCCAGGGCAATTAGGTATACATATTAAAATTGCCACTTCCAGAAAAGTTTCCAGATCTCAAACCCATACCATAATTTCATTTTTGTTGTTGTTCTTTTATATTGTTACTTTGACTTTCTGATTACTTTTTTTTACAGGTAAAAATGACATATTTGGGGAGCCAATAAGTCTATATGCACGGCCTGGGAAATCGAATGCAGATGTGAGGGCACTGACTTACTGTGACCTTCACAAGATTCAGAGGGAAGATCTTCTTGAGGTTCTGGACATGTACCCAACGTTCTCAGACTGCTTCTGGAGCAACTTGGAGATTACCTTCAACCTTAGAGATGTAAGGAGGTTACATTTAAAAGTCTGGGAAATTAGTAGAGGAATTACCTGGAATGAGATGGAAAATTGCTATAAATATGGCTGCACTAATTGTTGAGCAAAAAAAGAAAGATCTTAGATATGTAGATACATCAGCCTGAGGTACATCCAGTCCAGACAGCTTTACTGTTAATAGAGGAGGCTAAAGCTATGTGCTTTATAATTATTGTGACGGAGCTTAGAACTCAGTCTAAGTATCTCCGTTAATATCCCTCCTTTTCCAGCAGGACAACTTCAATAATTATAGCATCTCACCCAAACATCAGCCTAGACTTAATGAAGGGTGAAAACACTTTATGTGGTTCAAATGTGCATATTTATCCACAGACTGAAACTAAGGAGATACCACCCAGGCACCTCTGTGTTTGAGAGATAACTAGGTCAAGAAACACTGATCAAATCAGCCTCCAGACAACAAGGTGCCTTAACAGAAAATCCCCAAACACACATCTAAACATCACAAAACCCCACATTTGGTATGCCCAAAATATTACTGCGATCTGTCACAGGGGGTCTGAGCTAACTCAGATTAAAGTTTCACCAGGCTGTTTCAAAGTTCGTATCTACTCGGCAGTTTCACAGAGTTTCAAGTTGGTCCTGGTCGGGCGCATGGAACCCTCAGTCTGTTGAAGTCTGGTCTGGGCAGGCCAGCTTGGCACAGGATGACTTAGACATAAGAGGGGACCATGAAACTTACAAAAGGAGACCCCCTTAAATCCATCATGGCCCCCCTCCCAAATTCAAACCTACCCACATATATGATAAGGGCCGCCGTGACACACACATTGAAACACTAAATCTGGAACCACGTGTTTCCAGCCCTAGGCAATTGCTGTAACAATGATCTTACATCTAAAATGAACTAAAATTAGTTGCTTTAGGAATTGTATTGAACAGAGAAGATATTGACTGTTCTGAGAATGATACGGGTTGCATTTTGTTGCTGTGGAACAGACAATTCTACCACAATATGATATGTAATAAGGCCATTGATAAAGTTTAAAAACTGTCTCTTGACACTGTATGTGCCATGCAAAAACAAAATGCATTTTTTTCTCCATATCAGGCAGATAGTATCCCCAGATCGCCCACCAGTGAGGATTATAACTGCAGTTACCGTAGGACGAGGAGATGCAAACAAACAGGCAGACGACGAAAGAAGCATGGTGAGTCCAAGTACAGTATCTTAGAAATTGAACATATTCTTTTTCTGGGGTGCTAACACTCCCCCTTCCACAGCAATGTGCACTAATAAGTAATTAGGTATGAATTCTTCTATTTAAAAGTTTATTAGCAATACATAGTAGCATCCACAAATTGACTGTTGTGTGTACTTTGGGGATTATTGGACTCAGGCGTCTTGACAATCCTCTGGCCACATATAGTCATTTTAAATGTGGACTGTGTTTCTACCATCTAATCGCACTGCACTTGACAGGGCACAGTTATAATTGCTGTCTTTGCACGCATGTGGTGAAATAAGAAGAGAGACTGTTATTGGTAATTGAAGCTCTAAGGACTCCATTTACTTAATTTATTTGCAGACCATTATGTTGGTTGATGTAAAAACCTCTTGTTCATTTTTTTCAAGGGGATCCTCTTTGTGGTGAACCGCTGTCACTAAGTACCATGCCTACTGCTTATTTGTGTGATTTCCCCTTGTATTCTGTGTCTCCCCATGTATTTGTATGCCTTTCGTGTATTTTGCCCTTTTGACCGTTCGGGCGCGCTCATGCAAATGGAGTCCGTTTGCTTCCCGAACGCGGACCACCCCGGTACCCCATTAGAATGTTTACACCAATCAATCAGAACGTTCGCATAAGTGCGACATAAGTATGAAACCACAAGGGAAGTAATTAATGAGTGCTCCCCTGGGTGGCTGCCATTTTGTATAGGCGAACGCCACCCAGGGGGAGCATTTGTATCCCGACAGGATACGCTTCCCTTGCAGGGTCTTCACACTTGGACTCCACGAATGAGTCCCTGATATTGCTGGGGACACTGTTAGGGTACTGGTGGTTCAGATCACCCTACCTGCTCCTAACAGAGCTATAATCACTGTTTCCCCTCCCGGGAACGCTCTCCCCGGAGCTGCCTAAGTGGAGACCCTGGGGCTGTGAGTCGGCTTCGCTGTGTCAGGGTATTTATATCGGCAGACATCTTGTGCTATGATAGAAATTAAAAGTGTATATTCTGAGTCACTCTGAACAGAGCAGACTCCATTTTGTTATTTCCAAGTTAACAAAAAGACACAAGATTTCTATCTGTAAAACTAACCACTTTGCCAGAGCTAAAGGAATGCATAGTATAAACAAGTGATAAGAAGAACGAGGGTTGGATAGACTGTCTAAAATGCTAATGGAATAGTTCAATTCTAAACCCAGACATTTGTGACAGAGAAGATTAAATAATTTAATTTTACTGTCTATATATGTAAGGTACCATTGTAAGTTATGGGTCAAAACTCAGATTTGCCAGACACATAGTCTGGACAAAACTTAAAGAAACCCTTTGAAATTTTAAATTATGGCACTATAAAGATAACGCAAAATGACGTCAAAATAGCCACCAGGAAAAGTTAACTCTTTCCTGGATAGGTATGTTTAGTGGGACAAGACTGCCCTCTATAGACCAAATACCTAAATTGCGATCTGGAAGATAACCACACCTCTAGTGCTTCTATTGGGTTATCAACTGATGACGTACAGAGAGTCTGGCCCTTTAAAAGTTAGGACAAAGGGAAGATAGGAAGGCAAAGGAGGAAAAAAGAGGAGAGAGGAATTGGAAGTTTGGGGACTCCAACCTCCATGCAGAGAAACCCAGGACAACATCTGAGACTAACACTCTACTCTTAAAACTCTAACACTTAGAATTTCACTGACTTTCTAACCAACACCACCTTTCACCATAACTCATGCACCTAGAGACATCCAAATAAGTTCCTGAGACTATCTACCAATCGGATGAAATATCTACTCAACTGGTAATTATACTGGTTTCATTTAATTAATTAAATTAATTAAAATTTACTAATAGCATTATATATGACTGGATAAAGCACGGTCAGATTTCCATATTAAGAAATCTTAGTTAACTAAAGAATATATAGTTATAAACATTCCATTCTGCAGGTGGAATTAAGAATAATTATATATTGATGTGATATTATCACGTGTTAGCATACCGCTGTTTTTATCCAGGTGTATTGATTTGCTCTAATATAAGATAGATATCTTTTAGACAAATTAAAATTAAAATCTGCTTATATAATATGGTAGATTCTCTTATTGGATGGTTCCAGGAAATGACTAATGAACTGGTTTAAATGTTATTTTATTTAAAATTACATAAGAATAGATCTTAATTACTTAGGAGATCTAGCCAGCATTGAAAGGGTTATTCTAACTGTTAGCCAGGGTTTTATGGCCCTTCGCTGTGAAAAGCTTCGCTTTCAGTCTGTGTGAAAGATAGTCATAAATCGTCAAAACTCTTGACAGAAAATGCTGTTTAGCCATTGAAATGTGTATAGCCATTCCTTTGTATTGCATACCATTTTATACTGGATATTCATTGATTATTATCACGCATGTTACATATTATTATTATTATTAATTAATTTGTCATTATAAAATAAAATCTATTTTTATAAATTGTGATATTATTTATATGAAATACTTCTCACTTAACACGATAAACGTTCTTTGGGATCTGGGAATTGAATTAGTGGGCAATTCTCACTGTTACTATTATTATCTCATAAATATCCCCACAGCTGCCACTGAGCCCCGCTGGCCACCTGGAAGTACACGCCGAACAATCAGGAGAAAGAGCTCCCATTCAAACTGTGATCGCGCCATTTGATGGGTCAGCATGAGTGAGTGCTGATTGGTCGCTGTAGGGTGCAGACGACCAATCAGAGAAGGAGCGCCATTCAAACAGCGTTTTGCAACCTTTCTCCTGATTGGGTGGTGAAACCCCTCTCCTCCTCGAGCGCCGACTTGTGCACAGGGGTTTTGCGCCCTTTCTCCAGATTGGGCGGCCAAACCCCTCTCCTCCCTGAGTGCTGGTTCACACCTTTTTCCCGGATTGGCTGTTGCTTGGGTTAGGCGCGAAGTTTGAATTCGCCGGACTAAACCAAGCAACACTGTAGAACTCATTTCAGGGATGTACAGAGCCTCAAGCTCAGACTTTAGACAATAGTTTCTAGGGCTCTGTATATTCGATAGCTCCGCTGTTTGCAGGATTCCTAGTTGGGACCAGGTCCTATCCAGTGTCATGTTTTACATGTGTGATCCCTTCCATTTTCTGGCCGCGGAGCCCCTAAGTTTGCCCCCCTGTATGTAATATGTTTTAATGTATGAAACTGTTGTCCTGTTGGTATCTTCCAGAGCGGGAGACGGTTATCTGTATCCCATCTCCCCTCCTGCCTGGGACTAAGGGACGTGTACTGAACTGAATGGAAACCCCCTGCGGGGATCTGTGCATAAAAGCTGTGTGTTTCAATGAAGCATTGTCAGTGTTTATTTTAGCCATTTTATTTGTTTAATTAGTTGTTTTTATTTTAGTGAGGATTTTTGATGCTAGCTAGAAAATGTAAACCTGCATTGAAAAGATTTTGGACCTAAAAAATAAATGAATAAACTTGGCCGTGCAGAGGTGAGGTCATATTTTACATTTAGGGTTATGCAAGAAACTCCAGATTTTAGCGGATTGAAATCCAAAAGGCAAAATAGCTGATCTGTAAAAACTCTCCAACTCAACTTTTTTTTAAAAGTTTTTTTTATATATTATTATTCATTATTATATATTATTATTTATATTATTGGCTGTTTTCCAATTTGAATTTAAATTCACTACAATTTTGAGTTGGGAAAAGAAACCTTACTGGATGTTGACCAGAACTCTTTATCATTTTAATCAGAAATTAACCATTTTGGGACTTTCCATAATTCCAAGAGTGGCATTTATTTTTTGCTCAACAATGGCATGCATACCTCCCCCAGCTGATGACAGTCAAACAGAAGCGACGAACAGTTAGAATTTCAAATAACATTCCGTGGTGTAAGTTGGAACTCTGCATTAGTGCACACTGTCTCTACTTTTCCCTTTAGATGGTCTGGAGGATATAAATTCTGATGCCGAGCAGTATCATACATACTCAGAACTCACCAACCTGCAGCGGCCTCTGAGCCGTGAGCAGTGGGACGAGATGGCCAGCAGCACCACTCCCTGCTCCCAGACAAGCGATGATGAGACCAAACCACTCAACTCAGGACGCCTGGACAGACTGCCACCTGCGGACAAGCAGGAATTCATCCCCGCTGTGGTAAATTTGGTCACAGCCAATATTAGCACCCGGGATGGAGGAAGGAACGTGCTGGAGACTGTGGAGACTTATTCTGGTGAGTGAGTTATGGGTTTAGATGTGATTGGTTACTTCTGGCATTGGTGACTTCTTCTCTCTTTTTATTTTTCATTATTTAAAATAAAAGTCATAGGGTTATTCATCAAATACTGAATTGTAGTACACTAATAATTGGACTGCAAACTATAGGCCAAAAATGACTAATTTTGGAAATATTCTAAAAACATTTTTTTCTTCTTTATTGTGGCCTTGGATACTGTCATAAGCCCTCGAAGAAAAATAAAGATAATATTGTATGTGTGGCGGCCTACTCACAGGTAGCCCAAATATCACCATCAAGGACTCCCTTCCCCTCAGTGATTATAATCCAGAGTATATAGCTCAGTGATTATAGCTATTATAGCGGGTTCATCCAAGCACTAGCCGAGACTTAGTGTAGGGTGAAGTAGAACTGATTTTATTGAGTGAATGGCACACTTTTACACCTGGGTCCATAAAAGGAGGTCCCCAGGAGAACAATGAACATTGCGATATATCTGGCACCTAGGTGCCTATACCTGACCAGGTAATTTAATTAGCTGCTAGACACTTCTGCGCCATTTTGACCAAAAAGCACTTGGATTGGAGGCATCTCCCATGCTACGTTTTTAATGTGAACTGCACCACAGTTATAACCTTTTTTTGCTGGTGGCAATCCCCCAAAGCATCAATTTATACTCACCCATGATTGATTAATATTATTTACAGATGTATGTGTTGAGAGAAGAGAACTTGAACTCTCCTCTTCTGTCGTTTTTTTTTTTATTTCTACTCAAATCAGCCTCTCCCATTGAGGTTCCAAACTTGTTCAGTTTCTGGGGAGAACATCATGCAGCGGCTTGCCCTGAACCTCCGCAGCACATCTCCCTCGTGCACAACCCGATGGATCCACCACTCACTCCGGATGACAGACCAGTAGAGGTGGAATCACGTCTGGAGCTTCTCCAGGTTCAGCTAGACAGGTGTGAAAAAACAGGTTTCAATGAAGTCCACATACATTGTGGGTTAAAATTTAAAGAAACATTCCATTAACCATAACCACTACAGTGGCTAAGGTGTAGTGGTTATACTGCCAGGAGTGCTCTCATGTTTAAATTAATGTAATGTAGTAGTAGGCGTAACAAAATATGGAATTATGGTATAACTGAATCCACATATTTGTTTGCTAAGATAAGTGATTTTCAGTAGTCTTGTAACATTTAAAACTATTTTTCTTGTGTGTATGTTGTTCCCTATCTATGCTCTGGCACCTACCCAGTAGTTAGTAGGTAGTCAAATCATTTAGGAAGGGTTTGACAACTCATCTGGTTTCCACTGGGTGCCTGTTGCCAGGTGCTACGGTTAATGACCTAAGCCTGGCTGTGCAAGGCCTTGCTCTTTGGCTGAGACGCTCATCTGACGCTTTTAGTCAATAAGCGTAGACCTGTATGACTTTGTTTATCTCACAGAAGGCACTGATGGAGCTCTGTGATATTAATATAACTCTGGTTCCTCTGGCAGACTGGAGACGAGAATGTCCACCGACATCAACATAATCCTGCAACTGCTTCAAAGGCAGGTCTCCCAAATCCCACCTGCGTACAGCCCTATCTCCCCCAGCTCACACACTTTGGGACTCTATCACACGGCATCCAAGAGCCTGGAGCCTCTACAGAGCAGTCCATCCCTACCTACAGACTCACCGATATCTCCGCTCCAGGTGAGTAGAACTCTTACTGATTCTTCCAGTTTTCAAAATGGGGTCTGGATTCCACTACAAGAGGTGGAATTAACTGTAATACTCTGAGAGCATGTGAATCACTTCAAAGTATTGCTGTATAAATACTTATTATTATTATGTGTGCAGAAAGGATCTCTCTCGGTAGGGTGATCAAACCCCTGTGCTCCACTGAGGGTATGGAGGGAGTCAAAAAAATTGAGATTGACTCTGTTTACTGTCCTCAATAATCAGATCACTCCTTTCTTGGTAAAATTAAGACCCCAGAAGTACTGAAAAGACTCTAGAGAAGGTATTTAGCAAAAAAAAAAAAGTACATATTATGTTGAATGAGTGAATATGAATCATAGAATTTAAGTAAAAAATATTTTGCCAAGCTAAGAGCACGTACATGACTTTAAGGTAATGATTAAGATTCAAACACTGTACTAGAGTTTCAACTTTTTGGGTTTGTGCTCCTTGCAAAATATAATTAAATGTACAGTATTTATTTTATTCTATTTTGTTTCTCTTTACCTATCATAGAGCCCTGGTCTGACTGACTATTATGACTTGGAGCCTCTGAACCTTAAATCTAGTGTTCTGCACCTCAACTCAGGATCCCAAGACCTAGTGAACCGCATCCCAGTAAACAGACTTCCTCAAGTCCATGTTCGTCCACCTTCTGAAACCCAAGCAATCCTCGGAGGCTTTCGTTTTCCATCCCTTCCTGAGCACTTGGAATCCCCTTCTCCTCCGGACCTAGAATTTCAAAGACACCTTTCAGACCCAGGGCTACCAGGAAGTTAGAGCCCCATGAAAAACACATCTTGAGGAGCATTCTCTTTCCCGATTTTGAGGTGGGGGGATGGGTGTCTTAGCATGAGATCCCCCCTCCTATTGTCTATGCATAGAATAGTTTTCTTGTTGGGGACCAGTTCTCTTCCGAAAGAAACGAGGTGATGCAACATAACATCCTATCTTCCAAAATGGACGGTTCTATGTTTGCATTATTCATGCGAAAACGTCTTGGAAAGACATATGCGCTTCATTACAATACTTTGTGTCCTTGCAGGACTTTCCCCTACAGGACAAGACTCATCTCAGTTTTTTTCTAAGGATTGTATGTTGGAAGCAGCTGTTGGAAGCAGCTGAAACCTTTAAGAGCCTAAGATGATAATCTAGATTAGTACTTCTACTGGTGGAAACAGTGCATGAAATCAGAACAATGGGGATGATTAATACAATTCTAGAGAGCTTGACAGACAACCATTACAGGATGCAGCCTACCAAAGCTTCCATCCGGACACAATAAGATACTGTGTGCATCAACATAACCTGTGCTACTGAAGTTGGTTAATAGAGTAATAGGGAGAAATTATGGAATCGAGCTGATAAAGTCATTAATAAATAAACTCAATATGAGTCTCTGAGACTTATGTAAAGCTATACTCTAAAAATACATAACACTTAGAAGCACAACCGAAGAATAAAAAAATATATATTTATGGAGTAAGTGAAATATTAGTAATGTTACTAAAAATTATACTAATAAAATGAAAATTATGTAGATAATACAAATAAATTGAGACCTGATTATACATTTTTATCCAGAATGCCACCTGGGCTTTCTTTGGCACACTATGCAAATGACTAACTGTGCTAGGGAGGAGCTAGTTATATTACAGGACAGGTTTCTGCAAGTGACCAATCGGATAAGGTTAGCTCAATATAACTGAGAACCGTCATGGATGTACGCACTCCAGTTCCGCCACAGAAAAACAGTAATATTATTATCAAATTGTCTATCAGAGAGCCCAGAAGCAATAGGCCTTGTAAGTTTAAAACATTACCAACCACTGTGGGCACCTTAATAAAGCAACAGTTATTATGAGAAAATGCTGGACAATCAGAGGAATTCAATACTAAAGTACTAGTATGTTTACGTATTATGTAAGAGGGGAAAAAAATTATGTGATAAAGATGTAATTAAATTTAGTGTTCTTGCAATCAAATAATATTTAAAGCAAGTTTATTGTCAATATGAATTTTTTTTTCCTAAAATTTATCCACAGCGAATAGACTGTCATGTTAAATGCATTTTGATATTTTAAATATTGTACCTGGACCCATAGATGCTTTAAAAGGGCACTGTCACTTTGCCGTTTTTTGTTTTTTTAGTCAATATTTTTTATTTTTGCTCTATTTCCTCTTGTCTTAATATTTAAAAAAAAAAGGGACTCAATTTTCTTGCAGAAAGCCATATTTGGCAGTCTTTGGTAATGGGTGGAGCTTAAGTAAAGATCTGTTACAGTTGCCAATGCAATTTACCCACAATCCTTCAGCAAAATCAATTCCACACAAGGGTAAACTGCAGACGTGAACGTAGATGAACAACATAGCGGCCCTCGGATATTAAGATTTGACTCAAGGAAAAATATAATAAATATAAATAAAGGCAAGAGACAAGGGGAAGAATAATAATTAAGATACAACGGATGTAAGGGAAGGAAAACTTAAAAATGACAGTGCCACTTTAATGGATATAATATATGATTCTAAATATATATATATTTGTGATAAATGATTTTTTTATAGAGATGAGGATAATTCTGCTTTCCTTTTATCATCATCAAATTCTGGAGAAATGGGAAATGATTTTAATGAACTCCAAGATGATTTATAAGAATGCACCCCTTGTGCCACTAAGCACATATTACAAAAATAGCCCACTCAAGCACACAAAAGAGATACTATGAAGTTTGCCAGTTATAAACATGTCCGTGTAATATTTACTGAATCTGGTCAGGGATATAATCAAAGCTGGGTGTAGTTAATTCCATGATTCTAATTACGACAAAACAAGTAAAAACACACAAATAAAGCATCGAATGTGTGTGATGTGCAATTGTAATAAGATTTAATAGGATTTCTATCAATGCTGCTCAATGGATCAGTACTGCAAGCAGTATGTCAGTAAGACAGAGTCTGCTAGGTTATGGTCATATCCGTGCATGCACAGATCTTGATTCCTGAATTGGTATATTGGTACGGCAAAAAAAAGTATGTAATCAGAGGGGGCCTCATAGTCATGCTATGAATAGGGAGCCTTAAACAGTGGCACACCACTGACTTAAAGGGAAACCGTCATACCCCAGGATTTTTCATTTTATGATTACTTATATTTAACAAATGTGTTTGTGAGATCTGAATAATAAATGTAAATGTATAAATCCACACTGCTGTATTTAGCTGTATCCTGGTACCGTGTGCATACATCAGGGTTCCCCGTCCGTCATTTTTATAAGCTTTGCACTTGCTAGTCAGCATAGAGAGAGTAGGATAGCTAGAAACATTGTTTCTTTCTTTGCTTGCATTGCGATATGTGCCTTGGCTGTGCCAGGACTGAGCTGGATTGTGATGTCATTTGCTAAATCATTACTGAGCATTTAATAAAACGGAGCATCACAAAAATTAAAATGGTTCATACAATTTATAAGTGGTTTTACATATTTTACTTAGTAAAGTAAGTTCAGAAAAAAAATGATGATTCCACTTTAAGATTTGCAATGTCCAAACATTTGATATTGAAGGATATGTTTATGAGCAGGTAATAAGACAGCAGAAGATGATTTAAAGCCTCCAAATACCTGGCTGGATGTTACATGTTTGTGCACTCTTGCTCTCTTCTACTCCCCTCCTCCGAAACTTCAACACAGTATATTACAATGAAATAAAAACTACAAAGAACAATGTCAGGTCACAGCCATGATCAATAATATAAACTCTTGACGAAGTAAAGAATGGGTTGAATTTCTATTTCCCCCTGTAATCTCCCAGCAGCATATCCCTTCTTCAAGGCACGTATCATACCTTTAGCCTGCTCCTAACACCATCATTATAAAGACTTGACTAGCTTCTTAATCAATATTAATAGATATAAATAGTTCTCTGCCAACAAGTTTTCACACTTTGCAACATGTCTCCACTGCCTCTGAGAACAACAGTCTACATAAAACAGGCCCTTAACGCTGCCACTGGAATTCATAAAATGACCAGGCTTAAAGGCACACTGTAGTAACTATAATCATTTTATCTCTTTGCATTGGTTATAGTGCCTGGAGTCTTCTGGCACTGTCTCTCCATTCAGCTTTAAAGCATTTTAGAGCAGTTTAACACTAAATAAGGGTCCCTGGCCAAATACAGTCCGGCCCCTTCTTGAGGTGTGACTAAGGCAGAGATCACACACTTCCTTGTAGTCATACCCTTCATACCATAGGTTGGTGCTCTGATGGGCTAAAAGCAGTCAGCTGACACTCTCAGCCAATCACAAGAGCCCATTGCTGCACAGGCTAATACTTCATCATTAGCCAAGTAGCACAGAAGCTGCTATGGACTCTAATTTAGCATTAAAATATAAAAACATTAAAAACTGTTCAATGATGAATGAAATGACAGAACCGGGACTCCAGACACAACATAACCACTTAAATGAAATGAAGCAGACACCATGGCTATAATGTCCCCTTAAAATACTGCTCTTAAAGTACTAGCCTGTCACGATCTGGTACACAAACACTGTGCAATTTTGCTTGTAGGGATGTCTGCAAATTGCTCTCCATCTGTGAATGGACTTATTTCCCCTATATAGAATTCTGGGACTTGTAGTACTGTAAGGTTATGGTTAGGCATCCCTGGAGTATAATATGGGGATCAATATCCCCTATTCACTGATATAAACATCAAAAGGAATATTTTGTTAATTTGTCTGATGTCTTGTCATTGTTTTCTCATTCTCATTGTTTTCATCCTCTCCTCATGGAGTTCAGGACAAAAAAATATTGACAAAACCTAGACCATTGAGGTGGTTTTAGAACCGGGAAGAATTGGCCTTCTCGTTCAAACTTTCACGATTTATCTTTGTACACTGACTGTATAAATTAAGGAAAATAGAGACGTGTGTCTGCTCTAGCTCTCGGCTGGGAGATTGGTATATGATGAGAGATGAGAAAGGACTAATCATGGGAAAAGAAGTGACTCTGGGATTCTAGCAACAACAAATCACATCCCAGACATTAGAAAAAACAACAACCTGTGAATGTTTTTATTATGGAGTTTTAGAGAATATTAACAACTTTAATAAACATGCATTTTTTTTTTGCCACCAGTGTTCTTTCTTTCTTTTAAAAACTGTTAATGAAGCGCATAAAAAGCGTATCATTAAATTTGCTTGCACTGCTTTGCGTGTATAGATCATGCAATTTCGCCGCTCACTTTTCTGCCATTTAAAAGTTAAATCACGTTTGTTTTAGTTTATGGCTACCTTTTATTATGTATGGCTACCTGTGGTGTTGTTTGTGTTAGGGGTAGAGATGCTGCAGTGTGTGTGGGTGGTGGGATATGGACTATAGTGTGTGATGGAGATGGGGACTGCAGTTTGTGGGAATAGTCTGTAGTGTGTGCCTGTGGGGATAATGGTTGTATTGTATGGTATCTGTGTGTGGGGGTAATTAAGGAGTGGTACTGTCTGGTAGTATGTACTCTGTGTGTGGGAGATAGGATCTGTACTGTGTGGGTGGATAGGGGCTGCACTGTGTAGGGGGGTTGGGGCTGTAGTGTGTGTGTGTGTAGGGAGATAAGAGCTGTAGTGTGTGCCTGTGGGGATAATGGTTGTATTGTATGGTATCTGTGTGTGGGTAATTAAGGAGTGGTACTGTCTGGTAGTATGTACTCTGTGTGTGGGAGATAGGATCTGTACTGTGTGGGTGGATAGGGGCTGCACTGTGTAGGGGGGTTGGGGCTGTAGTGTGTGTGTGTGTAGGGAGACAAGAGCTGTAGTGTGTGCCTGTGGGGATAATGGTTGTATTGTATGGTATCTGTGTTTGGGGGTAATTAAGGGACGGTACTGAATGGTAGTATGTACTCTGTGTGTGGGGGATAGGATCTGTACTGTGTGGGTGGATAGGGGCTGCACTGTGTAGGGGGGTTGGGGCTGTAGTGTGTGTGTGTGTAGGGAGATAAGAGCTGTAGTGTGTGTTTAGGGGATAGGAGCTGTAGTATGTGTAGGGGGATAGGAGTTGTTGTGTGTGTTTAGGGGGATAGGAGCTGTTCTGAGTGTATGGTGGGATTGGACTGTACTGTTGGATGGAGGATAGGGGCTTACTGAGTGTGTTGGGAGATAAGGGCTATATTATTGGGGAGGATGGATGGTCTACTCTGCAGTGAATAGGGGCTAAATGTATTTTTTTTTAAATGCAAAGGTATTAAAAAAAAGGTAACAGCAGTGCATCTCCAGTGATGCACACTGCTTAGAGACTCTTGGGAAAATGTCACAGCATTGCTGTGGCAACGCTCTTATATATTTCCAATATTAATTCATGTGGACTTCACCAACTGAAGGTGCAGACCACAAGCTCTCTCTGTACCCCCATCATTACTGAAGGCTGGAACGTGAATCAGATCGTTGATCTCCCCATCGACCACAGAGCTTCCTCTCAGGTGAGCCTTAGCCCACCAGCATTTTCCCAGTTTGCCCAATGGCTAGTTTACGCCTGTATACACCAAACCACTTCATGGCGCTTTGTCTGCCCCTTCAATATAAAAACAAATGAATTGCTACATTGTACTAACAAAAAGTAATATTTTAAATATACAGATCAAGAGAAGTTTTAAAAATATTTTTTTTAAACACAAATCCGGTTCCAGATCCTGGCTGAAAACTACTCACATTGGAGTAGTATTCATAAATGTTCCTCACTTGACTTCCTTTTTAATTTTTCCCAAAAGTGTTTTCCCTTTAAGGCAGATTGTATAAAGATCAAACCATCATGTGGTAGAAACTAGAAGTGGAAAAAGTAGTAGTAGTTTTTCACCCAAATTTTTTTTTATCTGAGTATATATATATATATATATATATATATATATATTTGCTGTCCTCTAATTTAGCATAACAGATGCAATTAGTAGCAGATTATAACAATACTTGACAGGTTCAGGTAAGTGCTAACATTTCCAATCATCCTTTACATCCTTTATCATAATTTATCATAATTATAAATATTGTAGTTCTTTAGAAGATATTAATGAGATACTTAGCAGGTGAACCAACCCCCCCCTGCCCCCCCAAATACGTCAAAGCACCAATTAACTAAGCTCTAAATCCCCACCCCAAAATGCCAAAGCGGCAATTTACTAAGCTCTAAATTAGACACACAATTTAAAAAATAAGGTGTAATTCACATATTTACCTAAAGAACAAAAACAAAAAACTGTTGCCTTAAGGTATTCTAGATTTTAACCCCCTCCATTATTTTATTATTTCGCCCTAATCGTACTGTCCAATGGGTGGCCAACATGAGAGGACACCAAATTGCGTAGGGCATAAGACATTAATTGGTTGATGAAATGCGTAGGGTGGAGGACACATTAATCCCCTGAAGAATTCATGACAAATTGACAGAAAGTGTTGAGTGGGCGACACTTGAACCAGGGATCTTTGTGAATGTGAATAAATCGATAAATAAAAGCTTAGTCTATATGGTATCATAGCACTCAGCTCTTCCTCATAAAACCCATTTAGGTTTATTTACTAAGCCATGACATCAATTACAAATAATATTGGTAAATAAATAAAAAAAATTAAAAAAAATTCTCCTAAAAATATTTTTTTTCCCAATTCTGCCTCCCCCCCCTTAATTCCCTTTTTTTATTGAATAGTAAAATAGTAAATGACTCATTTGTTATGTGTAGGAAACATACAGCTGCATGCCACGTTCACTTCCAACTTTTGCCTCTAGATGGCAGTCGTGATCACAGTGCGCAATGTGTGTTGCGTTCCAAGACTCACTTTCATTTTCCTCCAGTCTCGTCTTATTCACGTAGCAACCAGATTTCACATCAGTCAACGCCAGCGCCAAAGAGAGGCACGCCCTCCACACTGACAGCCAATCAACGTCGCCTCTGATGTATACCCCCCCGCCTCTTTGTCAGCTACATCCAATCAGATCGCGAGAGTTGCAATGCTCCTAGCCAATCAGCGACAATAAGCAACGTCCATACACGGGCAGATTGTTTACGTCTCTTCTGATTGGCTACCGCCTGCACCCAATAGGCTTCACAGGACGCGTCTGCGCATGCGCAGTGGGTGTAGTGCGCTTCTCTGTGGTTGTGTCCCGGTAACGGTGCCCAGTGCTGCTTTCGCGATGTCCCTGCACGGGAAACGGAAGGAGATCTACAAGTACGAGGCGCCATGGACCGTGTACGCCATGAACTGGAGCGTGAGGCCGGACAAGAGGTTCCGCCTGGCTCTGGGGAGCTTTGTGGAGGAATATAACAATAAGGTGAGCCTGGTGGCTGGGGAGACCCCCTCAATCCAGCTCTGGGGGGTCCCTGGGGGGCTGAGACTGGGCCTTATTCACTAAACAGCGATGGGAAACCCTCATTGCAAAATCCAGGCCAGAGTAGCCGAGCTGTGAGTGGAGCTGAGTGGGAGAATCTTTCCAGATCAGCTGTTTTTGCCTGGATTTGAGCCATTGTTTTTTTTTTTTTTAATATGTCACTACAATCCTGCTTTCAGACTGGTGAATAATAATAATAATGATGTAAAAATGTTGGGGGGATTCATAGGGAATTTCAGATTTTAATCCAATATAGCAAAACTGAAGGTTTGAAGATTAAAAAATAAAATAAAAAATTCACTTAAACTTCACGACAAATTACAATTTAGTCGACAGACGGATATAGGTAATACGGTAACGCTTTTAATGCAAATCACTGGGGGAAAACATTTCGTTACTAAAATGGGTCTCTTTTGCCTCGTTTACACTGAGCGGTAAGGTTCAGTACGGTATGCTATTTTGAGTGTTTCCATTATGAAAGTGGCTCATACAACCGGACCGTACCGCACCATTCATGGTCCTCCTTCAGATGTAGGGCCATAGGAAATGGAACGGTACGGTTAGGGCGCAGCTACTAGCGTCACTATTTACAGGCGGACAGGACATGACACGCTATGCATTCTTTCTAAACCCCGCATGTCCCCTGGCGGTCCGACTTGCAATGGAAATGCTCACCTGAATAGGCTGGACCATTATAAACCTTGCAAATCGTACCGACCCGAACCGCTCAGTGGAAACAAGGCATTTGTCAGGTTCCACAGGACTATTTATTAAAGTGAGAATTTAAAATTAATTTTACATTTAAGGGCAGAGTAACCAGACTGAAGTGGAGTAGCTGACGTAGAGAATTTTACCAGTCCAGCAAATTTGGAATTCACTTTGAATTCTCACTGTAGTGAATAATTTGGATAGTATCAGCTTACTCCTCTTCCTAAGGAGTGATTTTTTTATTTATTTTTTAACTATGATTTGAAAATAAATTAAGATCTTAGAAACTCAAAAACTGGAACCCAGTTAAATAATCTTCGCATCTTCTGAAGTGTCTGAATGGAAGTCATTCAAATTGCGTATTGAGATGTACTTATGTTTGTAGGTTTATCTAGCAGGAAGGGTGTATGTGTTTATATTGTATAGCCCACTGTACAGGGAAAAAAAGGGGGATAGAAACATGCTATCTTGGTTTCTGTGGGGGGGGGGAGAGCTCCATCAAATTGCAAATTGGAATTTGAGATCTAAATGTGTATACAATTCTTTGAGCAGGGTCTCACCACTTTGTTTCTCTATATTTTGTCGTCTTGTAATTAATTGTCTGTCAACTTGTTATACAGTGCTGCAAAATATGTTGGAATGTTGTAAATTTGCATTAAAAACATGTCTCGAAAAATACTTGGACTGTATCCTTTTAATTTATTTTTTATTTTTTTTGCATAGTATATTCTATGGTTGGATGCTCCATGGTAACATGTTAGACAATCAATAATTTTTTTTTAAATAATTCAAACTTGTGGGGGTAGCATTGAGCATTTGGTGTGCCTGTGATCTTGCACACAACAACTGTAATTTCATGGGTATAAATGTGAGCAGTGGAAGATTTCACTGCTTTCCAATGTAAAGCATTTTGTAGGTCTTATTTGCCAAATTTATTTTTGAAATTTTAATTATGCTTGCATGCATATTAAACAAAGTTAAGTTTCCTTTAATTTACGCTATAAATGAACACTTCAAGCACAGCTTACTGTAGTGGTTATAGTGCCAGGAGTGTCCTGGTGCTTCCCTATTGTACATTGTCAAACTGTTTTATTTTTTTAACATCTTAAGTGTTATTCGCTAAATTGAGAACTCAAAGAGAATTTAAAGGCTTACTGTGAGAGGGGGACCTTTCAAGCATAATATGCCTTACTGGGCACTATGGGGAAAGTCCCCTCTGGGGCCGTGCATGGTCCAATCACAAGTCTTCTCATAGAGATGGACAATTTCGCAAACTCAGAGCGCATGTGCACGCTCCGCATCAGTGAGGAGAAGTGTTGTTTTTTTTTTTTTTAAAGCAATTTTTAAAAACCAATGTGCATGGAGGGAGCAGCAAGCTTCTGACTGCAAGGGAAGATTTCTATGTCTGTTGGCAGCGTTCAGTGCACGATGACAATAGACATAATTTATGCACAGGATTGACGTTCTGGACTGCCAATCTCTCGTATATTGGGAGTGCAACTAGCCCAAAGCACACCATTACAAATATCTCCGTATTTGCAGTTTTTCATGCAGGAATGCTGCACATACTGACTTTGATTTAAATTGATTTTAAGTCACTAATCATTAAGACATGATTTTAAACATGAAGACTTATTCTTGCTTGTTGTTACAATTCTAATATTTTTCTAAATATGTAATTTTCATCTAGTTGAAAATAACTTCAGATTAGTCATCATAACTGATTTTGTTATATATGCCATTAGAAATACATGGATGGTGATGAAACCATTGCAAGGTGCACAATCCCGTGTACTGAGATATTTTTATATTGCTGTCAGAGTTTCATATTGCACCGTGACCAATTTAAATCACTGGAGTGGTTTTGATGGCTGATGTAACCCTTTAAGTTAAGCTGCTCGTAGTGCGTACGTAGATTTGCAGAATAGCATAGGACTATAATGTATCTTAAAAAAAATATATATTTGTATTTATTTATTTATTTATTTATTTTTTAAAGATGGATTTTACATCCCAAAACATGTATTTAAAATAAATAAATTGATAAAAAGCCTTTCATTTTCTCTCCTGTTTCTTGTTCTCATAAGGGGTTCCTGAAACCTAGCACTGTTGTCAAGAGAATAATTTATACTTAATTTCTTGTAACACGTATGTCTACATGTGCATGTTCCCAGGTGCAGCTAGTGGGTCTGGATGAAGAGAGTTCTGAATTTATCTGCAGGAACACGTTTGACCACCCGTATCCAACTACAAAGCTCATGTGGATTCCTGATACCAAAGGAGTATACCCCGACCTTCTGGCCACTAGTGGAGACTACCTACGTGTTTGGAGGGTGAGCACATTTCTGCTTGACTTTTAACAGCTATATCCAAGGTAATGTGGGGTATTAAACGACTTACTCTTTTCCCAAGTATGTACGATTTCACGATGGCTGCAGGGAAAGGATGAGCAGGGTTCAACTTTTCTGCTAGCCTTTATCAAGTCAAAATGGAGTTTTCTATTTCCAGCTATTTTTGCCTTGTTTCTTCCCCACCCCGATTTAGTTTAGTAAATAACCCTGTTAGTGTGCTCCTACATGATAAGACTTGTCAGATGCTGCATGAGACATTTAAGGGCAGAGAGCTAGCTGTGCCGCTACCATGTCCATTACCGGAGGTTTAAAGGACCAGTATAGGCTCTTAGACCACTTAATTTCAATGTATTGGCCCTTCAGTTTAAACTCAGCAATGCATAACATTGCCATTAGTAGGAAAGTTGTGGCGGCCTACCCATATATCACCGCCATGGATTCCCTTTCCCTCCGTAAATAAAGCTCTCTGCGTATTTTCAGTGTTTATAGCTGTGTAGCAGATTCACCCCAAGCACTAGCCGAGACTTGGTATAGGGTGAAGTAAAGCTGGTTTACAATAGAGATTTCAACACCTAGGCACCTAACCTGGCACCTAGGTACCTGAGCATGTCATGTAATATCGGCCATACACTTTGATGCCAGTACACATTTTAACATAAAACATAGGGTTCCTGTGCACACACTCCGAACAATATGGGGTATAAATATTGCTGGTATAAATGGTGTCCCCGGAAGCTCTCTTCTGAGCGTCCACGCTGTCCAAAATGCACTCAGATTGGAGGTGGCTAGCCCGAATTTTGGATGGAAGTCAAGTTTTCAGCAGGCCGCTACTATCCTCTGGTCCAGCGCAGAGTTCCATTACCTTGGGTGGAAAGTCCCAGTCACCCAAAACAACGGCGCTTTCCTTAAATACTTGGTGGTCTTCCAAGTCCACCTTGTCGTTGGATGCCTCTCCATCTCCACTATCTCCTCTCCAAAATGTACTGCTAGTTGGTCTGTGGAATGGGAGCACTCATGATAATGTTTTAGCAGACTGCGGCTGGTCCGCAATCTGATCAAGAGTTCCAGGGTGTTTGGTGGCTGTGGTCAGGCGCACAGTGCCTCTATAACCTTCCTGCGAGTCGCTGATTCTTCTGAAGGCCGCTAGGTTGGGTGCTGGAGTGGGAGGTACGACTTGGACCTGAAAAACATGATGATTACAGCTGTTTTTATAGGGAAGTGGAGGTTAGGAGCCAAGTACAGTCCCTGGGTGACCACATACGGCAATGCTTACATTGCGGGGTTAAAAATGCCTCTATTGGCAGGTTACCTGAAAGAAATCCGATTTTAATGAAAAAAAGAAATGTAAATCACTTTTTAAAAATGTGTTTATTTTTTTTATCGCCAATTATCCACCCTGGGTAATTTTGTTTTTCAGGTCGGAGAAACAGAAACTCGTCTTGAATGCCTGCTGAACAACAACAAGAATTCAGACTTTTGTGCTCCCCTCACATCTTTTGATTGGAATGAAGTGGATCCAAACTTGTTGGGTAAGGCTGACCTGACTCTTAAAGTCTTCCTTTTGCCCCAGTATCTTAATGACTATACTTCCTCCTTTGCTACTTATCTTTTATTTATATTTACTATCTTTTCTTCCGTGAGTCTGATCTCAATGATGCCTGACTGATCACTGTCTATGATGCCTGCTGTTTTCTATTCTCCTCTTTTACTGATGGACTGTGGTCAAAGAGGATTTTGGTCACGTTTTTTTTTTTTTTTTTTTTTAAAGCATAAAAGTGTCCTGGTATAGGTATATTTAGCCTAGCGTTTAAAGTAGATGTTTTTGTTATGAGTGCCACAGTTTGAGAGTCAGTTTGCTAATATAATATTACTAAAAGTGGACAAACTGTCCAAAGAACATAATGTAAAATGCCCCACCAAGGGTGGATTTGATGCAGTTTTAAAACTCTTATAGGACAAATGTTTTCATTCTAGATCCAGAAGAATTTTGTATTCCCCACCCCTATCTGTTGGTTAGGCCATATTTTCTTATTTAGTCCAAATGTGTGTGCCCACATTTAAAATGTTTAAATAGTATGAAAACTATTTTTAATTTGTGAAAAAAAATACAAAAAATGCTTGTTTTAACTCTTTGTCTACAATTTGTTTACAAATAGTGCAGATACACATTTATTATTTTTCTTCATACTTGTGACTGTTCTCCTATACTCAGTCGGAGTATCTCTGCCATGTATACCTTCTCTCCTAGGACAGAGTAGCCAAAGTGATCGATTACAGCTTGTCCCTTTCCCCAGATATAGAGCTGTTAGAGTGATTATTGCTCTTCCCAAACATCAGCTGAGGCTTAATGAAGGGTAAAAAAAGTCTAAATATATTACAAAACATACAGGTGTGTATATACACACACTTTCCCAACAGGGGTCATTATGAAAAACAATGAATTGCACAACCTGGGCTCCTTGGTGTCTGGGACATGGCTGACTTAGCACAAGTTAATTTAATTACATACTAGACACCAGGTGGCCTAACTATATAAACCTTAAAACTAGATTATTTATGCTCTTGTTCTGGAGGAGTTTGGATCAGCGTTTACCTGTAATCTGTCACCTGTCCTTGAGTATTTGTTTGAAACACCTATTCGGCAATGACACTTAAGGGTGTTAAAACAATGTTGCTGTAGTCTTCTGGTTGGTGGAAGGCAGGAAAGTTAGCAGATTTATTTTGTGGTTCTCAGGCACATCAAGTATTGACACCACTTGCACCATCTGGGGTTTGGAGACTGGGCAGGTTCTTGGCAGAGTCAACCTAGTGTCGGGGCACGTGAAAACACAGCTTATTGCCCACGACAAGGAGGTAAGCAACTGTTTATAGATGTATCCTTGCATATCACACGTCTAAATGTAGCAAGGACCTTTTAAAGTGTTCTAAGTGCCTCCTGTTTGTATCAGGTCTATGATATCGCGTTCAGTCGTGCAGGAGGGGGGCGAGACATGTTTGCTTCTGTAGGAGCAGATGGGTCTGTCCGAATGTTTGACTTGCGACATCTGGAGCACAGCACCATTATTTATGAAGATCCTCAACACCATCCCCTTCTCAGATTGTGCTGGAATAAGCAGGATCCAAACTACCTTGCAACCATGGCTATGGATGGGATGGAGGTGAGAGTTTTTATTAGTACACTCTTGGTTTCTAAAACAATAGTTTTTCCAGTTGCCTAGTACTTATTGTTATTGTCCGTTTTATATAGTCTGTCACATCTTATGGTTGTGGATTTGGAAGGAGCTATTAGACATGATCCCTCTGTCTGTAAATAATGATTGTTCTAGGACATGGGCGCTAGCTATCAGGTTTTTACCCAAATTACCTCTATATGAAATGCTTTATCCTTGCAGAAATCCTAGATGTAATCCGTTTACAATTTGTTTACCAACAATCCATTATACAGTGTTCGTCCCTTTCGTCTCACAGGTGGTTATTCTGGATGTTCGTGTTCCCTGCACACCAGTGGCCAGATTAAACAACCACCGTGCATGTGTAAATGGAATTGCCTGGGCACCCCATTCTTCATGCCACATCTGTACTGCAGGTAAGGCTGTCTTCCGTTTTGTGCTACTGTGTTTCAGCAATGCATGCAGAGCTTATAAATTGCAATAACAATCAAAGTTTAATCTTTGTAGAGCCACATATGTAGGGTTTCCAACTTTCTACCTGTAGTAAAAATTCTGTCAGAAATCTTACTATGTTTCAGATTGTAGGTCAATCACCCACTGGCGGTTTTTTAGCGGCAGTGATCATTTTCAGTATTTGCTAAGTGAGTAAAGCACCATAGGCACCGTGGCCCTCTGTAGTTGCTATGATTCTAGCAGGCTGTTGACTCTCTCCTTTGGTTTTATGTCAAATCATGTTTGAGCAACTTGACACAAACATAGGGTTTCAAAGTTTCCTGTGGACCTGTTCTTTGATTGCCATTTTGTTAATAAAGACGTTGTACGGTATGTGGCATTATAACGTGGCTGTTCCAAGGCTCAGAATTTGCAGTAGCCATTGGGCAGTAAAAATTTTGCTGTGTTGGGTAGGAATTCACCCCAGGTGTGCAAGTTATGGTTTGTAGTGGCAAGTAACTTTGAAGGCCTGGCTAGTAGCACAGGCCTAGAATTTTTTTGTTATTTATTTTAGAGAAAATCATATCTTCATTTATAGACCGTTATTGTCAAGTATTGCATAAATTCAGTTTCTTGCTTTTAAGATCTGAATCTAACATAAAGCAGTACAATGAGGAATTGAATTTAAAATGGATGCTATTTTAAATGATGTATTTTTACATTTTTTTATTTTATATTTTTGCAGTGCATAAGATAGGTACATATAAGCTTGAGGTACCCCAACTGCAATCCTCTGCATCATAACAAGCTTTACAATTGGGGTAGTACCAGGAACATGCACAATTTTATATTCTAGTAAACCTGCATAAAGATAAGAAACATGCTGATCTTATGTAGAGGGGAATCAATCAAGATTTTGTTAGCAAGAGTTAATTAAACATGGTCTTAAGTGTGAAGACTATGCCAGGCATTTGTAATGTTGATTTGAAAATGTAACATGCTAGCAGGCTTTAATCGAGCTGGCTAATAGTGGGTTTAGCCCCTGGAATGCCTCACTTTATCGTAGAGTGTGTTTAGATTGAGGCAGGCAACTAAAAGGTTAACTAAATCTCAAAATTAAAACGCAAAACGGCATCGTCAGACTGGGTTCAGATGGGCAGTAAATAGTATTGTGTCCTGGGGAGACACAGATGATGTGCTCGGGACCGTAGGGCCATTGCCTCAGCTCGGAATAGCGAGAAAGTATCTGGAGGCTGCTTGGGTCGCCCGGGTGCATACTAGAGGCAATTCTGGGTAGGGGTTTACACTTGTCATCCAGCCTGCCCAGGGTTTTGCTGAGGGCCTGCATCTTTGTACCCCGGACCTAGGGTCTCTCCTCTGAGACCAAGTCCTTCCTCTCTAGGAGGTGACAAAAGCCCTGGGTAGTCGGTCGTCTTTTGTGGGGTCTGCACTTCTGCCTCTTTAGGGGATTTCTTGGGAGGGAATCCCTTCTGGCTCTCTGCCCAGGTGGTGCTAGGTGTGTGGGGCTTGGTGGGAGGTTGTTTTTCCCGACGGGGCCTCATGCACCCCATCTCCTGCTCTCCTCCGTTTACTCCTCTGTCCCTCTGCTGCCGCTTCCAGAACCGGACAAATATCTAATCGAGGTGCTGTAGCATACGATCTAGCGTGGTGCACCCGTCTTGCTCGGCCGACTTCTGCCCGGTTGTCACTTGATGGGGGCGAGTCCGCCATTTTGAGTAGGAGTGCTGAGTCTCCGTTTTGTGCAATATTAGTTGCCTGCAATCAGCAAGGTAAGTGGTGCTGCTTTGTGTGGACCATGATGACCCCCGTCGGTCTGGGGGGAAAGGTGATTTTACATGGGTCCCAGCTTTTGCTTAAGAGTCTGGAGAGCGACTGTCTCTCGGTTACGCAGTCTCGTGTAGGCCGCAAGCCTCGGTGCGTCAGTCCGACTTCGCAGGAGCTTGAAAAAGGCTCTGATGCAGCAACCTCTCCCAGGTGAGAATATTGGAGCTTGCGATCTGTGAGCTGTTTTTTGTCCCCAGACGTGGGAGCTTGTGCTGAACACGTCTGGGCTGCACGAGGAGGAGAGTGACCCGGAATGGAGGGATGTAGTCTGGAAAGAACTCTGGTACAATGCCATAGCTGGGCTCCAGGTTCGGCAGAGAAAGAGTCTCCCGAGCTGGGAGCAGAGGGTGCAGAGGCAAGTAACTCTGTGGATGCCTCTCCTAGGAGAGCAACCTCTTTGGTTTGGAAGTCCTGGAGAATCTCATGCATGATCTATCTGAAGCTAACGGTGTGAGACAGAACCTGACTTTTCTTGTTAACCTGGAGTGGGAGCCCGAACAGGACTATATGACTGTTTCACTGTATACCGCCCCCTGCCTCGGAAATGATGTTGCTTATGGACTTTGCATAGTGTTGGGTGTCATGGTTTAGGCGTTTGAATCTAATGGCGTAGACCAAATGATTCTCTGGAACTGTTTTTGGGTATGTACAGAGCCTCAAGCCCAGACTTTATATGAGGATTTCTCTGGCTCTGTACATCTGATCACTCCGTTATTTGCAGGGGTCATAGCTGGGACCAGAAGCTATTCAGGCATGTGGGGGTGCGTTACTGTATGTCGTGTATTTTCAGGGTTTTTGTGTGTTCGGTTCCTGTGTCCGGGAGATACTATTATCTCCCAGACACGAACACCGGGTGGGCTTATGTTTTGTATTGCTGTAATTAGAGACACCCTGCGGGGTCTGTGCATAAATACCTTGTATCTTGCCTGCAATAAAGCGTTCTTGTTCACCGTTCACTAAGTTTTGACTAGTGTTTGGGTGATACTATTATTGCCCTTTTGCAAGCAACTATAATCACTGACTAGTAGCTATAATTACTCTAGGACTGGGCACAACTGGAAAGGGCTGACCACAGGCAGTAGTAATCCATCCTCGAGAGGGTATACCGCCACAAATACACATTAATTATTTGTTGTTCGATTTTCCTTTTGCTACATGATAACTATATCTACCAGTTTGCTACCACCTGTTCACTACTCTATCTATGCCCATTACACTCTATACTTGCCAAGTGATCGTTTGTTATGATTGAGTCAGACATCTAAACAGTGACTTTATATTTCTACTTTTTGTATGTATAATTACTTTATTAGGATGTTTAAATAAAACAAATATTATTATTAACGGGTTACTCTTTTTTTTTTTTTTTTTAATAGGGATTTTATGCCTTTTTTTTTTTTTTCCTTAGTTTTTGCTTTTGTGTTAATTGTTAGCCTTTTGGGGTTTCCCCCCTACCTCTGTGAGTGAGTAACCTTACACTCTCAGCTTTAAAATGGGATGGCTATCTGGGTTAAGTCATTTCGTGCAGAAAAGTACCGAATGGACCGGCGTTCGTATGCTAGAAGGCAGAGAAGGGAGGTCGGCGATTTCAGCGGTGTTCGGGAGAAATAGTGTCCGTTTTCAGTTCCAGGAAATCATCGACGAACACCGTTGATCATTCGTGCGTCCAAAATGGCCGCCGCCTCGTGGTTGGCATAAGAATGACGACCACCCAGCATACCGTTGATAATTAGGAGGTGTCTGCGGTTAACCACAACGTTCTAATGAGGCCAAGAGGTTAACCAGCAGCACATGTCCATGCTGGGAAGCGGCTGTTCGGCAGTTCATTCGGTAGTTAGGAAAATAAACGAATGGGGTGTACAGACAGGCAATTAACCGAACAAACTGACGAACCAAGGGGAATAAAAGTATTTTAAAGACAGGTGGATCTGTCACAGCATGTAATTTAAATTTTTATACTTTTCGCTCCTTTGAGTAAGTGAAAGTTCAAAATCTTTTTGCCTCCTTTGTGATGGCAAACATCTTCGCATTATTGCAGATTTTTTTTCGCCTCTATCTAACCAGGCTTTCAATTTCTTTCCTGATGTTCTCACTGGTTTTGCTGTTTAAGGGACACTCCAGGCACCAATAAATGTTTTGCAGAATGCTGCACCATGAGACTGCCTCTTTAGCCATGGCCCCTCATGCCAGAAATACCTATTTATCTAAGGTACACACAGTCTCAGCACTGAGTGCAATCAGGTTGTGAATTAAAAACAGCTCAGACTGTAAACAAAACTGCAAACAGGCAGTGATATCCTCACAATATGCCTTCTTGGGTGTCTTCTTCTAATGCAAGTTGTTCTGTTCAGATCATTCAGTGCTCTCAGTAACTGAACTGAGTGCATAACGTTTTGATAAGGAAGTCTTTCTGGTGTGGGGCAGGCATTCTACAAAACATGTATTGATGCCCGGAGTGTCCCTTTGAATTGATACAAGGTTATCCAGTTGATTCTTAGATTTCTGAATGTTAAACCTACTTTGAGTTTAGCAGCAGCTGCTTACTTCAACAATGTTTGTTTCTCTCCTTGTACAGCGGACGATCATCAGGCTTTAATCTGGGACATTCAGCAGATGCCAAGGGCAATCGAGGATCCAATCCTGGCTTACACAGCTGAAGGCGAGATCAATAACGTGCAGTGGGCAAGCACTCAGCCAGACTGGATTGCCATTTGCTATAACAACTGCCTGGAAATCCTCAGAGTCTGATTTATTTATTCCAAAATGATTTGACCCCAATCCTCCTGTCACAACCCTTCCTGAATTTTTATACAGTCAGACTTTTTTTTTTTTTGGTTCTCCCCTCCTGACCTCCCTTGTTCCCTAACACTGGTCACTATTGGACTTAGGGATTTTGTCAACAACAAGTGCTAAAATAGTGCAACCAGCATTGAGAGCCCTGTTGTTTCTTCAGGGTGTCTTTGATATCATAAAAGTCATTCCCTTTGTGTATAACTAAATTAGCACCATGCAATAGAAAAACCCATACTCTTCAGTCTAAACTAGGAAGAAATGGGATTTTTATATGCTTTCCTTTTTCAATCTTTTTTTTTTTTTCTCAAATGTAGACATGCTAACGGTATCCTGTCTCTTATTGATGTTTTAATAGTAATAATTGGAGGATGGGAGGGAGTGTGGTAATTGCTTGCAGGCTGTAACGTTTGTGTTGTGATCATGCCTGTGTATACTTATATTTTGTGTGTATATGTAGCGCTCATGTGCTGTTTCCAAGGGTCATCAATGCCCACTTAAAAGACTTTCCCCTTTTGTCTCCAAACTTGGCTTCTGATAGCCGTTACATTAAAACTGGCACAGCTGTCATCTACTTTGTCCTTTTCTTATATGAGGGAATGACTAAGAGAGCTCAAAATATTTGATGTCTTAGCTTCTTGTGTTACTGGGCAGTTTCAAAGAGAAGCCATACGCCATTTGTGCTGCAGTGAAGATGACCTTTTCCAAATGAATGCTTATCTTTAGACTACCCACCCCTCCCCCTCCCCCCATGTTCCTTTTTGCCCCATGCCTTGGCCGTAGAAAATCAACTGTCATGCTAGTTGTGGGGAAAGTGAACAGTTGAACTGATTTCAAGCAGGTGTCATCATAAAATTTGTGAAATTTCTTTCTCACCAAGAAGTTAGGTTCATTAATGAGGATGTTGCAGCTTTCCAGTGGGTTTATGTCCGTTATCCACACGTATTTTGGTTTATGTTATCTTTATAAATACAACTGATACTAATTATAGCCTGTGTCTCTTTTAAAACAAATTAGATTAATTTTCTTCGGGAGCCTTCCATTGCTTAGATTGTAATGTTATATCAGCTTGGGCTGCATCTGGTCAACTCTTTCTGATAACGAGGTCAATTTTTAGCAACCTTCACTGAAACATTGAAACCAGTATTGTGACAGATCTCCTGTACTCCGACTGAGTACCTCTGCCAGGTCAACTTTCTCTCTACTACCAGGGACTCCTGAGTGTTTCAGACCCAGTTGCTGAAGTTGGACTGGGGTTTCTGCAGACCTCTTCCAGACAAGGCTGCAGTAAATATAGCTCGAGTCCCTCTCACTTGTAGAGCATTGATTTATAGCTTTTTCTTTAGACGAGTCAGAATGCAGGGTAGAACGAATCTTTATTGTACAGAACACAGCTAATTATACAAGACTGTGTAGACCAGGGGTGCCCAAAAGGTAGATATCCAGATGTTGTAGAACTACAACTCCCACAATGCTTTGCATGCCTTTAGAATGACAAAGCATCATGGAAGCTGTAGTTTTCAAACATCTGACGATCTACCTTTTTGGTACCCCTGGTGTAGACCATGGGCAGTCCATCTTTTAATACCTATCTCCCACTTATGTATCTTTTTTTGATGGTAAAATTTTCTTACTGCCCACCAGTGTTGCATTAACTCAAGTGTTAAACTTTTTTTTTTTTTTTTTAGAAAGGAGGGTTCTTTCAAAATATGTACCTAAATGTATCTTCTTATGTCTACATATATAATTTAAATTTAATGAATTTCTGCAACTCCATCGATGCAGTGCCTACTAGTGTGATAGCTGCTTAAATTGAAGAAAAAGTTAAATGTGAAAACTGGATTTTTGCCTTTAAAAAAAAATCTATATCTATATATATATCTATATATATATATATATATATATATATATATATATATATATATATATATATATATATATATATATATATATATATATATATATATATATATATATATATATATATATATATATATATTTTTTTTTTTTTTTTCTTCCCCCTCCCCCCCTCTTTTTTTTTCTAATTCTTTATTGCAATAATCACTAGCAGGAAGGCTGAACTAGGTATCCCACCACAACAAAAAACAATCAAACCTGAAGGAATATCTTCATCCGTGGTCTCTTTTTACATTCTGTTTATTCTCTCCTTCCTTTTACTTTTTCTTTTCCTCCTTTCTTTTATTTTATGTTAAGTAAACAGAACCTATCTTGCCAATGTTCAATATCAGCCACTCTGAATGATATGCTTATTCCTGTCCCTGCTTTAACATAGAGTGCATCAGCTCCACTCTTCTTCAGGCATGTTACATCATCACTCTCCTGTCTGTCCCGATCAGGAGTGCAGCCATGGACGCCCTTCCTTCTAGCCATCGAGAGATTTAGCAAACAGGCGTTCACGCAATGGGTGCAGGACGTTTTTGTGAGGTCTCTCTCAATGGTTGGAAGGAGGCCTGCTCGGAGTATGTGGTTGTGCCGGAGAAACGAGGGTTGTGGATAAAACCCACCACTGCCCACCATGAAAGCTTGAATTGCGCACTAGTGGGCAGTAGGGACCAGGTTGACTTCCACTGGTGTAGACTCCAGAGGGCCCTCCGTGCAATGAAATGGACAGTTCAAGTGTGCATGGGTCACTCTTGTGTGTCAGTGAGTGTATATGGGTCATTGCGTGTGTCAGTATGTTTGCACGATTTCACTGTGTGTAGCAGTGTGTTTGCTCTTTTTTTTTTTGTGTGTCAGGGAGTGTTGAAGCGATACACTACAACTTTATCTTTTAACAAAAATAATTTCTTAAAAGTGCATTAAGATTTTCAACCTTGAAAATAAAGTGCATTACACAGTATAATTTTATTTATTTGGGTACAAGCAACGTGCCAATACACACAGAGCATTTGACGTGTAACCAAAACGCCCCCAAAATTTTTTTACCCCACACAAAGCATTAATCAAGTAGCAATATAAATTTCACCAATAAAGTGCCAATGCAGAATAAGGGATTCTTGTGGTTTGATTTGGTAATCCTTAACAATATATGCAGAACTCCAAGACAAATATATATTTGAAGGCTTGGCCTGTAGTTGTGGGAGGGGCTTGGTTCCCCTTTAAAAGGGCTGCCAATCCACTCCCACCTTACCGTTGCTGGTCTGGCGAGTCTGAAGCGTTTTACTTCCGGTTCAGATCGCCATCTTGGATTTTCCTTGCCTGTTTCCTCGTGGTCTCCTAGTCCGGTGCTTCCCTGGCTCTCCTTCCCGTTACTGGTGTCCGCACAGCCGGCTCGTTACTTTGCCGCCGCAAAAACTGTAAGTCAGGCCCGCCGTAAAGCAACCGCCGCAAATTCCGTTGCTTTACAGGGCGGAGCCCCGTTCGTTTCAAACCAGCGTTCGGTTCTTTTTCCGTTCATGCATTATGCCATTCGACTAATTCCCTCATCTATTCACATGTTTCACTTTTTCTAAGCTAACGAACGCTATCATTCTGTTATATACATTTAACCTCATTCTGTTCAGTTTTCGAATGCCACTTAGGAGGCATTTATTCGTATGTTTCAATACCCTACCTAGTTCTTTCAGTAATTACACAAACTCACGAATAAGCACAAATTCAGCCGGTACTCCATGGGGATTTTTGCCCCTACTGGTTACAAACGTTATTACAGTCACTTATATAAATTGTACTAAAGTAAATAGAAATGTTTAAACCTGGATGATGTGTCCTGATTTTCCTGACTTTTCCCACAGATTCATACCAGGGGTTCGTACTAGGAATTGTGATTTCTGACACTTGTATCAATTATATTTACTTCTAGGTTGGTTGGAATTTAATTATAATTTTAAATTTTGAAGGCCAATGATACATATTAAAATTAGTTAAGTTTGTAATTTACTCTTTTAGGTTATTATACGTTGGACAGTAGCTTTTACAAGCACGGAAGCCATCATCTTTTTTTCGGTTAAATCTACCCTCTGCAGAGTGTCGGGTAGGTTCTTGTTTTACGGCCCACGATCTGGCCAAACCACTACATTACAGTCAGATGTTTATATATCAAATCTCATGTCCACAGGTAAACACCTCAATACTCTTACAGTCGCTGGTTACCTCTACGTTGACAGCTCAGCCTGACTCACATATCAGGTACTACGCCAGAACCCATTACTTTCCATGTTCTGAGTGGTACTGGTCCTAGGTTACGTAACCCAATTAGGTAAAAAAAAAAAATTCTGGTCTTAATCCGTAGGCTAGTGGTCCCGCGAGACAAACACCCCCATCCTCATACTCGGAGAAATACGTCCCTCGGGCCAAATCATAGCTAGCCATCTCGCATGGTTGCATAGAGAGGGTCTCACCTATCACTCCCATTCTATCTTATGCTTTAAACTTCCACCGAGAGGCCAACACCCGGCCACAACGTTCGGTGGCCTCATACTTTCCCCTCGGGTCCACGCATAGGTAGTGCCTCTTAAAGCCGCTTGGCAATTAGTAGGGACTCATCTGTCACTATCATGAAGTGTAATTGTTTCACCGCTTGGTATTTAGCTGGCCTTACCAGTACCCACCCATTCATTACAGAGTGACTGATTAAGCTACCTTATATTTTTCAGTTATGTCAAATACACCTGATATCCCTGAGGAACGCCCGCTAGGCCTGGTACCCCTGTTCCTGGAACAGACGTTACTAGTCCTTCATCACTCCGATCATGGACCATCCCACGTCTCACTGCAGAACTTAGAAGACACTGCATCCCTTTCCCAGCTACTGCTAGGAAGTCAGAGTTGTTTAGACTTTTAAACACTACCTCGGACAACTCTGATGCAGGGGAAGGCCCTAGTGGCACACGATTGCCGGCGTTTCACGCCATGATGATTTCACTTATGTCATCCATCAGCACAATTAGTGATAGGCTGGATAAATTGGAAGCAAGTGGCGCTAAACAGACTGCTACAAACCCTATTGTTGCCAGTCACCCTCTCGCTGACATTATACCTGGTAATACATCGGAATCCATATCAATAATTGAAGCTATTAATCCTTCGCACAGGCTCCAATCTCACCTTAAAAAGGACATTCTGGAAGGCAAGGATGTAAACCTGGTTTCATTGCTTATAGCCTCCCAGGATGTCCTAGAGCATAGGACATTTGCATATGGGGATATATCAGTCGTACTAAGGGCAAGAGAACCGAGGCTGAACAAAAAATTGACCATCCCTGAATTTGTACTAGGTTTTGGGATCTGTAGGGATGTTTACTGCTCCGTATACCCGGGGAAAAGAGTAGAGCTGGATGCATACATGCACAAGATGGTGGACCTGGGGCACAAATACGGTGGTACCGCTTCTTACGATTACCACCGTTCCTTTTCTGAAAAAGGTGACTGCAGCTCTGGCTCAGTTCAATTTAAGCATTAATTGGAGCAAATTGGACACTGAGTTATTCTGCAGGCATTTTGAAGGCCTCAGACCTCCAGCTTGTGCAGTTTGTGCCTCTACAGCACATCACACAAATTTCTGCCCAAACACAGCAGAAATCGAACAAAACCAAACTACCTCTAACTTTCCAAAATCTGCTAGGGGATTAAAAGACAAACTGGGTAGGGATATTATATTTCTAGGTAAATCCCAGGTCTGCAATAACTTTTAATGCGGGGAATTGTGGTTTCAGCTCTTGTAGGCTGATGCATGTATGTTCCCACTGTTTCAGGGCCCATGCTAAAACTATGTCCCCGAATAAAGCATTCCCCAAAACGTATCACACGTGTGTGAACATCATGTTATTGACCTCGCTATTACAACTACACCCATCACGTCATTCCACTGACTATATTATTACGGGAATGACTGGAGGGTTTCACACCGGGTTGGTCCATTTACCCTCTGGTACACTGGAATGCGACAACCTACAATCCACGTTAGACGATCCACAGTTGGTCAACACTCTTATCTCGACCGAGATGAAACAAGGGTTTCTGTTGGGGCCATTCTTTTCCCCACCCTTCACATCTTGGAGAATCAATACCATAGGGGTGGTCACAGGGAAGACCTCACTCAAACCCAGACTGATAATTGATTTATCTGCACCACATTCCTCTACTGTCCCCAGCCTTAACTCTCTAATACCTTCCGAAGAATTTTCACTTCACTACGTCACTATCGACCATGCCATAGGGGCCATTCTTCAAGCTGGCACAGGAGCATGGCTAAGTAAAACTGACGTGGTAAACTCTTTTAAATTACTACCCATGCATCCTTCCCTATGGCATCTGCATGGCATTAAATGGCAGAAGATGTATTATTTCTTCACCCGACTAACTTTTGCCTCCAAAAGCAGCCCACGTATTTTTGACACGTTTGCAGAAGCTTTATGTTGGTTGTTACTAAATGTGTGCAAGTGCCCTTCGGTTATCCACTATCGGGACGATTTCCTCACGATTGAGAACAACACACTCCCACACAGTAGTTTGAATCACATGTTGGCTTTGTTTGAATCCCTCAATATTCCTGTCTCCCCTCACAAAACTTTGTGTCCAGATACCAACATGCAATTTTTGGGGATCCAACTAGACACCATACACATGCAGGCTAGTCTACCTCAGGACAAGATTGAGCGTACCCTGGCAAGTATTGAACATTACCTGCTACAAGGTCATTGCTATCGCAAAGAACTTCAATCACTGCTTGGATCGCTCAATTTTGCCATGAGGACCATACCCCAAGGTATATCATTTATATCCCACCTGTTATCCTTGTTTCCACTAGTCACCTCAGACACTTATCACATTAGATGTACACGCAACCTCGCATTTACGCATGTGGGTTTTTTTTCTCACCTCTTGGAACGGGGGAACCATGTTTATACCACCCACCTCCGACACTTCACCTACACTGTGGACAGATGCCGCAGCTAACACAGGCTTTGCGGCCATCCAGGGTGATCAATGGCTTTGGGGACCTTGGCCGACCGAAGTCAAATCACGACCAAAATTCTCTGATACCTCGGCTTTATTTGAGTTGTACCCGATCATGGCGGCAGCCATTGCTTGGGGAACATATTGGTCTGGCCACACGGTCAGGTGCTACTCAGATAATATGGCTACATGCCATATTGTAAATAAAGGCCGATCAGCATCACTGGTCATTATGAGACTACTAAGGCGTCTCACATGGGTAGCGGCCACTTGTCAATTCTTTGTGTGCCCCGGAACGTGTATGCATGTCAAACACCTCTGCTGATCACTTGTCTCGGTTTCGTTTCCAGGCTTTCCTCTCGACACTACCCAACGCTTCCAGACGAGCGACACCTGCACCTCTATTCCAAGACATGATAATGGATTAAAGACTTTGTTAGATCACGCACGTCACATTTCTCATCTGGCACTCTCAGTAAACTCTAGGAACACTTATGAAAGGGCTTTTCACGTATTCATGAAATTTATCACCGAGTTTAACATCCACGACATGTTTGCGTTAGAAACGATTTTAAGTGTTACTTCTTTTTGCCACATCAACCTTAAACTATTCTTTTTAATACCATTAAACTATACCTAACCGGCATCCAGCACCATATGCTTATCCAACAATCTAACACTACGGGTTTCTTGACATCATATCAAATAAAAACATTACTTAAAGACATTAAAAAAATTAGATACACATGTTCCCTCACAAAGACTACCCATAGACAACAACATATTCCACTCTCTATCCAACTTATTAGATTCGTCTCCTTATGAACCCATGACCAATAACATAATATAAACAGCCCTATATCTCGCTTTTTACGGGTTCCTACGTCTCAGTGAATTTACAACCACGACCTTCACAGCACACGATTACCTAAGAACTAATGATTTACAAAAACATACCGACCATTACATTCTCTCCTTAAGACAATCAAAAACCAGCCCTGAAGGACACACTATTCAAATTCCTCTGTACCCTACTCACAATATATGGTGCCCAGTAAAAGGTTTGGATACTTATTCCCTTTAAGTCCAAAAACAACCCCAACAGCCTTTGTTTGAACTGCATGGACACACTCTGACCACAACTAAATTCATGCTATACATACGACTACTGTTGACCAGGCTCGGCTTAAACCCCAATCAATTTTCAGGTCACTCTTTCCTTATAGGGGCAGCATCTTCAGCATCCGCTAACCACATACCCGCTCATATTATTAAGGCTATGGGACGCTAGAAATCCACACTCTACATACCTAATCCCGATAAAGAATTAAGACAAGCTTTTTCTGACTTATCTCAATAAAAGAAGTTGGTTCACGAATCATGTTTCCTGGTAATTTTTCTTTTTGCCCACTTTTATTACAGGCCTACTGCTTTGTCGGTTCCGGCACACCACAACCGACTTGTGCTAACTTATGGATGTTATGATTTATATTATGCTAAGATTTCTCTGTTCGGCCATATTGCCCCGACTAAAAATTTGAAGGCTTGGCCTGTAGTTGTGGGAGGGGCTTGGTTCCCCTTTAAAATGGCTGACAATCCACTCCCACCTTACCGTTGCTGGTCTGGCGAGTCAACCCTTCCCCCACTCCCTCTATTTAGAACACCCTCTCAGGTGGGCCCACTTTTATTACAGGCCTACTGCTTTGTCGGTTTTGGCACACCACAACCGACTGGTGCTAACTTATGGATGTTATGATTATATTATGCTAACATTTCTCTGTTCGGCCATATTGCCCCGACTACAAATATATATATAAAAAATAAACAATAGTGCAGTCTGTATAGTACAAAAAATTAAATACTCTATGGTTGTCTTTTTTTTTTTTTCTTTTCGATGATAAAAGCAAATGATAGAAATAAATAGAGTAATGTATTTTAAAAAACATAAATTCATAAATAAAAAAACATAAATACATTCAAAATTTCCTTAAGAACCTCTCATGTGTGACAGTGAGGGTGTATGAGTCACTGTGTGTCAGTGAAGGTGTAGATGTAAGTGCCAGTGTGTATGGTTTACCATGTGTGTCATGGAGTTTGTAGGAAGTCACTATGTGCGTCAGTGAAGGTGTAGGTATAATTGTGTGTATGGTTCACTGTGTGTGATTTATTGAGTGTGTATGGGTCTCTGTCTGTGTGTTAGTGGCCTGAACAATGAACACCGCTCCCCTGGACTACCAGTGAGCAGGGTTATGACTTCCAGAGAATCAAGATAGCAGTCCCCTAGACCAGAGGTAAGTAATTATTGGAACGGGGAGTGCCCTAAAGTCCTGGGCGTGAATGCCACTTAACATCTTCGTCTTTTTCTCCAGTTAGAACTCTGGTAGACTTCTTGGTGTTCAACTACCACTTGTTGGTCGGGTACAAACTTGTTAAAGGGCTATGTCCACTAGAGCCAGTGGGAAGATCCACGGTGGGCTATTAGCAATGTATTAAATTTCAACAGTTCAGAGTCCATTGTGACGAGCTCCCTGTACCCTGACTGGGTACTTCTGCCAAGCTCACTTCCTAGCTGGAACCGGGAAACCTGAAGCGCTTCTGCCCCTGTCAATGCAGCTTGATTGGGGTCCTTCTGGAGCTTTTCGACCCGCCCAGGCTGCAGCTTTCTTTCCAGGCAGGTATCGTGCCCTTTTCCTATTCCTCCACAGCTCTGCTTACAGAGATTATAGCTATTGCCTTTACAAGACACTTGCGGCTCTCAAGCCTAGCTTTCTTGATTTATCCCAGGGCTAGAGAGATATTGCAACCAGTCAACATATCCAAAGATTCTGTCACTGGGATCCCTAAAAATCCACACAGGACACCATTCCAGAAGGAACTAACACACCATACGTTACTTGGGACTAGCCCATACATTCGTTACATAAAGCTTGCTGTGCCACACTTAATAAAATATAAATAACCAAAACATGTCAGAAAACATACAGGGAATTATAATAACATTTATAAAGGGGTGGGGATGAAGAACTTTCGGGGGATATATAACGTGGGGGTTCATTGTGATTTAATATATGTTTTAGTGGTATTTTTTGTTGTGACCTCTGTATCTGGGAGATAATTAGCTTAACCAAGGGCTAACTGATTCAACTCCCTGGTCGGGTTTAAGGTACAATGAAAAGAGACCCCATGCTGGGGGTCAGGGTATAAATGTTTACTTTTGTTAGAAAAAAAGCACAGTTTTGTTGTGCCCTTCATTAAGACTCAACTGATGTTTGTGTATGTGGGAGTTATAATCACTACTTCACTGCGGGACCTGGGAGAGACTGCAGCAGAGGTACCACTCTGGGTACAGATGTTCCGTTACAATGATCAAGCTCAGCTGTTTCACCCTCCTCTGAACTTTGTGGCGGTCTACTCGCAGGGGATCCGAGTTTTGCAGCCATGCACTCCCTTTCCCTTAGTCTTTATAACCCAGAGTGTGACGGAGCTCCTTGTACCCTGGCTGGGTACCCTTGCCAAGATTGCTTCTTAGCAGCGCAGGGGAAAACCTGGAACGCTTTTATCCCCGTCACCGCAGCTTGACTGGGGTTTTTCTGGAGCTTTTCCACCCTGGATCAGGATACAGTGATATGGTGGTATAGCAGTATCAGCCAAACACTAGCCGAAACTTAGTGAAGGGTGAAGTAGAACTGACTTTATTGAACACAACACAAGTGTATATATAGGAGTAATCACAATTCATCAAACAAAACAATTCAAGTCACTCCCTGAAGTCTTGGTGCCTAGGATACCCTATGTGAAGAGCCACCTGTAGAGTGATCACTGCTCAACCGTAAAATGTATTGTGTATTTGCCTATTGTGACGAACTGAGCCTCGTCACGTGTTCTTGGAGGGGCCTGTTTGCCAGCCTCCTGCCTCAGGACTATGGGCCACGCAAAAAGGCTCATAAAAGACCTTGTTCAAGTCTTATTACTATTCTGTTTGGTAGATTGCATTCCCCTCCTATTCTAACATTGTCCTGTTTGCTATGAACAACCGCACAAACCAGGGACCACCCGGGAGCTTGTTAACACCTATTAACACCTTGGAATGGTTCTCACTGCAGTGTTCTAATTGTTCGTCTGGGTGGCTGCAATTCCTATGTACAACCACGAGGTTCGCATGAACACAGGCAGCGGTATTGGGCATGAATCTCATGGAACTAAAATTGGACACAGAAACTCCCGAACACCGCTGGACTTCCATCATCGCCTGCGTTCGGTTCTATACAATTTAGAAGGGCACTGTTCAGTAAAATTGTTCGCCTGGATGACTGGAACAATTTCCAGGGTAAGAACATGTTCGGTAGTTTATTCGTTTTCCAAACTACCGAACTAGACCGACTGCAAGCCCTGATCCTCTGGAACTGTTTTGGGCATGGGACCACGCATGCGGTCGGTCAAAAATAAGACGTCCAGGAAATTCCTGAACCCCTGAACTGATCTGGGTAATTTTTGGATATGTTGGTCACCCAGATCAGGGCTATCAGGGGATGTAACTTTTGAGGGGGTTTTGAGTTTTTTAAGTTATTTTGAGGGTTTTGTAAAAATGTGTTTTTGTGTTTGGAGATAATTGAGTTTAGTCTAGTGCTTGACTTAACTCTCCTATGCCTGGGAGATAATTGACTTATTTTGCATGGGAGTGTCCTGGACCTGAGAGCCAATGTGATTGTGTATTTGTTTCTACTGTGGTTTACTCTCAGGTCCAGGGGGGAGTGCCCCTTGCATGGGGTCTGTCATAAAAGGCCAGTTGTGGCTACCATTAAACAGATTTGTTTTACCCTTCATGAAGTCTAGGCTCATGTTTTGGGGGATTGGAGAGCTATATTCACTCTGGGGATTGCTATAATCACTATACTCCTTTGTGTCCCTGCTCTTACAAGATAAATTGTTGTGATCCAGCCAGCCCAGTTTAAATTAGCTGCTTTGTCCCTCCTCCATCTCCCATCAGGATCATGGAAAGGATTGCCCTCAGGTGTTGAGTTGAAAACCCCTTGCATGGGGCTTTTGCACAAGTGGATTTCTCTGTACCTAAGAGGTGACTAGATTCTCTCTCAGGCACAGAGGATCATGGAAGGGATTGCCCTGGGGGGCTGTGTTGGAAACCCCTTCCATGGGGCTTTTGCATAAGTTGATTTCTCTGTGCCTGAGAGAGAATTCAGTCCCCTCTCAGGTACAGAGGAATATGGAAGGGATGAACCTGTAATGTTGTGTTGGAGCCCTTTTGCATGCAGCTTTTGCATAAAAGGCCATGTGTGGCCCTGAATAAAGAGTCAGTTATGTTATACTCCCAGAGCTGTGTTTTGTACAGTTACTGGGGGACATAGATGTCCGCTTGTTATAAGGGTTCCTGAGTGGCTGAAGGAAGGTATTAGCGGAGGTAACCAGTCGGGTTACAGGGGGTCCACTACAAGAAATATGTAAAATAAAATATACAACTTAGTACGATTGAAACCAGAACATGCAATACACGTGTACAATAGGTACTAAGCAGGGCTCGAGTCCTGTGTTTTTCCACAGCAGGAAGGCCGTTCCCATTTGTGGTCCTGCAGGACTTTTTTGCCTGCAAGGCATCTGCCTTGTTAGCCTCGGATCAGACGGGCAGCGGTGATCTGGGAGCTGTGAGCTCTCCCTGCTCAGCTCCCTCGCGCGCCGCAGAGTGATGCCGGGAGCTGGAATATGATGTCATATTCCAGCTCCCGACATCACTCTGCGGCACGCGAGGGAGCTGAGCAGGGAGAGCTCACAGATCAGCGCTCCCTCACCGTCCACCTGCCCGCAGCCCCACTGGACCCCAGGTAAAAAATCCACGCAGCTCTCCCAAATGCAAGGACCCCCTACGCACTCACAGTCCCCATTCCCACCTCACAGTCCTCCTACCAACCTCACAACCCCCCCTACCCACTCACAGCCATCCCCACCCTGTCTCCCCACACACAGTCACAGCCCCCCCACAAGCCGTCACCTCTCCACAAACACATCCTGTCACTCCCCCATCACACACACTGTCACCCACCAACACTATCCCAATTACTTTCAGCCTCCAAACAGTCACCCTTTCACCCAACTAAATATATGCATACTAGCGCATATATATATATATATATATATATATATATATATAAAAAATACAAATTAATGGTTGCACTCACGGTTTTTCCAATTAAAAGTCCAAAGTTTATTGTCAATTCATAAAAGCTGCGATCAACGTTTCAGTCCTACCCAGAGGACTTTCATCAGGATCATCCTGATGAAAGTCCTCTGGGTAGGACTGAAACGTTGATCGCAGCTTTTATGAATTGACAATAAACTTTGGACTTTTAATTGGAAAAACCGTGAGTGCAACCATTAATTTGTATTTTTTGTATTTTTTGGCTATATATGGTTGGCACCCGGTCATGAAGGGAAATTCAGCGTGAGTGCAGGAACTGATTTTTATTTTTTATATATATATATATATATATATATATATATATATATATAAGAGGGGGAGGTGGGATTTTGGGTGAGTTCCCACACTTCCCCCCCCCTCCCTATTAGAGAGCACAGCCCAAAATACACTATGAATTCTTACCAGTCTAATTACATTCACCTCTCTTGGCAATACGGGAATCAAATTACTCCATGTGGAGTATTGTGTTATTTTGACGCATTAGAGGATGTTAACATGGCCATATGGTGTGACTAAACCCCACTTTTGTGAAACCTTGGTTGGAAATAGATTAAAAGTGGCTTTTGTCGCCCTCTTTTGCATTAGCAGCAGAAACAGGGGCATAATTATTACTTAAAGGAACACTATAGTCACCTAAATTACTTTAGCTAAATAAAGCAGTTTTAGTGTATATATCATTCCCCTGCAATTTCACTGCTCAATTCACTGTCATTTAGGAGTTAAATCACTTTGTTTCTGTTTATGCAGCCCTAGCCACACCTCCCCTGGCTATGATTGAAAGAGCCTGCATGAAAAAAAAACTGGTTTCACTTTCAAACAGATGTAATTTACCTTAAATAATTGTATCTCAATCTCTAAATTGAACTTTAATCACATACAGGAGGCTCTTGCAGGGTCTAGCAAGCTATTAACATAGCAGGGATAAGAAAATCTTAATTAAACAGAACTTGCAATAAAGAAAGCCTAAATAGGGCTCTCTTTACAGGAAGTGTTTATGGAAGGATGTGCAAGTCACATGCAGGGAGGTGTGACTAGGATTCATAAACAAAGGGATTTCACTCCTAAATGGCAGAGGATTGAGCAGTGCCTGCAGGGGCATGTTCTATACACCCAAACTGCTTCATTAAGCTAAAGTTGTTCAGGTGACTATAGTGTCCCTTTAATAGCTAAAGTTGAAGCAGTAGCTGATCAGGGAAATATAGTCTCCTACACCTGCTTTCACAGGCGTTAGCTGAATGGAGCCGAATTCTATTTTCCCTCCATCTATTACTATGCAGCACTTGACTTTGCAGTTCACTAATGTAATTTAACTTGCCTATTATCGATATGTTGTGTTTAACGTAAAACGCCCAAGATTAGCAAAGAGTAAGAGCTCTAAGAATAACTGAAGGGAAGTCTGCTAGTATTTTCATGATTTTCAAAAGCATCACTTCTAACCCACACCATTTAGGGAATAATTCCTCCATACATAGTCAGGTGTTTAACCCCTTCAGCAGCAGCGGTGTATGAGTGTGAGCTCTTTGTGGAGATTGTGGGTGGCTCTTAAAAGAGCCTTTGTGTGAGTTTGGGAGGTGAGGGACAGTGGAGTTTACTTGCTCTTGGCCGCCTTGTGGCTCTCGGTTTTCTTGGGCAGTAAGACAGCCTGGATATTGGGCAGGACCCCACCCTGGGCTATGGTGACCCCTCCGAGCAGTTTGTTGAGCTCCTCGTCGTTGCGTACAGCGAGCTGCAGATGGCGAGGGATGATGCGGGTCTTTTTGTTATCTCTGGCGGCGTTCCCAGCCAGCTCCAGGATCTCAGCGGTCAGATACTCCAGCACTGCAGCCAGATAGACCGGAGCTCCGGCTCCAACCCGCTGGGCGTAGTTCCCCTTCCTGAGCAGCCTGTGGACACGGCCGACTGGGAACTGCAGACCCGCTCTGGATGATCGGGTCTTTGCTTTAGCCCGGACTTTGCCGCTCTGTTTGCCTCTTCCTGACATCTTCAAATCGTAATTTGTAAAAACTGTGAACTCCCGCCCCCTGCACGGCTATTTATACATCCGCAGATTGCCCGAGCTCTAATCTGATTGGCTGCGTTTTAAAGCCACCAATCAGAATCCGACTAAGAGAGTAACCAATCACTGTAGGATTACTGCGTTCCATGCTCAGTGCCCGCTCTGAACGAACCAATAGGAAATGCACACAGGTCAGGCTTTACTGCCAGGGCTTCTATATATAGAGCTGCCGTGTGGAGGAGCTCGTTATTCTGTTGGAAACTTTGTGAGATTATCATGCCTGAACCAGCCAAGTCCGCCCCAGCAGCCAAGAAGGGCTCTAAGAAAGCCGTGACCAAGACCCAGAAGAAGGATGGGAAGAAGCGTAGAAAGAGCAGGAAGGAAAGCTATGCTATCTACGTGTACAAGGTGCTGAAACAGGTCCACCCCGACACCGGTATCTCCTCCAAGGCCATGGGGATCATGAATTCCTTTGTCAATGATATCTTCGAGCGCATCGCAGGAGAATCCTCCCGTCTGGCTCATTATAACAAGCGCTCTACCATCACCTCCCGGGAGATCCAGACCGCTGTACGGCTCTTACTGCCTGGAGAGCTGGCCAAGCACGCCGTGTCTGAGGGCACCAAGGCAGTGACCAAGTATACCAGCGCCAAGTAAAACCCCCATCACCCAAACCCTAATAACACAAAGGCTCTCTTAAGAGCCACCCACACAATCCACGAGAGAGCTGTATAGATATACTGAGAGTTTTTTCTGTGCGGAATGTTACAAGTCATCGATTATAGCGGTCTTTTTATTCTACCACTCCAGAGGAGAAGATTCTGTCTATGGCGTTACATTGTTTCAGTTTTAAATTCAAGTTCTAATAAGTTGTAAAACACTCAGTGGTAGAACCTATGGTGTAACACTTATTCAGCTGGTTATAATGTATCCAAAAGGAACAATCCGAAACTAATTTGTATCAATCGTACAAATGAAAACAGTTTCAATTCACACTCCTCTGTATGTTTTTGTAGATTTTCTTCACAATTATGTTGCTATCTCGTGGATACAAATTGCAAAGGATTAAATATATATATATAGATCCTCGTTGAAACAAGTACCCGATAACTGAACACTCTATATCTCAACTCCTGTGGTAAATCGTGTTTTTTCTCTCAATTTTGTATTTATTACCCGATGTATATATAAACACATGCTTTTGTTGGGATTTCAAAAGCGGGAAAGTCTGTTACAAAATGGCGAAGTTTAAAAATTCTACACTTTCTCTCAGCCTTTTTACGCCACATATCGATTGAAAGAGCAGCATTTTGTGGTGTAACAATAGAAGCAGTTTGTCTTTCAGACTCGGGTGGCAGCGAGTGCTATATAATTTGTACGGACTGTGACGGTTACAGAACTGTAAAGCAAATTATCTAAACTCGAACACAGTATGGAAAATATATATATATATATATATATATATATATATATATATATATATATATATATATATATATATTAAAAAAAAGCTGGAATTGTTGGTTTTATCAGTTTTCCTCTCCGGCTCCAGTTTAGTGCCAACAGGATTTTAGTCTAACATGGAAGAGTTTAAGGCTCAAATGCATATTTCACATTTAATAAAGCATTTATTCATTGTGCATTCAAGCAGAGATGTAGGATATGAAATCTAATACTGGCTGTATCAATAGGAAGTGAAACACGAGCCATTGCAGTCTGTTATAACCGAAGTCTACTCTAATTTCTCGTTCCCCAATATTTTCGGGAGGATTGGAAGAGCCAACTTGGTGGAATTATAGCCTTATGTGGGAAGGAGTGGGCGGCTCTGAAAAGAGCCTTTGGTTTGTATGAAGGATGGAAGAGGAGAAGCGTTTAGCCTCCGAAACCGTAGAGAGTGCGGCCCTGGCGTTTGAGCGCGTACACCACGTCCATGGCGGTGACCGTCTTCCTCTTGGCGTGCTCGGTGTAGGTGACGGCATCGCGGATAACATTCTCCAGGAAGACTTTGAGCACTCCGCGAGTCTCCTCGTAAATGAGGCCGGAGATTCGCTTGACGCCTCCTCTGCGAGCCAAACGGCGGATAGCCGGTTTAGTGATCCCCTGGATGTTATCCCGGAGCACCTTCCTGTGCCGCTTGGCACCTCCTTTACCGAGCCCTTTCCCTCCTTTACCGCGACCAGACATCCTGCGATGAGACAGTTAGAACAATGAATACTCGCGCTCGGCCGCCTGCCCTTATATGTCTCCTGAGCGGACCGGATGGGGAACTGCTGCACAAATCACACGTCACTGGGCGGGGCTTGTCGATGATTGGCTGATGCAGTAGGTTGTACTCGAGCTTTGCGGTGATTGGCTGAATAATAATTTTTGAACTGAAAAGAAGAAACCCGCCGGCGGGAAAGATTTCTACCGTATTTGAGCTTGTAACGACGGCAAGTTAAGTATTTAGTGCAGACTGAATTTATTAATAAAATATTTTAATTTTTCCCCTCTCCGCTTCATACATAATAAACACACATAAAGAGATTCAAATTAAATGTGTCTAGATAAAGAAGTTACCTAAATACATATTGATACTCTTTTCATTCTCACACTGATTCTATTTTCTATACATATAAATTAGTTCTAGGAACTAAATCACATTTTCAGTACCGGTAAATGGTCACTAGATGGCAGTGTAAGATTAAAAGAGGATGCACTGTGCTCTGTATTACAATCTACACTTTTGTCTCTCAGTAGCAGATTCTGTCTCCTCCTATCAGAGTTAGGGGCGTGGTGCATTTTGTCCAATCAGATCCATCCATGTTCTATAAAGAACTCGGTTCGCGCCTTTCCAGTTCCAGTTCCTGTTAACCACGTGTTAGGTGTGGGTCTCCTTTAGACAGAATGGCCCGTACTAAGCAGACAGCCCGCAAATCCACCGGAGGGAAGGCTCCTAGGAAGCAGTTGGCTACCAAGGCTGCCAGGAAAAGCGCTCCTGCTACCGGTGGTGTTAAGAAACCTCACCGTTACCGCCCTGGCACGGTAGCTCTTCGGGAAATCCGCCGCTATCAGAAATCCACCGAGCTGCTGATCCGCAAACTGCCCTTCCAGCGCCTGGTCCGTGAGATCGCCCAGGACTTCAAAACCGACCTGCGCTTCCAGAGCTCTGCTGTCATGGCTCTGCAAGAGGCTAGCGAGGCTTACCTGGTTGGGCTCTTCGAGGATACCAACCTGTGTGCCATCCACGCCAAGAGAGTGACCATCATGCCCAAAGACATCCAGCTGGCTCGCAGGATCAGAGGAGAACGCGCTTAAATCCATTTCTCTGACCAATCTCTCCAACCAAAGGCTCTTTTCAGAGCCCCCATCTAATCAATCAAACGAGCTTGTCAATCCCTTCCTCCCGCACCCTGTATTATCCATGATTATTTATTCTTAAATTAACTAATATCCTGCAGTTTACTGGCAAACATTGTGCAGTGAGGCTTAATATTGTATACAAATAAACTAATAAAAATACGAACCTTTAGAAATAATTACAGTTGGAAACATAACCGCTAATTTCTCCCGTTTTATTTGGTTTATTTTGCATAATAAGTATTTTCCGGTTTCCGTATATATTTTTTTTTTTTTTCTTTCTTACGCTAATCTCTATATAGAGTGATGGTGCCCATCTATAATTATAAAAGTTTCTGTATTGTACTTGAATGTTCCATGGTTCATATTGAGAACTACGTAGGAAAACGTTACTGTCATATCCTTCAATAGAAACGTTTGTTTCTTTAGTACAAAGTATCTCATGCTTGTTGCAAATTGACACTGGGTAAAAGTGAACCCTTACAGCCACTGCCAAGTGTTATAATTGAAGAGATAAGTTGAATGTGTATTTTTTTTGATTGTCCTCAGGGATCAAGTCCTCGGGAATAAAGTGTGGAGACTCACCCAAAGTTCCACCATCTCACCCCTCCCAAAAATAAAAATTACACTAGTATGCATATGTAAACACAAACTCAGGTGCACGCATATACACGCACAGTCACAGACACACACAAATTATTATTTTTTTTTATAAAAGTTCACCCGGCCTCCCTACCTGGAGAGCTGGCTTGGATCTGTCCAGTGGGGCGGGAGCTGTGTCCTCTCTGCTGCCTCTCGCCGTGTGGACTGTCTGCTGATGCTGGGAGCCGGAATATGACGTCATATTCTGCAGGACTCGAGCCCCGATTGTCCTACCAGGTTGAAAGGGGAGTTTGAGGGAGGACGAGTCTGGGTGGAGAACAGGACCTTGACACAGAAGGTCTGGGACTCTCGGAAGACTCCAAGGTGGCTCTACACAAAGGCTCTGCAGGAGAGGAAACCAGGGTCTGTGCTGCCAAAACGGGGCTATGAATATGAGGGAGACACGAACCATCCTCATTCTCCTTAGAATGGGAAGAAAAAGGGGAAATGCATAACCCTCTCGAAATCGCCAGTTGCTGGAAAGGGCGTCCCTCCCCATGGCTAGAGGATCATTGTCCTTCATGAAGAAACACTCCACCTATCTGTTCTTTCTTGACGCAAACAAGTCCACTTGAGGAAGCCCCCATCTGTGGGCGGCAATGTGTGTGTATGAGGGCAGTATGTGTGTATGGGAGGCAGTGTGTGTGTATGGGGGGCAGTGTATGTGTGTAGAGTATGTGTGTGTGATAAGGGTAGGGGGGCTTTTTTTATAATATATTTATATATAATTTAATTTAAATATATATTATATGCCCCCCCCCCTCCCTTCTTACCTTTATGGTGGAGGAGGGGGGACATATTTCGTTCCCTGGTGGTCCGGTGGTGAATCCCTAGTGGTCCCAGTGGGGAGAGTGAACGCGCTTCAGGGCTAGAGTTCACTCTCGCGAGATTTGGAGCGTTGCTGTGGTCACCGCCGGAACGCTCCAAATCTCGCGAGAGGAGGACCTGGAGAAGCTGCAGGCAGAGCTCCCGGGTCCTCTCTCACTCCCTCCCTCCCTCCCACGCCAGACCTGCTGCCAGCACGGTGCCTGTGGACCGGAGAGGGAGATCTCTGTAACGAGAATATACCCCAACACGCAGGATTCAGCTAAACAGAAGACAACACAGAGGAGAGATACGTCTACCGGACCTTAGAATGGCCGGACTCGACGTATATGAGAGGAGACAGAGTCAGGAACGATCCGAAATCAAGGGCACAGAGAGACAGCGTAAACTAGGACAAGCCGGGGTCTGGTACACAGTAAACAACAAGCCGACAACCAGAACAGAAGGATAAAGAGAAAACGTAGTCAGAAACAAAGCCAAGGTCAATACGGAGAAACACAACTGAACACAACAAGCGCTAAAGGGAACTGATACAGAAACCACGATAGGGCAGGGAGTAGAGGGAGAGGTAAGTTTAAATAGCTTAAAAACTAATGTGATTGGCTCCTGTCATATCCACACCCCCAAAAGGTAAGTGTATGGGGAGTGTGGTATGACAGGGGCCAATGGGAGCCTTTTGACAATTTAGGCTCCCACTGTCTCTTTAAGAGCGCGCCCGAGACTCGCGGCGCGCTCTTAGATTCAGGCGGGACACGTGACCGCTTCTCGCGGTCACTGCCCGCCTTGCTAGTGGAGCCGTCGGATGAGCCGCGCGCGGCTCGTGCAGCAGCAGGACCGCGCGCGGCTTGAAGAGAGGACCGCGGCCGGCCCCTGGAGAAGGTGAGTAACGCTACAGTACCCCTCCCCTGAGGACACGCCCTCCGGGCGGGTAGGGCCAGGCCTGGCCGGAAAACGAGAATGGTAAGAACGCACAAGGCGGGGAGCGTGAACAGCATCAGCTGAAATCCAACTGCGCTCCTCAGGCCCATAACCCTTCCAATGCACCAAGTACTGAAGTCGACCCCTAAGGTAACGAGAGTCAAGAACAGCAGAGACTTCGAATTCCTCATGACCCTCCACGGAGACAGGAGGGGGAGGCGGAGAATGCCGGGTATAGCGGTTGCGTACGTAAGGTTTTAACAATGAAGTGTGAAACACATTAGGAATACGCAGATTCCTAGGAAGACCCAAGGCGTATGAAACAGGATTAACCTTATGCAGTATACGATAAGGACCTATGAAGCGGGGAGCCAATTTCATAGAAGGCACCCGCAGGCGAATATTCCGCGTGGAAAGCAAAACCCTGCCCCCCACAACATAAGTAGGAGCCGCCCTGCGATGCTTGTCAGCCTGAGCCTTCTGGCGAGCAGCGGAATCCACCAAAGAACGCTGAACCTGCTCCCAAGTATTACGCAAACCAGCCAAATGCTCATCCAGAACTGGCATGCCCTGTGAGGAGAATGCAGCCGGAAGAACAACGGGATGCTGGCCATAGACAATGTAAAAAGGGCTTTTGCCGGAAGAATCATGAGTGGCATTATTTCGAGCAAACTCAGCCCAAGGAAGTAGGTCAGACCAATTGTCCTGATGGTGAGACACAAAACAACGAAGGTACTGCTCCAGAGACTGGTTGGCACGTTCAGCAGCTCCATTAGACTGGGGATGGTAAGCGGAAGAAAATGAGAGAGAAATACCCATTTCTGAGCAAAAGGCTTTCCAGAACCTGGAAATAAATTGGCTACCCCTATCGGACACAATAGATACAGGAATACCATGTAACCGAAATACTTCTCTAGCGAAGATAAGAGCCAGTTCCTTGGATGTGGGCAACTTGCTAAGAGACACAAAGTGAGCCATCTTGGAAAACCGATCTACTATCATCAGGATGACTGTGTTACCATTCGAAGGGGGTAATTCAACAATAAAATCCATGGATAGGTTAGACCAAGGTCTCTCGGGAACTGGTAAGGGATGCAGAAGCCCACAAGGAACTCTACGCGACGTTTTCATACATGCACAAGTAGTACAAGCACTTATATAGTCAGTGACATCCTTATGTAAGGAACCCCACCAAAAATATCGAGAAACGGCTGACATCGTTTTGGTAATACCAGGATGTCCAGCAGTCTTAGTATCATGATATAATGACAGAATCTCCCGTCTCTCGGGAACATCAACAAACAATTTATCAATAGGCCTCTCGCTAGGTGCCATACTTTGTTTTGCCTGTATGGTCTGCAAGAGGGATGAAGAAATAGACAACATAGTAGTGGCTATTATCCTGTCTGGGGGAATGACAGGAGTAACATCAACCTCCTGTTTGTCAGTAGTTTCGAACTGTCTGGACAGAGCATCTGCTTTAATGT